GTATCGCACCTAAGCCTATTCGATAATAGTCTAATCTGGAACGTCCGCTGATTCCGTTCTTGCTCCACACTCAGGCCTCCGTGCCAGAGCCATTTCCTCAGCCATCTATGTACATTCTTTAGGCACAGCATTGCTTCCTCTGGCGCGCCACCAGCACGCTAGGTGCTACAGCACGCTCATTGCATCGTCATTACTAAGTATCCAGGTGGCGGGGCATCATCCGATGTCAAGGATGGGGGCCACGTGCCTGTCAGCGGGCAGTGGCAAGCTTGCGGGCCTCGGCCTCTTTCGTGTTGCCAGCTTATCACAGAAGCCCTGCACGCTGGTGCCTGGGAGCACACTATGGCGGCAGTTGCAGAGTTTGCAAGGCACCTGCGGCACAGAAGCGCCAATGAGGAATGCGGTGAAAGGGCATGAGGCCTGTGGATCGCTTGTGAGCAGCAGGGGTTTCGGAGCATTCAGAATGGTGCCCAGCTTACCCAGCAGAGCGGCATCGACAGCAGCATCTGCTGCAAGTTCAGAGACCGCAGAAGGTGAGCGTCCGGAGCTGGGCTTAACCAAGGAGGCCTCTCAGACCCCCATGTGCAAGACGTTTCTTTTTATCCTTCGCTCTGGCCGCCACCTCAGCTGTTAGCACCACTTCTTGGCAAGGTTTCCTTCTGTCATCAAGTCTCATAGTGTCTTCTCTTTTTGATTGCTGCCTCTATTGTTTCTGACCGAGATCTATCAGACACAGCGGCCCACACGTCTTTGTGCACCCCTCAGATCGAGGTTCAAGCAAGTGTCACTCTGCTTTGCAGCACCAACCGCTACCCCCACCCGTCCCCCCTCCACCCCAACGGTACTAGCAGACCCTGCTGTCAGTGGCGACAACATTCGAAAAAGGTTTCTGGAGTTCTATGCCGCCCGGGGGCATAAGGTCCTGCCCAGCTCGAGTCTGGTTCCGGAGGACCCCACCGTGTTGCTCACCATCGCGGGGATGCTGCAGTTCAAGCCTATCTTCCTGGGCCAGGTGAGGCTCTTGTCAAGACGAAGCCCGTGATACGTTGGTGGTTTTCCAGACGACTAAGAGATTGCCTGTGAGTTTCTGTTGACGATCCGGAAGAGGAGTGTACTTGTTCATTCTGAGGAAGACAAAGCTCGAATACGCTTCCCAAAGTCAAGATATATACCTTCTCTTTTCTTTGCTTGGTGGTTCCTTTTAAATCCTTGAGGTCTCCGATGTCTTTCATGTCGTACACTTCAAAGCTGGGTTGCTAAGCATGTCAATAAACAAGCGAATTGGTGTAGCTGAAGAGGACCTTTCAGCGGGCCCCAACATTAGATACTTCTGGCTCAGGAGGCCTCCGTTTGAGTTTTTACTGGTGGTTGTCTGTATAGTTTGAGGTTCGAGGCGTCGACCGTCTGTCAATGCCTTTGCAGATTCCAAGGTCGGTACCCCGCGCCACAACTGCTCAGAAATGCATTCGGACAAACGACGTTGAAAACGTGGGGCGCACGGCGCGCCACCACACCTTCTTTGAGATGCTGGGCAACTTCAGCTTTGGGGACTACTTCAAGCGGGAGGCTATCCAGTGGGCCTGGGAGCTGGCCATCAAAGAGTGAGCACATCGACGGAAGGGATCTGTTCGTTGGATACATGCTTGCTGTATTTATGTGGAGATCTTGCTTCTCAACAAACTTTTCGAGGACACGCAAAGGAGGCGTGTCCTTGCTTTCTTGTCGAACACCCGAGAAAAGCGCTCAAAAGGCTGTGTGAATCGTTCCATGTATCCAGCCAAGCAACCCGTGTCGATCAACTGAAGCCGCAGGCCACCTCCGAAGCTTCCATCTCACGTCGTCTCTCTCAACCGAACCCGAGCCTCTGCCCCTCTATTCTCTGTCTCTTGTTCCTGACCCTCACCGGTTCTCCGTCCCTCAGGTACAAGCTGCCGGTGGAGCGCGTTTGGATCAGCGTGTTTGAGGACGACGACGAGTCGCTCGCCATCTGGCGGGACAAGGTCGGCGTGGCCCCCGAGCGCATCAAGCGCATGGGCGCCGCAGACAACTTTTGGTCCAGCGGGCCCACCGGCCCCTGCGGGCCCTGCTCCGAGATGTACTTCGACTTCCACCCGGAAAGGGGGCACGAAGGCGCGGTGAGAGTCCGTGACCCTTCGCCTCTTCTTCACCGAGCTCGTCAGTCACTAGTCCGCTCGGAAAAGAGAACAGGAGTTGCTTCGGGGAATTGGCAGCTGCCACTTCCGGAGACTCCACTTGGGGGACTCCAGCTTGAACGTCCGATGTCAGGAACGGCAAGTGTGACTGCGAAAGCACATGTTGGGGGATTGACCCTTCTATGACCACCCGCTTGTCTTTGGTCTTATCTTTCAGGAAAGCATTGAATTGATGACCCTGCTTTGTCTTGCATGCAGAGCCTGGAAGACGACAGCCGCTTCATCGAGTTTTATAACCTGGTGTTTATGCAATACAACCGTACCGCGTCGGGCGATCTGGAGCCGCTCAAGAACAAGAACATCGACACCGGCTTGGGGCTGGAGCGGATGGCGCAGATCCTTCAAAAGGTAACGACCTTGCCAGCTAAAGATCGTTGAACAAGCTCCCGACAAGCTGCCAGCCTTTTCGACCTTCTTCAACTTGTCCAGCGACATAGAGAATGTTGTTCCGCTTCCTATCTGCCGTTGATTTCGTAGAGCGCAAGCAGACCAGAGACCCACCGCCTTGATTGCTGTTGCGTCTTGAATCGTCAAGCGTGCCAACAATCTTCGGATTTGGACTATGTCACTCCCAGTAACTTAAAGAGCCTTGATAAGTTGTCAACGTATGTCTTGATTCCTGCTTCTTCACAGGTACCGAACAACTACGAGACCGACTTGATCTACCCAATCATCCAGAAGGCGGCGCAGCTGGCCGGCCTGGATTACGCCACTGCGGACGAGCGCTCCAAGGTGATGCTCAAGGTGATCGGGGACCACACCCGGGCGGTCGTATACTTGATTTCGGACGGTGTGTACGCGTCCAACATCGGACGCGGCTACCAGGTCCGGCGGCTGCTGCGGCGCGTCGTGCGCATGGGCCGGATGCTCGGGATCGGGCGCGAGGGTCTGGACACGCACGAGGGCGCGTTCACACCGGCGATCGCGGAGGTGGTGGTCGGGATGTCGGGCGCGGTCGACGCTGACGTCAGCCGGAACGCGGGCCGGATCTACGACGAGCTGCGGCGCGAGGAGCTGCGGTTCGTGCAGACGTTGGAGCTGGGGGAGAAGCTTCTGGAGCGGCTCCTCGCGACCGCGACCGCTGCCAAAGACGGGGACAGCGGGGCGGTGCTGTCGGGCAAGGACGTATTCACACTGTACGACACGTACGGCTTCCCAGTGGAGATCACGGAGGAGGTCGCGGCGGAACGGGGCGTGGGCGTAGACTTAGAAGGGTTCGAGAAAGAGATGGAGACGCAGCGGAAGATGTCGCAGGCCGCGAACGTGGCGGTGAAGCTCGTTGCCGGGGGGGTTAGCGCAGAGTTAGCGGAGAAAGTGGCGGCGACCGAGTTTCTGGGTTATACGCACCTGGACGGGATGGGCCGCGTGGCAGCGCTGGTGGTCGGGGGATCCCTCGTGACCGAGGCGACGGAGGGGCAGGAGTGCGAGGTGGTGCTGGATAAGACGCCCTTCTACGCAGAGTCCGGCGGGCAGGTGAGCCGGGCCGATGACTTTGAGAGCAGTCTACTTTTGGTTGGATTTTGTCGTGTGCGGCCAGTGTTCGGAGGAGGGAGGGCCTGCACGGCAGAAGGAGAAGTTGGATAATTCTCGCGACAAGCTGGCTCGGCAGTCAGAAAGCTTTCACCACATCCCTGCAATTGCCTCTGGAATGTCTTCGATACGTACAGTTCTGCTGCTTTGCATCGAAGCATGTAGGGCATGGGAGCTGGGCACCGGCGAACTATTGAGCAGACGTGAATTTGGTTCATCCTGTTCTTGACGCGACTGCTGTGCTGTACAGCATAAAGACAGTTCCTGAGAAAAGGTGTTCCGCTGCACTGCTTTCAGATGTCGTTCTCGAGCAGCGAAAAGCACCCGACTTTGCTTTGCCTTTTCCATCTCGTCCTCCTCAGGAACGATACCCAGCTGCTAACCTGGATCAATTCAAACTCGCTCGAGCAGCTGCTAGAACTCAATCAGCCCTGAACGCAATGCTCTCCCTGTCTCCTCTTCAGATCGGCGATACCGGTCTCGTGGAAGTGACCAGCTCCTCTTCCTCCGGGCTGCTCCGCGTGCTGGACACCCAAAAGGCCGCTGGCGGGGGCGCGCTGTTCATGCACCGTGCGATCGTCGAGGCGGGAACGGTGACCATCGGCGCCAGCGCGTCCGCTAAGGTCGACGTGGCCAAGCGGCGGCGCTCCCAGTGTCACCACACGGCGACGCATTTACTGCAGGCCGCGCTGAAGAAGGTGGTGGGGCAAGACGTGTCGCAGGTAAGTTGCATCCTTGCACTGGAGTCAAACTTACGTCTGAGTTGCATCGTGTCCCCGACCAAACGCAAATCTTGAAAGAAAACCTAGCGTTAACATCCTCCGCACCTGTACCCGCCTTACTCTTCCAAATAATCCCACCTGTCCCTCAGGCAGTGACCTAATTCAACGTAGCGTAATGTTATAAGAATGGAAACGTTTGTGCCGCAGGCCGGCTCGCTGGTGGCGTTTGATCGGCTGCGGTTCGACATCAACTGCCCGCGGCCAGTGACGGAGGAGGAGCTGACGCGCGTGGAGGAGCTCGTGAACGGGTGGATCTCGCAGGCGGTGCCGCTCGAGGTGGGGGGCCAAAATGCTTAGTCACTTTATGCGTTGGAGAGGGGTCAGGAGGTGGAAATATCCGAATCAGTGCTTTGCTCTTGTCTGTTCTGCCCTTAAGGACAGTTCGAACGGGTGACTGCCGCCCAAAGATTCATGTGCTGTCATGTCGCGGTACAATTGCGGGACGATTCTCCCGTGAGCCGCTAGTTCTGAGTCCAAGATATTTCTGGCCTCCATTGCTTTGGTCGTTCTCAAGTCTAATACTTCAACTTACGTGAAACGCCTGGCCAAATTACATGTATCCACCATATCAGGAACCTTGTCATCAACCCACTGTCTAACCGAAAATCCCCTGGTTCCGCCGAATCCCTCACTCGGTTCTCCGTGCTGAGGATCGTCCCCCTTGTGTGTCCCCAGGTGACGGTGATGCCCATTGCGGAGGCCAAGGCCGCGGGCGCCATCGCCATGTTCGGTGAGAAGTACGGCGACGAGGTGCGCGTTGTGAACGTGCCCGAGATCTCCCTCGAGCTGTGCGGCGGAACCCACGTCACCAACACCGCCGAGATCCAAGGTGAGGCCGCCGGTCTTCCGTTTTCGGGTTCTGCTTTCGTGGTGATCGACTTGTTGGCTTTTACAGATCAATAGTATCTTCATGAAGGTGCATCGAACACCTGTGATTGTTCTCGCGATTGCATCTCCTGTTGCATCTCCTGCAAATCTTGGGGCGCTTTGCGTGCTGTTGGATATTTTGGCTGGCCGGAATGAAGTTCGATCGGCATCCTCAAGTCACAAAAGAGTTGTTTGCACTTTCTTTACTCACGAGTCTGATTGCAAGCCCGCTCCTCAAAGACCAGGGCTGACTTGATTGGCTTGCCGGGTCAGCTCGCCATATCTAGGAGAACTCACAGCATCAATTGGCGACTGCCTCCTTACGATGCCGTTGCTTGTGGATCGACTTCACGTCATCTCGTTTCCATAGTTCTCCTTTCTGTCCTCAGGTTTCAAGGTCGTGAGCGAGGCCGGCATCGCGTCAGGCGTGCGGCGGATCGAGGCTGTAGCGGGCCCCGCCATGATCGAATACCTGACCGCCAGGGACGGCATCGTCAAACAGCTCAGCACGCAGTTCAGAGTGAGTTGCCCCATTCAGCGGCTCTCGTCTCGGTAAATGTCGGACAGGATGACCTTGATTTTGCGTTCAGTGAGATTCCCACGTAGATACTGGGGCTTTGCACCGAGTTCGCTGCTCTAGGAGGTTGCAGAGCGGGTGTGCGTATGAGATTTCGGCAAAGCTACTTCGACGGCATCTTCTTTCTCATCTGTCCAATTGAGTATTTCAGAATGCAGCCGTTCTTTGTTGAGCAGCCTTGCCGGAGGCTTCGGACTAATTTGGTCCTCTCCGCATCTCTGTGAGCACGTACTTGCGGGGGCCTCATTTTCGGATGAGCTAGTCAATCCATCTCCGTCCCCTCCGTTCCAAGTCCGCTCAAATCAGGCCCTCTTCGCTGCCGACGGCGTCTGTTTCGAGAGCTACTCCGCTCCACCGACTGGTTCAGCCGAGCTCCCTGGTTACCCTTCAGTCCGCTCCTCGAACCGACATTCTTTCCCTACGTCCTGTTTCCTTTGTAACCACTCAAAGGAGCAGTCCACCGATCGTTGGGAAACGTTTGCAACGTCCCAAAGTTTCTTAGCACGACCATCGACCAGCTTAAAATGAATCATTCTATTTTTCGGCCTCTTCCGTCCTCTCACCGGTCTGCCCGTGCTTGCGTGTCCAGATCAAGGGCGAGGAGGTCCCCGCGCGCATTGCGGTTCTGCAGGAGGACCTAAAGGGCGCGCGCGCGGAGGTGTCGGACCTGAAGGCGGAGCTCGCGCTGGCCAAGGCGCAGCTGCTGGCGGGGCGCGCGGTCAAGCTGGCGGGGGGCGCGAGCATCCTGGTGGAGCAGGTGCCGGGGGTGGACGCAGATTCGCTCAAGGTGAGGAAGAGGCTTTGGGGGGACAGCTTGTTTGCTTGTGAGCAGAAGTCTGGTTGTTTATCGGGAGGCATGAAACGAGAAGCTTGAAATCTCGTTCGAAGCTGGGGATGTGGAGAAGTTTTATCCACATGGGGGAATCGAAAACAGTAGGTTTCGTGGAACGGTTTAAGACTAGAGGTGTTTCCGGATGGGGGCCTGAAGGCCGCTCCTTGCTTATTGGAGGGGCCGCTATCTCCAAATCCTCGTACGGGTTTGATGGACCTGGCTCACCTCTGCGTAGGCAAACGGAAGGGTTGTGGCAAGTGGTCTACCGCCGCCTTCCCTCAACTCCGAGTGCGTTGGTTAGATGCCACACCGCTGCACAAACCCTTTTCGTGTGCAACGTATTACTGCCACCTGGCAGCATCCGTTGGCAACTTGAGGGGCTAACCCCTGGTTTTGATGTCTCCTCTCAGGTTGCAGCGGAGCAACTACTAGAGGGTCTCGGTGATCCAGGCGCAGTGATTCTCGGATCCTCTGTGGAGGCCGGAAAAGTTAGTCTAGTGGCGGCTTTCAGTCCCGCCGTGGTAAAGGCCGGCGTTCAAGCGGGCAAGTTTGTGGGCGCTGTTGCTAAGATATGCGGGGGAGGGGGCGGGGGTCGGCCAAACTTCGCACAAGCAGGAGGGAAGCTGCCGGAGAAGCTAGAAGAGGCTCTAGCGAAAGCGAGGGCGGATCTGGAGTCCGCATTGGGAAAAGCCTCCTAACATTGTACAGTCATCAATATTCACGCCTGCTCGAAACATGCACCATTTTGGCAGGCTTGGCACGTGCTATTTGGTCGGACTCTGTCGAAAGGCAGCACATGGTGGTATGCCTGTAAGACGTGCGGATTTTGGCTTGGTGCCAAGCTCGTTGCTATCATACTGCTTGAGGATGAATCTACCGTGACGAGGCACAATGATTGCTCTTTGCACGTTTGAAGAGGTGCGCGAGAGACGCTCTTGGGGAAAGCGGAAGTAAAGAAGAATGGGCTACGGCAAGTAAGTATTGTATTGTGAGAAGGATATACGATCGGCACATGAATCGTTCCTTGTCAATCAGTCGCTAATCACCATGGCAGCCAAGGCGCGTCAAGGTTCAACTTTCCGAGTCAAGCCTAAGTCACGGTCGATCACCTGCCCAAAAGCGGCTGCGCCGCTAGATAGCGGACTTCCGCGCCAGGTACGTACGGATCGACTCATCCGGATCGAGCTTTTCGTCCAATTACAGCAGAGATTCCGTTTGCCCCGAGGAGATTCCCCAGATACGACCGAAAAGTTAATGTGATGGAAGACATTTGCTAGAAGCTCAGTGGTTTCTTCTGAAATGGACCTCTCCTACTCGTCGACCCGAGATTCTTGGGGCCGCAGGTAACAACTGACGAGCTCGACACAGGCCGAAGCCGCAAGCCTGAGACGATCCAGGCCGGCCTGGATTGATACTATCCCCGAGTCGGGGATGCATGTGCTGCGCTGACTGATCATGAGGAATGCAGTCTTGAAGAAAGCAGACGTACGTCGGTCCTCGGACTGCCGCGAGCAGTCAAAGCGAGCCTAGGTGGGTGTGTGCCCAGGGCCGGGTGTATGGGAGTAGTAATGTCTTCCGAAAGGTGCATTTCAACCTTGCAATCGGGCAGACTTCGGCCAACCAGTGATTGATCCGCCGCAGCTGCCAGCGAGAAGCCATGGCTGCCTCAATCAGGGCTGTTCTCTGTCTGGCCTTCTGCTGCTTGGCACTGGCAGGCAGCGTGAACGCAGTTCACCAGGTAATCGAAACTGAGCGCTCCTCTTTGTGGGCTGTTCGCAGCACATCAATCAAAGCTGTTAGAATCTGTAAGTCGGAGCTCCGTGCTGTCTTCTCTTGATCATCGTCACTGTCGCAATGGGACTCTGCTGTGCTCTTAGGCGATCAGAAGCATGAGGAAACCAATTCACAAGTTAAATCCGTGGAGTGTTCGTTGGTTCGTTATACTTTTTCATGTCAGCCTGAAACTGGATATATCAGTGCACCCCGGCTGGAGATATCTTGTTGCCTGCAGTATCTTTACAGGATTGCAATATCATGTACCTCCAAATCATCCGCTTCACAGAATCTGGAGTTCGACCTGACCTTTTACAGCATTTGTCATCAAGAGGGGCAACGGGCTCAAGAGGACTGGTGGCACGATGGACTCTTATTGCATTCCACGTAATGATATTTCTGCCATGATTGTCTGACAGTGGCTCCGGTTGCTTTGATTGCAGCGCAAGCTTCTTCAGACCTGCCCCTCCGCCACACCTAACCCCTGCTACAGTGCGGGTGCGTCCATCAAACCTATCTTGGCGACATTGTTCGACTCTGGTTTTAGAGTGGGCGTCGATTGCAGAAGCCTGTTAAAGAGGTATGCCCACATGCTAGCTGTGCCATCAACCAGCTGAACTTTGAGAGAAGCTGCCAATAGAAAGGGGGCCTGGGATACATCTATGCAGTGGCTTTCACTCTGGTACTGAAGTTTCCCACCGGTCTCCATGTGCTTGCATACATCTCTGCAGATGGAAGCGCCTTCACTTGTTGCCCTGGAAGCTGCGGTAGCCCCCCCGGCGCAAAGGCCTACTGCGCAGGCGCCTCCGGCAGCTCCCCCCTTACTAGCGAACCCCAGGGGCTGGACTCCGGTTTCCTCAATGAAATTGACCACGTCCTGATCATCAGGTTAGCTTCAGCGCTGAAAGTTGCTTACAAGTCCTGATGTGACAGGTGAGTTTTTTGTCGCATGGTCTGGCTGATTTTGAGACCTCTGTTGAAGCAAGATGAGAAGCCAATGTATGCTGCACGGCATGATTGGAGGAGCAGGCAAGCTTCGTTTGGTGAAGAGGCTGGCATTCTGACAGTCCTGCGGTAGTAGTAAGAAAGGAGCGCCTTCAGGAGCTTGCCTGAGGAGCGATTGATTGGGGAGTATAGATCAGTCTCCTTTGAATCATAGCAAAGCTCTCGAGCGAGGGCAAATCGACTGGGACTTGTGTCAGACGCTCAGTCCCCTGCCTGTGTGAGCGCAGTGTCGACGGTCTCCACGAGCAGGGCGTGGAGTACTTCAGTACATCCTGTCCAAGAACCCCAACTCTACCGGCTTTGGCTGGCTCGCAACACACGGTGAGAGGTGACTGCGACTTGGTTCCTGACGCCGTTTCCTAGACATTCTCAAGCCATAGAAGATTTGAGCCTTAGCCTTTTAAGAACAAGGACTCATGACACTGCCAGCGAAGTCAACCTCCTATTGCGGATATGGCGAGCAAGAGGGACAGCAAAGCAGGCTGCACACCTCTGAGCCACATTGAGAGCCACTTTTGTGCAAGCAGGATTCTGCAGTTTCTGGTTCAGTTGAAGGTATGACGTCTCTGATTGATCAGTTTTGAGGGCGTGCTGGGCTCTGTCAAATTCCACCCCCCATTCGCCCTCTGCTCCTTCCAGGCACCCACTACACCAACGCCTTCACGACCATCCCCTCCGACTCCTTCCCCGGGACTCTGGCGCTCCTCACTGGAGGAGGCGCCTATACATCCGGCTTCTGTGAGTTCGCGTTACATTGCCCGCACCTTTCCGACAACTTGCAAAGCCTCTCCTCCTATCCCGTGCGTACATTGATTTTTCTGGGTCGGCCACTTGTACTGGGCAAATTCACACCTTGCAGAAATGGCAGCCTGAGCCCTTGTTTTGCAACTCTCAGCCGTCTAGGCATAGAGTCGATTCAACAAAATCAGCAGTCAAATTATTGGCGCTAGTAAACATCAATTGAGTGCGCAGCTTTGGGGTGGAAGTCCCAGGAAGTTTCAAAGAGAATCCGTCGTTGCCATCAGCAGCTGACCGCCCTGTGTATTTGCTTTGTGGCAGACTATGACGACAGCTACAACCGGGCGCTGTCTCCTCCCATCTCCTTTGGTGGCGACACGAACTGCTCTACCGTCGTGAGTTCCTAGCCAGACATATCTGGGCTTCTCGCGTTTCTCGCAGGGACTTGACAGATCTTCGGGGCTTGCTTGTGTGTATGGCGGTGGTAGTCCTCGAGATACAGAGAAGCTTGGAACCTGAAAGGAGTTCTCAATGAAGACTTCAGCTGATGCTGACTGAATCTTTGCAAAGCGAATGCCGTTTGACCTAAATGTTTATCGTACCAAAAGACGCCGATTTCCTGACAACTCTATCACAAGTATTTGAGGTCCTTCACAGCGCCCCTTTGCAACGGATTCGGGACCACAAAGCCCACCCACTATAAACGACCCCCCCTGTTCTAGTAAAGGGGTTCTAGGCAGGGGACGTACTAGAACACGCACCCGTTCTAGTCGCTTTCTACGTAGAACTCGCCAGTCATGTTCGAGTACGTTCTATGTAGATCTGTACTAAAACGACCGGTTTCTAGGCAGGATACGGCTAGAACAGGTTAGAACACAAGCCGTTCTAGGAACATGCTGCATAGAACGCGAGCGGTTCTAGTAAGAATACATGATGAAACACCGGGAACGTTCTAGGTAGACAACGGAGTAGAACAGAACCACAGAAGGGCGGCCGCGTAGCGGCATGCGAGTACAGGACGGCCATCTCAATTGATATGCAAAACTCCAGGCTTTTGGCAAAGCCCATGTAATGAAATGTGTCCGCCGGATTACGCATACGGTCCGTAAACTACGCTTGCGATTTGTAATAGATCGGATGTCTCAACAAATGTACGACAACTAGAGACGGCTGTCTTTCCAGAAGGTCTGGATTGGAATGACGATTGCTGACGGAGCAAAGCCGGACTTCTGTACTATACGAAACCTTCCACTCTTCGGTTAACCGCGGCGCGCCTTCTTCCTGGTGGGAATCTTCTCGACACAGTCTTCCGGCCAATCAATCAGTTGGCAGACTGGCAGGTCGCCTACCTTGAGCTTCTTAGACTTTGCCACAAACGACGTGAATCCCTTTGGTACAGTCAACTCCCGAGCATCTTGGACAACGGACTCAACTACGACTCCGAGCTTGCCCTCACCCAGTGCTTTGCCGCGGATGGTGTCCGTTGGGTTCCCCAGCATCACGAGCGCCGTCCCAATTACCTGAACAAAAGCACGTCGCCTGACTTGAGACTCAGATTTCAGTGAGTTCCGATCAACCACGAGCAAACCTTTGAACCTTCTAATGACTCAAGTTCCTGACTCAAAAGAATGTCAAACAGCGCCGGGAGTCAGGATAAGAAAACCCTGCAAAAATTTGGAAGAGGATACCGACGTCCACGGCGGGCGCTGGAGGGTTGCCAGAATCCAAGGAATGACGTTCCGGTTCCACTGACTCGGGTTCTTTGAAACCGGTTTTGTGCGCACCTCACTTTGGACTTGGGAAGAACGTGTAAGAGTGCAAGGGCCCGGATTTACGGAGATCGATCGCCCTGGCCAGTAAGAGCACCGAAATTTACTCATACGTCCTGCTCCCTCCTTCGCAACTGCGGATCACCGCGTACAAGACCGGAAACGCGCACCAGAACGAGCGCCGACTTCTGGTGCGCGTTTCCGAGCAAACTTGAGCAAACGCACGAAGTTTTGAGCAGCATCTTTCTCACCTTGCCTTTGACGAGGAGCTCAACCCGAGCGCCGGCTTTGAAACCAATGTCCCCGTCGTCCCCGTCTTCCTGCAAAATCAAAAAGGTGATTCAGGTCCATGCACAGCAAATGCCAAATGTGGACTACAAGTGGTAAAGCCAGAAGTCTAGACAACAACTCACTAGAATCTGATGAGGTCGCCAAAAAACATTAAGCCCTGAGTCTTTGAAAAGCCCTGCAATCTCCAACGGCAGCCGCAAGGCGCTTCAGACTCTTGGCCGCTATCCAGTCGACAGAGATCAAAGCATATGAGATACTGTAATTCTGACATACTGCCGAACTTACCTCGTCATCATCTGCACACCGCTTCTTCAGTCCTGACAGAAGTGGAGCAATATGTAAGTTTTCTTTTCAGTATGTTCCGCCCGAATCAGGAACACGAAAGATACATGGAAAATTACTTCAACTACGTACAGTAATGATCTTCTCGTTCGGAAATTTGTGAGGTGGCTTGTGAAGCAGTATAACAATCGACGAGCCGGCAAATGAAGAGCAGCATTCAGAGATTCAGCGTAGCACACCACGGGCAATTCACAATGAAATCACCCCAGTCATAACCAAAGAAAAGCGTCGACTGCCGTACCTGCGCCACTCCGGTCCTTCCCCTTCTCAAAACCTTCGAAGCGCGTTGTCTGACCCCTATTGCTCCGCTCCTACGCAGAACAGTAGACCATCCATCAGAAAATAGGTTCAACAATCAACTACAGATGCACATGGGGCGCCTTCGTACCACTTGTCGAAGTTGCTCACGTCCGCTCTGGCTGCTTCTAAACCAATAACTTGGACAAAGCCGAGCCCGTCAAGCCACCCAAGCCTTCCCACAGCCCTTCCAATCTTTGCAAACAAGCAAAGCAGCCCCCCCTAATCTGCTTACAGAGGTATCATCTACTCGAGTGCTTTGCATAGCTCGCAGACTGGTTGGACCATTTCGATCAGATACAACAACTTATAAATACCACTCAACTGGATATCGAGCCCAAAGAGGAGGCCGCACTCACCGATCTTTTGCCGGCTGCCAACGTCGCATCTTCTTTGGGCTCGTTATCCTTGCCGGTCCCCGCGTTCTTGCCGGTGATGACGTCACTCCCTTTGCTGGAGACCTTCATCGACAGGAACGATTTAGCGTCAGATCGGGGTTTCAGGTATTTCAACAAAATCTCCGCCACGTGTCAGGCTGTCCTGGCTTTAAACGCGGACTAAGATTCCGCGCAAGGCTTGCTGTAAAAGTGGGTGGCTCACGTCAATCAAAACGGAGCCGCTGTCCGCTAGTAAGCGTTCTATTAGCGGGACGAAACACGAACATGTACACCGATTAGATGGCAGATACTAAGTTCTCTACTGTACTGTCCGGATGGATCAGAGAGGGTGACGGTTCCGTCGGGACTAAACCTAGAATAGGGTCAAAGCAGGGATCCACTTTGACGAGAATCAGGTTTAGGCGGCAAACTCTCACATACAAATAAGTACACTCCGACACCCCTTACTCCATGTTCACATAGTGAGCGGACCTGTGCAAGTACCTTGACCCCGGCAAGTCGACATAGGATACACGTTGAACAACGGAAAAGAGCTCGCTGTGAGCCACTTGCCTTAATTTCTGTTTTCCCTATGCCCGGGGTCGCTGACTTTGCGGACTTTGCATCTCCCGTTGGTCCGGCCGCATCTGGTTGATTCACCTGCCACAGTAGCATCAAATGTCAAGTCTTTGGGCTGAATTGAGGTTAGTGGACATAGATTCTTCTGCACAGCGTGAGAAAGCATTCAGTTTGTGACAACCCTGATTGATTCCGGGCAGCGCCAAAAGCTCTTATATCAAACTAATGCGGGCATAATACTTACACGGCTTGAGGTTGCGAAAAAAGAAGGCAAAACAAGAGGTCGGATGCGCGGCCCCCCCGGAGCGATGCGCAATTTGCAGAGGCGCAATACCTTAATACTTTGGACGGCCAATGAGACTCTCTAGCCAATTATGTCAGTCTTCTCGTATCTTCCATCACCAGAAGATTGTACATAGCAATGGTCAACGACACGCGAAGCTGGACAACAAATTGGATGTTGGTCGATCACAGGAAAGACTCGACAGGACCGCCTCCTTGACAACTCACTTTCTGTTGCTCTTGTATCTTCGAGTTGGTGTCGGCTTTGGTGACCCGCTTGGGAAGGCGCCCTCCTTGTAGATCCGAAAGCGGCGCAACGTCAACGCCTTTCGAATTTGGCACCTGTAGGAACATCGGCTTTCGATTTGATACACCGGTTTGGATAAAATGGTCTAGCGGGCGACTCTCAACAAGCGCGTTCCGCTAGCAACTTTCGGCAGCTCAACCGGTGCCAGCGTCTTCCTTATCCACGTCCATCGTGGCCATTGAAGGGTGGATCAAGTTATCGAACGGGTTGTGTGATTGTCCAGAACTTCGGGATGATGCCGACCAACTAGGCAGACTGGCGCACGTCAAAAGCAGTTACTTTGCCGAGTATTCGCCAAGATCGGGGACCAGGTTCAACCTTCAGGCTTCGAGAAAGATCTGACTTTCGAACCCGCACAGCAGTCAGGTTGATTTGAAATCTCCCAATAGAAGCTTTGGAAGTGAGATTGGAACTATCAAAAGCAATTAGAATCTTACGTTCAGATGGTCCTGAATCTTGGGTGGCGTTGCGTCGGTGATGCTTGGCGTCGGCTTCAGCGCGTGCTCGTACTGCGGCACCGCCTGCGGTTGTTTGTCACCCTCTGACTTCTTGATCTGCAAGAATTAAATCAAGTAATGTCAAAAGAAGAACTTAATGCAGCTACAGCTCACATCGCTCCTACAATGTCGACACTGCCTTTCAGTTCGCAGCCACGTTCGCAATCACCTTTCTAACGCAATAAAGCAGCGTGCACTTGCATCGTCGATATCCATAATTGCTCGCACATCAAAGATTCCCACCGAACTCCAAAAGTGGGTGCAATCCACATTGAAGTTTGCGAATTCAGTGTAACAACAAATCGAAACTTTTTCTGACATCTTCATGCGTATCCGGAATATCATCCTTGGATTGAAGTGAGCAAAGGGGTAACAAACGACGTCGCTGGAGAACTTACATTCCCATCATGTTCGCTCCGGCGCTTCTTGTCGTTGTCGGTATCTACTACCGCTGCCGCGCTCGAGTCGTGCCCTTTCTGCGCCGCCGACCCCGAGACGTTGTCAGTATTCGGGTCCAGCATCTGCAGTCCAAGTTTTCGTTTTTGATATTGTGATCCCAACTCGCAACAATGATTCCGGTATAATCAGATTCCCACATACTTTGATATCTTTTGACATCAACTGCTGCACACTCGCTCAAATGCTGAAGAATCTTCAAGACAGAGCGGTCGAACGTGGCGCCTGAGAACAAGCAATCAAAGCACGATGAGAGGATGAAACGTGACACGACCATGTCATGGAAGCGACCGGTAAGACCTGAGCGAGGTCAACCGGTCTCGTCATTCGACTATACAAGCCCATCAAAAAGGAACCAACTACGCCAGGCTGCGGGCGAAGCGGCGACCGATATTGAGAGGCCGCGTCGACATGCGCTGGTTCAATCCCATGTTCAGGACACACGTTGAAGATCTTTGAGCGAAAAGGATTCCCTGTTGTGTGCGACTTGCCTTGATTTCCGCCGCTCTTGGCCCGGGAGTGGCGGCCTTCGGGGACTTTGCCGGTGCTTTGGCCGCCTCTACTTGATCAACCTGCCAAAATCATGCAATCGTCAGCCCCGGAGTCTGACTACATCATCTTTCCCCACAATCTACGACCAGACTCCTTAGTAGGGACTGCGAAATCATCCAACCGTCCATATGGATCCGCCCGATTCCGCCATACGAGGATCTGGATGAGAGCGGAAAAGTAAAAGGTGGAGAAGAACGATGCTGGGGCCGAATGATGCAAAAACTTCGAAAGACCAGCACCACGGCTCACCTTCTGCTGTTGCTCATTTGTGCTGTCGGTCTCGACGACCGGCTTCGGGTGGGCGGCTCTCTCCTCGCGGTTCTGGAAGTGGCGCAGCGCTAGCGTCAGTCCCCGGCACCTGTGGAATGTGTCATTTCATCTCAGTTTTGTGTTGCATGGAACGGTGAGTCCCGCTTGCTAAATAAAATTTATCTCCAGAGTCGAGAACTTCCAATCAGAGAAACAGAAACGTGTCGCTCGATTTTCCATCGCTCAAGTTCGTTCGAAGGCCTTTGCCAGCACAAGATTGGAAGTGCATTGTGCGGTTGCTTCGTCGTCTTGCTCAGCCGCACGCAGGACAAGCTTTCTTGTCCACTCGGCTGCGAACTTGGGCTGAAGATTGAGACTGTAAGGTTTAGCTGTAATGTTTGAAGAGCACAAAACGCCAGTTGCTCTCAGTATCATGCCGGAAATCTATCAACACTTCCATCATGGAGCAAGATGGATAGATGAAACCGGCCGTGCAACTCAATCTGGTCATAACTTACAATCTGTTCGTTCTGGTGCTGTTTCGTGTTGTCGGTGCACGACGCCGATGCGAACCGCTGCTCTTTTCCGGCCGCCACATTCGGCACGTGGCCGCCGTTTGGCTCGAGCATCTGCAAAGTTTAGATTCTCAACATCCGTATCTGGATGAACGTCTGTACGAACGATTCTCGGGGTTTTGTACTCAGCATGTACATCTTGGACTATCATTCAAAACAGGGGGGACCATGGCTTGGAAAAGGCGCCTAATCACCTTTCCGTGACTTGATTGCATGGAACCCTGTTGGACTGAGTAGAATGGACACGCCGGGCACGCCAGACAGATTTTGCACAGCCGGCACTGCCGTTGGCAATGCATGGACCAAAGCGGCAGTGCTCATTGAACAGTATAATGCCCCAATTGATCAGGTAGTCAAAGGACACCGTTCGGGGATCTTTTGCCACAGAAGAGCATGCTTGCTAGCCAATGACTCACCTCTTGAGCACATGACCATTCAAATCAACAGTGAAATTAAAGCAGAAAGAGAGAGGGCCTTCAACTTGCATTTCTTTTGGGGTCTGAAGGGGCTGCTGATACTGCTGCTGCTTCCGCCGAGTCTGTCAATGCCGGTCCAGCGAACTCAGCTGGTGCTGCTCCCACCGTGTTTGCTGATGCTGCTCCTGCCAATGCTTGTGCGGACAGTAAAGCATTGCAAATCTGCAGATCAGATAATGCTTGGTTTAGTCTGGGCTCTTTGGGTGTGACCTCAACGAGCGACTCCTCGTCAGATTAATCAGTGTCAATAGGGACCAGGTTCCAAAAGATATCGACCTCAACAGGTCGAAAGTGACTCGCCTTTCAATCCAAGGAACCAAAATCGAAGTGATTCTGTATGGCGCAGGAGAAAATTCCTATAAAAGCACTCCAAAGATGGTACAAGTAACATTAGACAATGGACAAAACCCGAGCTCGGCTGGGATATTACTAATACGAGGAGCCTGATCGATAAGAGCCGACACCCATTTCTGATATGCCAGGCAAGCAACTACAAAGTACGACCGATTCTGATCCAAAATTGTAGCACAAAGGCAGGTCGAAACATAGAAGGAAAAGAAACCTTTGGAAGCCCGACGTATCCTGCATAACCGTGCTTAACGCATCCTGCCGTACCGGACTATCTGCAGAGCTGACGGCATGTGCTTCTGATTTCCGGCTGCTCTTTCGAGGTTTCTTCCGCCGCGAACCTTGTCTCTTTGTAGCGTTGACCGCTTCCTGGAGCAGACGACCAGCACGTGTACTTGAATACAACCACACATGACCCCGGCTTTTCGAGAGTTGCAAAAACGAAACCGAGCATAAAGCTGCCAAACTTGCATCCCTCTCGAAACAAGCCTTCAGAACCCTAATCGAGAACTTCTTTCAAAAGTCAGAAAGTTGGTCAGTATATATGCCAGAGAATAACCAGAGACACTTTGTGAAGCTTGAGGATGATGCTAGCTCAAATCTCGTTACAAGAGGATCGGTTCTAGATAAAGAAGGAAGCAGACATAAAAACCTACTTCTTCGGCTTCCGAAGCGTCTGATGGAGAATACTCTGGGTCCTCTTTGAGCTCCTTCTCGATTGCCATTTGCAATTTCGCCTGTCTTTCCCTTTCCTGGAACTCCCGTTCCCACTGCAACCAGGCCACCAATTACAATAACCCCTTGAACTGCTTGAAATGGCGCTGCTGAACTGTTTGCCAACTCCATGACCAATAAGCCAATAGTCTGATAAAAACTCTCCCGCATGTGAGGGGGGCATTCATACTCCGGCAATCTGACGTGGCGCACCCTCGACAAACTAACTGTAAACATGGAAACTCACCTGGCTGGGGCTTATTGACTCCATTTCGCTTTCGCTCTCCTCTGTAGAATCCACCTTCTCCTTGTTGGCATTTGAATCGCTTCCCTTCTTATCTTCTTCCTTTCCGGTGGATGCTTCTTGCTCCTTTCCGCTCCTACTTTGTGAATCCTGAAGATGAAAAGTAGAAAGCAACTGCACACCACACTCTAAGCTCTTTTCAAGCACTCACTCTAAGCACCACAAGCACAATCCACTCTAAGAACTCTGGGTGCCTGCTTAGATTCACTCATTTCTGGTGTCGCGTACATGCTGCCAGTAAACCGGTGACGTTAAGGCAAATGCTAGACAAACACTTTTTGTGAATCACACACGCTCTGGACTTTCATCATGCATGGCAGTCTGCAGAATGACTGTGAACAGGCACGCAACAACTTATGACAAGACAGCACATGTAAGCGGAGGAGAACTTGGAGCCAGAAGATCGTTATAGGCAAATGCTTGGCAATTGGCAGTCCTTCTCGGACTCGAACTTAACAATCTCACAGGTCATTCTTTTTATTACTCAAGCCGCTCTTCTAGACTCGCACTGAACTCAAATGAATAAATGCAAGATACACTGTGGTTGTTAGATGATTACAAGGAAACTCAGAAGTTTTGTGTTGACAATAGAAGATACCTGGTCATGCTTCTTCTTGATGGTCGCACACTGTTTCCTGGTCGTACGCTTCTTCTTTTCCTTGGAGTCAGCTGTAGAGGCCCCCTGTAGAGGAACGGCTCATGTAAGTTGCAATCCCAAAATGCCGTAATCCAACTCTAGAAGATCATTCGCGTCTTGTATGACTTGGATTTTGTGAAACAAGAGAACCTGAGCTGTACCAAGCGAATAACTAACGCAAAGGCTTGCGCATTACCTTCTTAGCGCGAGTCTCTTGCATTCGTTTGGCAGCTTTCTCGTTATACGCAGCTTTTGCCTCCTCATCTTCGTTCCGCTTGGCAGCATCACGTTGGTTCTGGCATCTGGTTTTGATCTTCTTGTACAGCTCATCCTCGGAAAACATGCCAGGATATGCCCTCTCAAACTCATCCACAAGCTTGTACACCAGTTTCTTTGGGATTTTCCCGAACGTTCTCGACTCTGGTTGAAGTACTTCACCAACTTTCACTCGCAGATTTTCCTGCAGATCAAATGCCTCCTAGCGTAAGCAGACGGTAAGGGCGCATGCATGCATGCTAAAAACATGACACGCAGAATCCATGTTCAACAGGATTGGCATCCAGCTCGAAAGCCGTGAGCATCAGCATTGCACGTATGCTCAGCTCTTCAAGCTCTCCAAGATACAGAAAATAGATGAGAAAGAGATGCCGCTTGAGCTGGACAACCAAGCAGACAAGGGGATGCAGACTGGTGCATTGAAAACCTTAACAACCTGAGAAACCACAAAAGTCAAGCATTGCAAGGAAAGAGACTCACCACTGCATCTGCCACATCTGCTTTAGAATACTTCCTTTTAGGAGATGCTTTTTGGCCAGCTTTTTCCAAGCAGCCTTGTTTTTGCTCAGTTGCTCTCGCTCTTAAGGGGCTTGATCCTGAATTGGCTGCTCTTTGCTCTTGAGCAACAGGCTGGACTTGGGTGGTCTGCAGCAGCTTGAGAAGCAGATCTCTGGCTCCAGGCTTTGCAATCAGCTCACCAAATGCCGCTGCAACATCTTGCTCTTCCAGCGCTGCTGGTTTCACGTTCTCTTTTCCATCCAACGCCTCACCAGGTGCTCGTCTGTTTGCCACCATGGTGGAACCCTAGCCCCAGTCGATACCTTTTGCTACTCAACAAGAATTCAAACTTGAGAAGACACGTTTTAGCAGCTTGCATGCAGCTCACCGCTGCCCGCTACCACTCAGTTGCTGCTTGGATACAAGCATACATCGTTACTCTAGCTAAGAAACAACAAAGCCTGACCAAGGATTGTGTTGGCACCCTCCTACACCGTCCATATTCTGCTCCCCCGTTCATGCTTCCTCGCATGAAGTTTTTGGGAGCCTCTTTCCCATGAGAGGACGCTCTCCTTTGCTGGTGCGCAGTGCTCAGCGCATGGTCAGCTGATCAACACTGAGGGCTCCACCAGCTTAGCCTTCACTCCTGTCCCAGGGTCCGGGGCCTCGTTTTCCAAACGTCAGCCTTCCGCGAAGAGTGGAAATTGTCATTCAGGATCCGCGCAAGGCCCTAGCTCCTAAGGCTATAGGAAGTCCCGTAAATTAGGGTTTGGAGCATATTCAACATCTTGCACTGTTGCAGCTGGGGAAACGAGCTTACAAAGGCGCCATCAAAGAGGGATCAAAGCCAGCATGCCAGAGGCATCACAATGACGCTGCTGCTGGAAACCATCAGCATGTAGCACTGGGGAGATGCATTTCTAGTCTTCCCAACTTCCAACGGTCCGCCAGCTTGTTCTGATGCACCAAGCCAGCAGGACGTGCCGCGGACTCAAATGCTCAAATCTTACAGGCACTGGCTGCAATAGTGCTGTGTTTCTGCTTTTAGGATCGGAAGCTGCAGTTGGAACAAGGCTCCGGATAAGAGAAGGTGTAGGTGCCAAAGATGCTTCAACAAGCAAAGCAAAAAGTTGCTTTCAAAAACCCAGCGCAATATGCATATTGCTCTGCATGGCAAGGTGGATGCAGAGCAGGTTGATGCTGCACTTCAGCAGCTGAGATTGAAACGACAACAAGGAGCTGGGGAGCTAGAAAAAGAAGCAGCAGCAGATGCAGCAGACAATCATACAAATGGCAACCACGTGGAGGAACATGGCAGACAGGGTACCGAGTTTTCAGAGAGGCGTTCCGACGGTGGCGATGCAAATGCAGCTCAAGAAGGGCAAGAAGAAGGGCAGCAGAGCTTTGAAGTAGAAGCAAAAGAGGAAAGCATCTCCGGCTCAGTGTTGCAACATCCTGCGCAGAGAGAACCCACTTCAAATGTTGCTGCTAGTGAGTATTCTTCAAGGTGTCCGGACATGGACATGACTTTGCAGAGGGCCACTTTGGTGCAGGCCCCTTTTCTTCCAATGATGCTTCTGAAGATGAGGACGAGGATGCAGGCTATGAATCAGATGAAAGCTCGGAAATTTGGAGCGACGAAGGTAAGAGTAATCACTAGCTGTTGACTTAAATTACTTGCTATAGTGTTCTGCATCATCGTGCTCAGCAAGATGGTGCGCTTGTCTCACAAGTGTGTAGCTTAAAGAATAGTCAAGTCCAAGGATCAGAGGCTATATTGACAACAGAACATCTGATGATCTGACTTTGATCATGATAATGTTGTGAGTGTGATCCATTGAATCTATACTAATGTTTCCTTTCAAGTCCGATTTATAGACTCTAAGCTGCCAAACGTTCAGTGTTGCAACTTCCTTATCTTACAGTTTTTTTTGTGGTTCCAAGCGCTTCTATGGTTTTAGGTTTGGACCTAGAAGCTGTGATCATCATGGTTGCATAGCTCGATGAACAGAAATAGAAGTAGAGCCCTGTTCAAATTTCTTTCCAACTTCCCAAGTGTCCCAAGTCATGGCGGTCGATCTTTTAAACATATATGACCATGGATATAAAAGCTGGTCGGGCGGATCATGAGTGATGATCTAGATCTAGAAGCTTCCTAGCTCTAAATACTGCCAACGTTGATGCAAATCGCCAGCTAGGCTCATGAATTTTCAAGCTTCATTGATCATACCAGGATTCAGATAGAAGTGCGTCGTACCCACATCCCAACGTGGGCGCAAACGTGATTATACTATAATTTAGAGTGCATGAACACAAATGCTCGATCGAAAAGTTGTCACAGATCGGAGCCTGGTGATGCGATCTGTTCTCAGTCGAGAATATATATATGCATGATGACGACACTTAGCTACATGAATAGACAACGTAAGCAATATGTTAAGCCACTTACGACTCATGATTGAATGACATTAACAAGACCTGCGCTATGAGACGAACCCACAGCTATCTCGGTAAGCTAGTGTTGCAAATTCGTGCTTGACTAGAATGCACAATTGACCAGTTCATCAAGCTGCTACTACGTACGGCAGTGCAGTAAATCTTCTCGTACCCGTTTTCCCAAATTCCTTTATAATGATCTCATTCTAACATCGCTCCTCATGAACAAAACCTTTCGAGAATTAGTACCCCTTTATACATACATAAGCGGCATCTAAGACCTAAGTGCTCCGAGGTCTATTTTGTCCATTTTGGGCGACGACGACCCGGACAGCGGCTGCCGTAGAAGCTCCTCCACCCTGGCCGGGTCCGCAGTGGGCGCTTGGCACGTGAAGTTCTGGCACACGTACGCCTGCGGCTGCCCGTCCTTTTTCTTGGCCATCTTGAGAACCATCTCGTTGTGCTTCGACCAAAAGGCGCGGTCTTCCTCGTTGTCCTCGTCAATCAGCAGGACCTGTTAGGGAGAAGAGGCACATTATAACTAGCCCTAGGTTGTCGCAACTGATCTAATCCACAATCCTTCCGACCTTGCCTTGTCCAATGTACATCAAAGAGTAAAACCAACGCAATCGAGTTGATAGGTAGAATGCGACTGAAATTGAAGTGACTTTCAAAAACAAGGTTTTGTAATAAAGGACCTCCGTTCGTCCTCGCTCTCACCGGACTGACAACTTTCGCTACTCCATGACAGATCTGCACCGATGCTTCCCAGAGGCACGACACTCATTAATCACTATGTGTGGTACTAAACTCCTCCAACTCTCCGAACATCAGCGCTGTCTAGCTGACCCGCAAACGAATACGGACGTCCGGCGCTTACCGCTCTGTCCGGCTCGTACACGCTGTGCGCAGCCTGCAGCAGCGAGAGCGCACGCTCGTCGCTGCGTGCGCCCGCAATCACCACCTGGCGCTCCGAGGGGGATGCGTACAGGTCCAGCGCGCAGCACATCTGGGGCAGCGCAATCGGCAGGGTCTTCAGGCGGTCCTCAAAGACGGCCTGCACAAAGAAAGGCAAGGGGTTTGTAATACAGGGGTGCTTTCCAGGCAGCGAAGTAAATTCGAGGTGGTGAAAACGGAGAAGCGGCGGCTACTTTGCAGCCAGCGCGGAAGAAGGAGGTAGGGAAAGATCTAGGGGTCAGCGCGGAGAAGAAAGTGAGTGAGAATTGAGAAGTCACCACAGGAAGGTTGCGGGCTTAAGAGGTTCGTTTAAACCAGGCTGAACGTTGCCGAGCGAGCAGAACAGGGCACGTGGACAGCGAGATGGTCATCGTAGGAACCAAAAGAAGCCCCAAATGAATTAGCGATCCATCATAGACCACCAGCCCCACAAATTTGCACCAGAATATTCGACCTCCATGACCGTCCAATTCGGGTCTGCTTTTTGAGCTTCAGCCTGATCAACTTCGGCGATTTCTGCTGCACGAGAACTAGGGGCTGAAATAGTGGGAGATCAGAGCCAAGAAGAGCAGGCCGAGAAGAGGGATTGGCTTCTCATAAGAGGGCCTGAGCAGCAATAGCGTATCGGGCTTACTGGAGGTAGATAGAAAAGACAAACAGGGTTATATTATTAGGGTTGGACAGAAGAGAAGTGAGGAAGTGGCAAACAAAGAAGTCTTTATTAATGCAGTGAAATCTCACCATGGTATGCAGCGCCCGTTTCCGGTACTCCTGCCCCGCGTCCCCCGCGATAATCTTGGACAGCCGCAGCAGGTTGCCGGCCGCGACGGAGTTCCCGCTCGGCTCCGCGCCGTCGTAGTCCTCCTTCATGCGCAGCAGAATGGACGGGTCGCCCGCCGCGTTGCTGTAATATGCGCCGCCCTCCTTATCGAAGAAAAGATCGTCCTGGAAGGAAACAGGCGAAGAAGGTTGACGAAAGAAACTGGTGCCACGAGTAGATAGGCAACAGCATTCGGCAGCGAACGAGGGACGCAAAGTAGCCACAGTCGTAAACATTGGTTGCTCGCATAGCCGCCCTCGTCTTGTCCGGATCCAGGCGTCCTTCGATGTTGCCCGCCAGTGCACTTCTTCCCCGAGGACCGGGCACTTACTGCTCTCGCATCACCTTGCAAAAGTCACTCCTTCAGAAGTTCTGCTTAAAGCGAAAAGGCTGCGTAGACACAAAGCCCAGCTTGTGTCTACCCATAATTAAAAGCTGACGAGGTATTGCCGCAATAATTTTGCATTGCGTTTCAACCGTAATAGCTCAAGGACTCAAAAGCCGACTGTGAATAGGCACTTTGCCGCTGCAGCCCACCTGCGTTTTCTGTAGCTCCAGCGCCCAGTCGAGCCACTTCACACCGGCCCCCGCCTCGTGCAGGTCCAGCAGCGCGTTGATCAGGAACGCGTAGTCGTCCACGAAGCCCGCGGCTGCGGACGGGCCCTCTCGGAAGCTGCGCCGCAGCGTCCGGCAGTCCGGATCGTACAGCTTTTCCCGGATGAACGTCGCTGCGTTGACCGCGGACTGCAGATACTCTGACGGCTGCGCGGACAGGAAAGCGGGGAGAGTAGATTATGAGTATTCACATGAATCAACGGGACGTGCAAAACCAATCTATCTTCTTGACCGACTGCTTCAGTGTTTCTGGCGGAGGTGTGGAAGGGCTTCGGGGGGATGTCCCGATGTAAGACGTGCGGGGCGAGAGCAGCGACATCGATGAGACTGGAGAAGGGAGCACCGATGCAAAACGCCCGCCCCTAAACGAGGGCTGCGCCTTTCAACTTGGTTCACTTAATCGACTTGCAACAAACCCACAACTTGCCCAGTAAGCACCCGCTCAGCACATTAGAGGCTTCCACGTAATCAATTCAGTTCCGACGGCGACGCAAAGGAGCAGGTTGGTAGATCGTTAAAAGTTTCCCGACCGCTTCAACACAACGAAAGATCTATGCCTTGTGAAGGGTGCAGCCGCACCTGGGTGCCCTCCACCGGAAAGTGGAACTCCATCTCGGCGGGGCCCTTCTTGAGGATCGTGGACGCCCGGGCAAATGCGGACATGGCCAGGCCGTTCCATGCTACGATGATCTGCACAGCGCAGCGGCACAGTTTATAAAACCGGCGCTGCTCGTCGCAAAGTCCTTCTCTAGTGGAGGTCACGAGCAAGACCGCTACATTGAGGACTTCAAGCATCAAAATCGGCATAAGATCGGTGCCAATTCTTTGAGGCAACTTGACCAAACGCCCCGAAAGCTCGAGAGTTTACGAACGGGGTAGGCGTTTTGTCTTCCGCTGGGCTGTGAGGCAATCTCAAAGGCCACCATTATTAAGAATATTCTCACGTACTTTTTTAAAAGCCGCACTGTCCTGTCTTTTTGCACGCACTTGCTTTCCCAGCCCTACATCGCTCTCGCTTTTTACCACTGACCATCAAATCCAGATGCACCACAATACGTCCCCCGCCGCACGCCAAACCTTGCCACGTCAGCACCACGCACCTTGTCGTCAAGGTGCGGGTGCGGCCGCTGCTCCCGGCGGCCGTGCAGCAGTCTCCGGCTCTCCGCCAGCTGGCGCTCCAGCGCGGGCACGTCCATGTCGAACTTCTTCGCGGTTTCCTCCAGACTAGTTCGCTCGATGAGCACGTTCTTGCCGCCGAACTCGTGGTGCGGGTCGCTCATTCGCGACAAGTCACAGTTGCCCTGCTTCTTCACGTAGTAGTGCGCCTTGAAGGGGGGCGCGCGCTCGGGGCCTAGCACCTCCTCGATCTGTGGGACAAGGTGTAGGGTTGGCTTTTAAGATCACAGAATTCCGCGGTTCAGAACTTGGAAAGTGCTTAACCTCGATCGTATCCTAAACTGGTGGTTGTTGCAAAGCAGGAGCTGATGAAGTGGGGTGCTGGCAGCTTAAGTTGACTCCTTGCGGCTGAGTGTTTTGGCACAGCGGACAACAACATGGTTCAGTAAAAGCTCGAGCCGACGAGCGTTCTTTGATCGTTCAAAGAAACTGTTCTCAAGTAGCGCGCAATCGCGCTAAAGGAACCTCCACCGAGGGAGAAGCCTTTGCTTCTTTCCTTTCTACAAAGCAGCCCTGTAAGCCCCGCTTTGTCCGGACTTCTCTTCGTTCCAGATGAACAAACATACAAATGCTCTTCAGCACTCAACGAGCAACTTCCGTCCCGATTGCCATGTATCATCTACCAAAGCAACGAAACGAAGTCTCGGCTCTCAAGCTTACCTCTGCTTCCGTCCAGATGTAGAACAGGCCCTCCTTCTTCTTGCCCCCCGGCACGTCCGCACTGTCTGCATCCTCAGCGGAGAAGATGCCCCCCCCGGGGTGCGTCATATCCCGCCGCAGGTAGTCGAGAATGTCGCGCGCCAGCTGTGCGTAGTAGTTGTCGCGTGTAACTAGGAACGCGTCGAGATACGCGTTGGCCAGCTGGCCCTGGTCGTACAGCATCTTTTCGAAATGGGGCACTGCAGAGCCAGAAAAGAACAGCAATCAAGATTGTGCAGTGAGTTCCTTAGAGCGGGTACGAAGTGCAACCGGACCGTTGTACAGCTTTTTCTGACCGTGGTGCATTGCGTAAAGAATTGAGACGGCTGTCTTAGCTCTCCGAAAATGCATTTCTCGCTTGCACGAACAAGTGGAAGTGTAGGACTAGGCGTACAACATCTTTTCAAACTATAATCCTCTCCAGTGGTCCGTGTGGCAAATCGACCGGATATGGCTTATCGTAAATCACGCAGGGACTAGAAAACGACGCGGTTGCAAAAGGCGGCGTTCATTTGCGGACGATGGGTTGGAAACATAAACAAGACAACTGCTGCATACCATACTTTCCTGCACTGTCGATCACCCGTTTTGCGTCTGAAGAAGACCTCCTTCAGTGAAAGACAATGCTCACAAAAGGATCCTTTTCCACCCCACGGATAATGACCCCCCAAAATCAAAACTTTCCACATATGCGGAACCGGGCCTCTCTCGCCCTCACCGTGCCAGTACTCGTCGACGGAGTAGCGGTGGAACCCCCCTCCCACATGGTCGTGGATGCCCCCCCGCGCCATGGCCGTCAGCGAGTGCAGCACCATCTCGCGAACTGCGTCGCTCGTCTTGTCGCCCTTCTCCGTCAGCCGTAGCAGGCGCCGGAAGAGCAGGTTGATCTCCACGGGGCGGGGAAACTTGGGCGCGCTCCCGAAGCCGCCGCGCTTCTTGTCATAACGCGCGGCCAGCTGCAATCGGACCGAGAGGAGGGTAATCTTTAAAACTGCAAGACTTTGGGCATGGAGAACGTGGGGGCTTTGAGCTCACGGACGGGTTGGAAAGAAGGGTTTGGAGTTGAAGAAAGCAACATAAGTTTGAAGACCAAAGAAGGGTGTGGTCGATCGAGGCAATCGTCTGGTGACGAAGGTAGCGGGCAACCTGTGGCTTCGTAGAAATAATGAACAAGATTTCTGCCGTCCAAAAGCTGCCCAAGGCCAGGTTCGCACACTCAACGTCCGGCTGACTCTAGCCTTTAAAAAAAAAATCCACCAAGTTGCACGGAAGTTGACGCCATGTTAAGTTCGGCAGTTTGAACACCCGAGCGTGATGTAGATTGGGGCCTTAATCCTATCGGGAATATCACAATCCATGATTTGCCAATGGGGCAATTCCACGAAGCCGAATCGCAGGTCGTCTTTTTACAATGTTGACGTGACCCTATCAAAGAGCAGACGGATAGGAACCTTGACATACTCAAATGCTCTCTTGAAGCCCGGCTGCTGTCAACTCTCGCAGATCGGAGGTGTAACCGCAGAGAAACGAAGATTGTGGCACAGCAAATAAGGATGAGCGAGCCCATCATTGTTGTGGGCCTGAAACATCCCGTTCAGGAGATCACAAACACTGTCAGTTACTCGTCATTGCTGTGGGCATACGATCCCATTCAGAAGGCACAAACACTTTCGGTCGTTCAACCAGCCAATCACATCCTCTCAAGAACAAAGGGTCTTCTGCGCATCGACACCCACATCTTCTGCACCCTTGGCGACAATCTGCTGCGCCGTGGCAACCTGGAACTCCTGCGAGCTGGCCACGTTCTCAGTCGCCTCGGCAAGCTGCGCCATCGCGCTCGCACCGCTCTCCACCAGGTCGCTCTGCCGGGTGTCCCACACCTCCTTGATGCGTCTGCAAAAGGGCGCCGTGGGTTAGTGAGATCCCTTGAGAATTAACGCAATGTAGAGACGATCATGTAGGTTCGCATGAGGTGGGGTGAAGAGGCTTCTCTTGCCTTTCAGACCAAGGTCTTCCAATCATTGTGGCAGCGGTATACATACCTGCCAAAAGGGATGTATGGGCTTTGCAGATTGGAGATGCCGCAGCAATCTGTGCGTGAATATCAGTCTTCTTTGAACAGTAAACACGAAACCGCAACTCCAATGAGTTGCCACAGGGACAATTTTGTTCAAACCCAAAAGTGACAAAAACGTGTGGGTTGACTTTGCGCGGAGAGCCTTCTCTTCTCAACTCAGCAGTACCCACACAATGGGCCCCTCCTCACCTCAGCATGGACTTAAAGCCTGGCCGCCCAAACGAGTCGCTAGGAGGAAAGTATGTACCGCCAAAGAACGGCACCAGATCGGGGGTCAGAAACACACTCATGGGCCACCCCCCTCCAGTGCCCGTGGCTTGCACGTATGTCATGTACACTTTGTCGACGTCAGGACGCTCCTCGCGGTCGACCTTGATGTTGACAAAGTCGGCGTTCATGATTGCCGCCACTTCCTCGCTCTCAAACGACTCATGCTCCATCACATGACACCTGTCATTGAAACATCAGGGGGCGCTTTTCAGTGTTCTGATTGGAAGGGGCCTAGACCATCTGAGAGGTTCTGGTGTTGATGCCCGTTTGTCGGTGCCTGTCAAGTTCTCAGCTTGAATCAAAACCTTCTTCAGAAAAGGATAATTCAGAAGCGCATGCGCCCCCTCCATTGACATGCAAGCAACCATGTTCTGTATCCATCTGGTAAGTGCATGTGGAGAAAGTTTCACATGCACCTAAGAACTACAAGCCTTCAAACATCTTCAAAAGGGTGCCTTATCACTAACCCTTGCCTTTATGTAGATTTGAATCTCAAAGGACAGATACTACCGATCAAATGTAGCTGCACCACCACCCCATCGCCCCCCTCCAAGCCTCTCCGACCACAGTAATACTGATAAGGATCATGCAAGTCACAAAGAAGTTTGATACAATGTTGAAATATACTTGCGGAACGGCCATGACACAATAGCATGCAATCATCTGACGTTTTTCCAAAAATTCTACGCATGGTGTTAGCATGATGAAAATCTATTGGCATGACAAACATTCATCAGATGTGGGCCCAGTGCTCACCAGTGGCATGTGCTGTAGCCCACAGACAGAAAGATGGGCTTCTTCTCCGCCTTTGCCTTGGCGAATGCCTCCTCGCCCCATGGGTACCAGTCCACTGCACATGGATGTTCTCTAATTAATAGATCCCAATTCTTCAAGCAAGCATTTGTGCCCGCACCTTGATGCGAGCAGACAACCTTCAGGGAACTGCACCATCACAATGGCTCTTTTGTAGCATTTCTTCGTCAAAAGATGGGTAAGAGAATTCGTTTCAGAGGCAGAGGTGCGCTGATCGAATGGTGGTGGGCTAACCCACCTGGGTTATGCGCATGCTGGAGCAGGTATGGGCTCTCTTCCTTTGCAAGCCGGTTTGTGTGCTTGTGCTGCGAGCTTTCTGCATTCGCAGCCCCTGCCAATCCTGCACTGGTTGTCGCCATACTCCGAAGTCCAACAATTTGCCGGTCTCTTCCTAAGCAGTGAATTGTTTTCTGACTGCGCAGACCCAAGTTACTGCCACAGAAATCAAGCCTTCCAGACAGGGAAGGCGGCTGGAAATAAGGACGTTTACAGATTGAGCTGGGCCTCGAAACTTGTTCTGAAAGGGGGGCCTGGATTGCTTGGGAGTTCAGGGGGATGGATGCAAGGTGACGCCGGGCAGCGAGGGGAGGCACCGATCGCAGAGCTTTGGGGAGGCGATTCCGATTCACCAGCTTCGACAAGAGGGAAGACAAGCAGGGCGTCTCGTGAAGGGCGCAAGCAGAGAGCATCTTGATTGTTGACGCGTTCCAACAACTTGCTCGCATTGGACATGCACCATGTTCATTGTTCATCAATTGAGTCTGCACATGGCTGTGCAACTTGAGGTCTAGGAAATTTAGGTTAGTCCTAAGTTTACGCGCGAGTGGTGGTTTCGACGCGCGCGCGCTTACTATTGACCTGTAGCGACACGTGTTTGAATACTAGATTCCGCTCGTTCATGTGATGCAAGATTCCGAAGATCGCAAACGGATTCCGCCCAGTCAGCAGATGGCTCCTCTGACATCAGCAGGTCTCAAGCACGTCTCAATTATCCGCTCAACAGATGCCAGCACAGGTGGCACATAACTCTGAGTCTGAGCAGACGTCTTCTTGTCTCATTCAAAATGTCTTAGTCAATGCTTCTGCCTGGATTTCTGAGCGCCTAGACGTACGTACCACCAGTCCCAAGACGATACGTGACGCTACGCAGCTGGAAAGGGCGGCGTCCTCAGGCTGCCCACATTTCGCAGCTTGCATTAATGAAGTGCTGAGCCGCATACAGATGCTTCGAAGGTGGTCAGAAAGGTGGGGTAATCAAATGCACCTGAGCTAGGGAATCTGCTGTAGGGCGTCGTGCATCGGCTACACGGCTTCTGCTTCTAACAGAGGTGCCACGTTGGTATCGACATCTTGAGGCCTTCACATCTCTTAGGGTCAGGTTGGCTTCATCCTCGATGCATTGTGTCCTCCCATCCCGCAATGCAGGCCTAGCTCTGAAAAAGCGTGCACGAAAGTAGCAGCGCTTGGACGCTGACACCACCTGCTGTTGAGCCTACCCTGCAGTCAGTCAGAGCAAAAAGCGCACAGCTTGAAGCGGACAACTGCCCACCACCGCGAGACTGAGCAACAGGTCACATAGGGTCAGTATGTGGACACAACAGTGACGCAGCCAAGAAACTCTTGCAAGAGTAGCGGCCAAGGTTGAAGTTTAGCCAGCATGTTCCCTCCAAACAGTCCCCAGGGCCAGGTTGGGAGGACTCCCCAAGGCGGGCGCAGCCCCTTTGAGTCCCCCCGGTTGGCTGCCCTGGGCATGCCCGGCAATCATGTGCCCCAGTCGCCCGCCAAGATTTCACTCAGCCCTCGGTCGCCCATGGCGCCGCTGTCGCTGTCGGGAGCGTCGAAGAAATTCATCAACGACGTCAGCGGTGAGCCCACCGCCTGCTCCTAGTTGGCTACTTTGGCCCCTGCCTTTGGATTGTGCCGGTTAATTCTAAGTTGTTCGTCGCGCGTGGAATGTGCACACGTTTGTGTCGTTGATCAAGAACGTACATGCCAAATCAATCCAAGATGCATGGTTGTGCTTGGCGCTGTGCTCCACAACAGTTGGAGATATGCCATGGATGTGGCCTCACCCATGCACCCAAATGTAGCGAAGTACTTCCAACGGTTTGGAAGCCATGAAAGCTGAGTGCTCATAAGTAGCCTTGTGGGCACTCTTTTTGGCCCACTTGTCCGCCAGCGCAGTTGCCTTGGGCGCTGTCACATCAGTGTCTGGTGGTTCTTGGTAGATGAAGATGTATGACGACCTTACGGTGGCTTTGTATTCGCAGACTGTGTCACAGAGATGATTGACGGCATGGTGGAGACGTTTCAGGGCTTGCAACGCCTTGACGGCTTTCCAGAGGTGAGTGTAGACATTGGGAATCTCTTTTTCCCGTGTGATCACTTAGCTGTTTGCTTGATGTCGGGCGGGAAGGCCAAGAGAGGGTACAGAGAGGTGCGGAATGGTAATACTTGGATGATAGCTGGAGCTTTCGATCGAATGACCAACTTGAGTCCAGATTGAAGCAGGCCAAAAATATTTAGTGGTCGTAGGACTCTTTCTGGAACGAGAGGCTCTGTCTAGCATTGTGACGAATTGCAACGTTGCCTGTGTCAATCCTGCATATGTTTAAAAACGTGCCCCCACACAGCGATGCTGATGTATACGCCTCATCACCTATCTGATTTAGAGGCCAGCATTAGTAATCAATGTGACAGGCACTGAATTTCTGAGAGCCACTGCACTCGCAGGTCAAAGTTGTGCTTCGTACTGATGTGTCCAGGGGCACGTACAACAGAGTGGCCGTCATATCAGGTCAGAACAGGTTCTCAAAGAGATCATCTCAGGATAGATAAGCGAGGGTCTCTCTACTGGGATGTTCCAAGCAATTCGTTTCGGACACAAGCCAACCGACCACGGTGGGTTTAAGGGGCATTGATCTTAGCGGGTGAACTTTGCCCAGTGTCATGGTTCTGGCGCGGCTACAGCTGGTGGAAAGTCTACCATCTGTACACTTTTGAGATCAGATTGACCAGTTCCCTTATGAGTTGGTAGCTTCGGTGCTTGTTCGTTGACGGTTATAGATTCCAATTTTGATATAGATTTCATTTTGTAACAGGCAAATTTGGTGGCAGTCTATAGGACACTTGCGCGAGCTGGAGCTTGCTTTTTGACGGTTTCAGGGCATGACAGAAGCAATTTCCTTGAAGAATCTTCTATCACAGAGCTGGACGCGATTGGACAAACAGGCAGTGGCAGCTCCGCCGAAAATGACGTACAAGAGCCCTTACAAGGCTTTCGCCCAAATTCACGGCTGGGAAAGAGCACGAAGGATGGACTAGCTGTTGCTAGCCTTGTTAGTTTTCAGTCCCTTTGTTGATCCGTATTTTGATTGGAATTGCTTGTGGCTGTAGGGGGAGGCAGTGGTCACGAGCCGGCGCACGCAGGTTACGTGGGGCAAGGGATGCTCACGGCAGCAGTATGCGGCGACATCTTTGCATCGCCCACTGTGGCCGCAGTGCTGGCGGTGAGTGCTCCTAAGCCGAAGCCCCAGATTGCCACATCGAATATACACAGGAGACATAGTGTAACCTACTACAGTAAAGATGCCACTTTGGAATCCTCAAACAGTAATATACGTTACGAGCCGTAATTGACTGATCAAGGGTCACGTGAGTAAGTTCACGATGATTGACCCGCTCCCCACCTTCCGATCAGAACACCGCTAAAGTGATTCGATGTGGGTCCTGTCGAACTTTGCAGTCCGCCGATTTGGTCAGCAGATGTGAAAACCTGTTCTGTTCCGACTTCGACAAAACGCGGAGCAACTGGAACCGTCAAGATAGCGGCATCCTTGTCTCCTTTTGCAGGCCATTCGTGCTGTGACGGGAGCACCAGGGTGCCTCTTGATTGTCAAGGTGAGACCCGATCGGGAATCGAGCTTGTCGACTTGCGAAGCCATTTGGCACAATGCGGCAGGTGTACAAGCAGCATCTCATCTGGAAGAATCACCGAAGTTACCTGATCCCGCCTCGTTGCAATCGTCAGCTCAGGATATTAGAAGCTCACACGACCACTCTGTCAGAAAGGCCTTATGGATGTCATGAGCGTTTTCGGCTGTGAGACGTATGGCAGCTCTTCGACTGACATGGCCAATGGTATTGGCAGGTTGTTCTGTCGAAAGGAACGTGTCAGTCCTTGTTAAAAGCTACATGTGTCAGATCAAGCACCCAACTCTCTGATCAAGCATTCGCTGCACGACTGCTCAACCGTCCAATGTCCCCTTCCGACGATCGAACCGTCCACAGCGAGGAAGGTGAAACTTTCAGTCCTCTCACAGAGAAAGGTGCTAGGAACTATGGTTACTAATCCCGAGTTCGACGTAGACAGTTGTCCTCCAACTGAAGAATTTGCAACTGTCCGATTTTCCTGCACGGCCGTTCATGTCCCTTAGCGTCTGCTCGCAGAACTACACGGGCGATCGGCTCAACTTCGGGCTGGCAGCGGAGCAGGCCAAGGCGGAGGGCTACAAAGTCGAGGTGACTGACCCCGCGCAAATCTGCAAAATCACAATGCTTTACTATGGCAACGTGTAGTGTCCAGACAGGGACTTCGTCGCTCTGAAGGAGATGCCTGCCGGCTCTTCACCGCCCTGTTTCTGTGAGCTGTTCAACGAGTCAGTGATGTGGTTGAGGGAGTGGAAGCACGGTCGGGGATGTGCCTATCTCCGCAAACTCATTTGTCTCTGCTGTTTCGCAGATGGTGATTGTGGGCGACGACTGCGCGCTGCCCCCGCCCCGCGGCTTGGCCGGCCGGAGAGGTCTCGCCGGCACGCTCTTCGTGCACAAGGTAATAGCAGCCCGGTTCGGCTTCAGAAGCGTTGCAGTCTTTTTGATACTTCTGCGGTGTCCCAGGACAGAGGCTGCTTCGGGCAGCACTCCTTGACAGCTGTCCACGTCTTTCAATGAAGGCCTGCGGCTTGGAGCACACAACAAATCCGCCCGTGACAAAGCCAGGTTGACTTGATGTAGGAGCAACTGATAACCGTGCAAAGTCTCTTTGAACTCGTTATAAATCCGTGGATGCCGTTGTTCTTATCCCAGTTGACCAGGAGCTTTCAGCCCGTCGGCAAAGGCCAAAACGCCAGGCTTCCGGAAGACTTCGTATGTGACGTCCAGGTTTTCCTCTTCCCCTCGCCAGGTGGCCAGAAGTTGTCAGCCTATCGGCAAAGGCTTAAACGCCAGGCTTCGCGAGAGTCTGACGTCCAGGTTTTGCTTTTCCCCTCGCTAGGTCGCCGGAGCAGCTGCCGCGGAGGGCAAGAGCCTGGGGGACGTTTTGGCGGAAGCGCAGAGCGTGGCGGGGGCTGTCGGCACCATGGGGGTGGCGCTCATGGTCTGCACGCTGCCTGGAGCGACTCCCTCGGACCGGCTGGGGGCGGGCAAGATGGAATTGGGCCTAGGCATCGTGAGCCGCCGCTCTAGTTCAAGATTGAGACACGTGGCTTGCTGGCAATGCCAAAGGCAGCTGTTTGCGGTTACCGAATTAGTCTGATCTCTGAAGTCTCTTCTTCCTTTTTAGCCCACTCTTCCTAACGGTAGGATAGTACGAGTGCACGGCAGATCAGCGTATGCCAGGTGAGACGACGCATTGCAGATCAACTTCGCGCAACGCGTTTGACCTTTACGTTGATTGTTTGGGACTAACCCTGGGCGGGCATCCTAGTAGTCCGCCAGTTGAGGAGCATGCTTGTCCTTTCTTCTTCGGCCGCTTAACCTGGGACCAGGCGCTATATTCTACAACGCTCGAGAACGTACACTTCGGACGATATGAGACGAGGACGGAAGTTCTTAGGATCTGCAAACGTGAAAGTTTGACCGGATGTAACGGACCCCCGTTTGGGTGGCTGCAGCACGGGGAGCCCGGCGCCGCTGTCGCTGACGTGCAGCCCGTGGATGCGATCGTCAGCCACGTCCTGCAAAAGATCCTTGACCCGGTGAGGCGCCATGTCGTTTCTCGTCGATGTGCATTCTCATCTTGACCATGCTGTGAGCGCTGCTCCACACTTGCGTTTGACCTATAAGCCTAAATGACTGATTTACTGTGTTTTCTCGAACGGTGGAACGAACGATTGTGAACCCGTCAGGCTGGCCTTTCTAGCCTTAAGAAGGGCAGACTGAAGTCTTAGGTTCTCTTCAATGGGAAAGCCCCTTTACAATTATTTCTCCGAGCGTACGTTTCAAAAAATTTGCTGAACGCCGTTAGGGCCGACTGCTCATTGCACGATTGGACGCAGTGGAAACCAGAGGCCATCAAAGGTTCAAGGCAGTATATGCAGTGAATTCGATATTCCTGACACATTCTTTTCGCCAGTTATGGGTCGATCTTTGCAGGGGCTCTTTCCTGGCACATCTCTTCAGCCGACCGGAATAATGGACAGGGAATCCGCAAGTATTGACGCGAGTGTCCAGCCTGTCACACTGTAAAGGCAACGGACCTGCTCTAGCGGAAAGTTCTCTCGTCACTCATTCCCGTTGCTCATCCGCTGCAGGAGACGCAGTATCTCAAGATCGACCGAGGGGAACGTGTTGTGCTTATGGTCAACGGGTGAGGAGTGGCTGCTCTTGTCGATTTGACGAGGGTTTCGAGCCCCACTGCTTGCCAGGCTGGACGGCTCGCCCTATCTGACAGCAAACTTTTCATTCAATGCCCATTTTCACATCGTGGGCTTCCTCATAATTTTATTACAATCGAGAGTGGATATAGAGTCCTTCTATTATCCACCGTGGTTCGGGGCCAGTTTAGAGGTTTCTGCAGTGGCTTTCTACATTCCTTTAGCAAAGCAGGTCGGCCGTTTTCCACATTTGTTACTCGTTCAATCGTTGGAAGGAGACGTCTGCTATACATGTTGTTGCTGAGACAGCGGTGGCAAACCCTATCATCGTAGTTACTTTGGTGCCTGAGTTCTGAACACTGCATTGGGGTCGCCAGAACGAAGTGACTGATTAAAGCCGAGACGGAGACGCAACCCGTCGAGCGCTCGTGATTGGTAACGTCCCCCACCCCCGTGTCGCAGGCTGGGCGCCACGCCTCAGATGGAGCTGCTGATTGCGGCGGGCAAGGCGGTGGCGACGCTACAGGTGGAGTACGGGCTCGCAGTGGAGCGCGTTTACACCGGCTCCTTCATGACCTCCCTGGACATGGCGGGTGAGATGGGAATGCGCCCTGGTCGCTGCAGTAAACTCATGCGGACTTCTGACACAAGCTGCTCCTTTCACACAAGCCCTGAAGCAACCGTATGAGCATTCGTTCGGACGAAGCTGGCCGCTTAAGCCGAATGGGACTGTCCGGATCTTGAAACGTGAGGCAGTCTGTTGCTTGCAAGTCTGCTGATATGAAGGACTCGTCTTAGACGGAACCGGGGTTATATACTCTGGTCCAATGCAACCCCGTAGTTCTCTCGTCCTCTCACAGCCTAAAGTCTCGCACAGCGACTACACGATGGACTCAGCTTCGCCATTGCTTAAACCCTCCATTTCGTTCTGTTGCAGGCATGTCGCTGTCGGTCCTGCGCGTTACCGACCGCATCCTGCAGCGCCTGGACGCTCCCACCCGCGCCCCGGCCTGGCCCTCATGCGCAGGGGGGCCGCGCCCCATGATCAGCGTGCCCGTCCCCATGCCCTCCAACCCCACCAACGAAACCGTGAGCCACAACTCCCAATCTATGAGACGTAGTCATCAAACGAACCCTTTTCGTCTGAACGGATGAGCAGCATCCTATGCCATTATGAAAGACTGGCAAGGCGGCGGGCCTGGCCCCATCAAACCATCTCTTCAATCTAGTTGCTCTTTTTCACATACAGCACCCAAGAGTGCATGTTGATACAAGTCATCACCTTTTTTCCCACAGTAACATTCAGCCTGTCGAGCGGGGGGATACCGCCTTTCCTCTCCGTCAGCAAGCCCTTTGTGCCCTGCTGACTGAGCCAGTCAGGAAAATGAGCTTCTGTCATGTCTTATAGGGGCGCCTGGTTGAACTCGAAATGCTCTCTCCAGCGATGTCTTTTCTCATATTGTGCAGGCTCCCTCGCGCCCCGCGGAGCTGAGCGAGTCGGGGCGCCTGCTAGAAGCGGCGATCCGGGCGGGCGCGGAGGCGCTGGTGGACATGGAGCAGCAGCTCAACGAGTGGGACGCGCGCACGGGGGACGGCGACTGCGGCACCTCGGTAAGGGCGGGAAGGGTCAAAGATTCTTTTTCTTGGTAAGACAAGATTGTTTTCCTAGTCACGAATAAGCGCGTTGTTGAACATCTCGTGCCTGGTAACCGCGCCCGCTTCCAAGTACCTGCGCGTCCATGCAACCTTTACTGGGCTTACTGCTCACTGACTCAACAGACTCGAGATCGAGGATTGAATGAGAAGGCTTAGGACTCGTAAACTGAGGCTTTGGGCTGAGGTCCTGTTGCTGAGGTGCGAGGATTAAAATGTGGTCTGTTCGTCTGACGTCTGAGAGGTTCGACGCTATCCCGGCTTATTGAATATCTCAGGGCATAGCTGAACATCTGACCCCTCTAGGGCCTCACGTGCTTGAATGTGGCCGGCTATTGCTTCAACACATATTCTCGGATTTCCATCACGTACTGGGGCCGTGTTGTCACGGTCGGTTGTTTCCGAGCTGGCTCAATCTTCCGAGTATGTTGAAGTGGCTGGTCGCATAGCGGAGGTTGACCGCCGGATGTCCCAAGTGCAGATGCGGAAGGGGGCGGCAGCAGTACTGGACGACATTTGGCACAGGTATGCGCTCCCGTAATCAACCGGCCTTTCGTTCCTGCGACTTTTAAATCATCATAGGCACAGTCACTCTTAATTCTTCTGACAGTTTCCTTGTTGAAAACGACTGCTTGGCTGCTATTATCGTTTACTCTGGAAAGGAATTTGTGAGCCGCACCCGCGTACATACATGCGATCGACATGGCAGCGATTGAGCATCTAAGTGCATCTGGCAGAGCACCGACTTCTTGAATAAAAGGATATAGAACGGGCCAGCCCAGAATCGGTCTGTCCAGTTTGAGCTCTACAGAAAAGCTACGAACTGCTTCGGTTGACCCTTACACGAGAGATTGGGCTGCCACGCTGTCTTCCGAGAAGTCACAAGCGAAGACTACAGCTCTCTCGAGCTTGATGCTCGAAATAGCTCGGGCAAGCGTTTGGTGTTCCAAGTGCGACGGAAAACCGATTGTCTTGTGCTGCAGGTATCCACTGAACGATGCGGCTGAGACGGTGAAGGAGGTTGGCGCGTCAGTGCGGCATGCAATGGGGGGCACTATTGGAGTCTTGTAAGCCCGGCCCCCTAGATCCACAAAGATTTTGCCCGTGCTTTCAACTGCAAGTGTCCGGACTATCTCCCTTCGCCACCCTTCCAACCCATTGACGGTCCGCAACTTGGTAGTGTCGGCGTCTCTGTGATTAGAATTTGAAAACCAACAGCTTCGCAGCGTTGTCTCGCGCACTTCCTATGCTTCTTCTTACCGAAGCTGACCCCGAAAGCTCCCCCGCAGGTACGACGTCTTCTGCCGCGCCGCCTACGCCTCTCTCCGCGGCACAAGCTCGCCGTCGCCGCTAGACTGTGAGCCCGGACTCATTGACTTCCTGCACTTTCTTTGAAGCTTCCCTGTTGAAAGAGCTGCCCATCTGACTTTTCTACCGCAAGCTACCCAAAGAAGCCGTCCCTGCAAGAACAGGTCTAACGCAGACTCTGGGAGTGGTGCAATCCGTGAGGATTGGCCTGCTGCTTCAGCCAAGTCTCGATTTTCGGTCGACTCAAGCCATGTTGAAACACAAATTAAACGAGAAAACGCACTGATATAAAATCCTAAAGCTAAAACTCACGCGTTCCTCGCTGTACCCAACCAAAACACCCGAAATAACCCCATCCGTCCCCAAGAGACTGACCCATCTCAACCTGGCTGTATCTCAAGCCAAAACTTGATCTGCTTCCTCTGCTTCAGGGGCTGCTGCGTTCGAGGCCGCCGTGAGCTCCGTCTCCAAGTACGGCGGCGCGGCGGCCGGCTACCGGACGATGCTCGACGCCCTGCTGCCCGCATCCAAAACCCTCACCAAGGTAAGCGTGCCACGTGGAAGGAGGGAACGTCGCCGCGGAGCGGAAGTCTGCGTGACAAACTGTTGCCGCGTTATCCACATCATGTTGCGAGTTTTGTAAAGAAGTTCAGTCAATGTTGTTCGCATCTGTTTCGCGAGTGAAAGAGCCATTGGAACGCTGGTTTTGGACATAGAACCGGCAAAGCGTTGCTGAGGACTCTTGAAGCGCTCCCTTTCTCACTTGGAATTCGGTCGCGTTCATTGCCTCCCTCTCGCTCGAGCGTAAAACGGATTGCTTGTTTGGGCGTCAGACGAACCGTATTTTTGCTCTGCTCGCAGCGGTTGCAGTCACGGGAGAGTCCTGGGGACGCCTTCGTGGCCGCCGCCCACGCCGCGGCTGCTGGCGCCGAGGAGACCCTTAAAATGGTTGCGCTGGTGAGCTCCACTGTTCTAAACTAAAAACCCCAAAAACCCCTAAAATTTGGAAACACTAAAACCCCTTTTGAAAAGAAAGGGGTCAGCAATGCGCACGCTCCTGCGCTTCTCGTCATTGGGCCAACACAGAGACGGGGGCCCCAAGTGATCGCCGTGACATCTTTAAGAGGGGCAACAAACAACACGGGGTGACTTTATTTGACCGCATGCAATATAAGAGCATAGACCCTAGGTCAACGACTTTCTGCTCCGGAGTGCTTCTCGGTTCCTCGGCTGCTTTGCATCTGTCAGCAGATCGGCTGAAATCCTTCTGTATCATCCGTGCCGCCCTTCATGGTGCTCAAATGTGAGCACCGTCAGAATCTTACGCATATTTCCACGGTACCCAGTCAGGTGTTTCACTTTTGTTCTTCTCCATCCAGGCCGGCCGCTCGAGCTACGTGCCCCCCGAAGTGCTGAGCCAGGTTCCCGACCCGGGGGCCAAGGCGGCCGCCGCCTGGCTGAACGCGGCCGCGGCAGCAGTCGCGTTGTACACCCCCCAATGAGCCACATTCGGAACGCGGCAAAAGCAACCCCCCTGGAGAGAGGCTGTCGTTTAGAGCGGGCACTTTGGGCACTTGTTTTGAGTTTTTAGGCTTCGGATCCTTGATGCCAGCGCTGCGCTCATAGGCAGATTGGAATCGGTCAACCTTCCGGAGCGGAGGGCGTAGGCGGGTTGACCGCGATTTGATGCTTGTACTTTAGCGACGGGTTCGAGAGTTCACCTGCAGTCAAATGTGTACCATTGTCCATGCGGCATTAGGTAGCGCTTCTTTTTGGTCGAAGAGGAACTGCATTGCGGGAACAGGCTTAGGTGCAAGATCAGTGTAACATGAAGACCCGAGAACTAGAGCGCTCATTGGCTTGGCACGGATAACGTGCAAGTCGATAGACGAGATTGTGAAGCTTGTCATGACGGCAGAACTCGATTTTAGCTGTGATCCTTCAACTGGAGTGAGAGTATACGAGCTCGGGAAGATCTTCATGAATTTAAGTCTACGATGCCATGTTGCTCTGCAAATGATTTGAAACGTACGTACGTTATATGTGGTACGATCAAGATGCATACTCGTCGCAGCATTTCTCCGGCCCTCGGTGTTGCATACTTCGTGCGCAGTAGTTATGTCCGAGCTCATTCGGAAATGTTAAGCTTTCTGCACCAGCCGACGCAATCGAGCCATAGGGCGGTCTTGCCAAGAAGTTGGCCGCCGTGCCCGGACAACTTGAATCGAGGCGGTTCGCGAGCCGGTAGTGAACGAGGGGAGTGGACTTAAGTGCATATGGCAGCTTGCATACAATTCTACACAAACATGCGGCAGCGGGCGGAAACGATTATCGATCATGTAGCGAGATCTATCTATAGACCGGCGAGCCGGGGCTAACGTCTTTGCAGATGGATCGCGACCATGATAACCTTTTCTTTGCAGTAATGATCAAAAACAAGTGTGCGATCAAATATGTCATGAAAGCATATGTTAGCGTTAGAGAGTGCCAAGATTCGTGTGATGCAAACTGAGATCCCAACGACAGAAGGCTCGATTCCCAGATTTGTCATTATAAGCTGCCCTTCCGAGTCGAATGTACACATCATCTATGCTTGCACACTGCTTGCTCTCAAGCACCCACAGCTGCTACAATGATCTCCTCACCAGCGGGCGTCCATCTTTCAAGATGTCGCAGCTTGGCAAGTCCGCTCCGCATGACCGAACCTGCTAGTGGGGCTCTCAACCAACTGCTATCGCCTGACCATCCTGCGCTCAAGAGTCCCCCATCAAGCGCAATCAACGCATCACAATGATTCAAAACTCCCTCCCCCCCTCGACAAGCCAAAGACCTCCAAGCCTTCCCGTTGAACTGCCTGAGCTCGAACTCTGCGGGTCCGTGCTCGGAAGCTACATACAACTGTTTCCCCGCAACAGCTGATCCAACCAACCTTCCCCCAAACGGCCAGAAATTCTCTAGTATCGACCACCCGCTGGCGATCGCATCCGGATCATAAATTAGGGCCGCCGGCTCGATGTTGCTTCGAGAATCCGTCCCGAAAACCAAAAACTTGCCTTCTTCCGTGATGTAACCCTGGCTTCTTCCGCGAACTTGAGGCATGGTTGGCAAGGGCGACCACTTATCCTTCTCGAGATCATACACCTCCGCAGAGATCGACGTGCCTCCTGCGGTGTGGCTTTGGCCCCCCGCGATGTACAGCTGACCCTTGATCACCCCCCATGCAAATCTCTTTTCATACCAGTTCCGGGTGGCAACCTGCTGCCATCGACCGGTGGCCGTGTCACACCGCCAAACATCTCGTCCAATGCGGAACAGGAATAGGTTGCGGCCAATGGAGATCATCGTCTCGAAGGCTTTTGCATACGGAAACGGCAGCTGCACAAAGGTTCGAGTATGTGAATACGGTGTGACACCGTACTCTGTCGCGGACGGGCACAGAACCTTTGAGAAAACATCACCTCATTGTTTGTAGTGTGGGAATATCAAATGCTGGTGAAAGTTGTCAAGTGGAATGGAAAGCCTGCGATCAGACTGTAAAGCAGACTCACTATAGTCCCAAATATTTCCACCTACAAGACTGGAAAATAGCACCATGCTTTCGATCAGTGCTTCTCTGCTTGGCATCAAGCATCCGAAGATTCTTGCCCAGCTCCTTTCAGCTCACCTTGCAGGTCAACTCGTCCCCCACATACTCCATGACAATCTGGCCCGCTGCATCAAACTCCACCCTCGCCAGACGGTATGAAAACTTTGCATAGCGCCTTCCATTCCAGAGCCATGGGAGGTGCGAGTAGTTCCCCAAATTTTCCTGACCATCCTGTGTTTCAGAGTACATGCTCTTGCATACGAGAAGGAAGAGTTGATCGCCCTTCAGCCCAGCATCTCGCCGCATCTTTGCCAACTCCCCTGTTTCATCGATAAGCCACTGCCCCCATGAGCGACACACGGAGCGGACAGTTGTGTACAGATGCAGAGGTATCCTAGCCAGACACAGCTTCGCCACATCGTCAGGGAGACCAGGAATAAGGGAGTCCATGAGCTCAGAATGCTGAAACCCTAGAATGGTCCAAACCCTAAAAATACAGAATAAAAATGCTCTATAAGTACGTTACTCTAGGAGTTCTTCTTACGGAGTCTGGTCCTATGAGTCAAGCACGGTTGCTCTCAGACCTGGAATACTACCTCTCATCAGAACCCCAGGGGCCCGCTATATTGAAGCATGAGCTTCTTCAATGAACTAATACTGATCTAACGCTTGCAAGTTTTGAAGATACATCTGCCAACGAACCAAGCGAGGACGCTGCTGGTGCTGCTAATGAGTATGCATGAGCCACATGCCGCCAGCTTAGGGACGTCAGGACAGCTAAGAGGGCGCAACCAACATTCAGTAAAAGCGACAGAATTGCGTACTAGTGGAAGTGACTTTCCAAGTGTCACTTGCGGCTCTACACAAAGTCCCTGAAGCAAAGGGCAAGAATATTGATTGATCCTGTGAGACATGGTGATACATGCGACTCAAAGGAGAGACTGCATGGACCCTGCAAACAGCGGCATCATGCTGTCGATCTACGTACAACTTCAAGCGCAAGCCGCCTCTACTACCTAAGCTCTTCCACTTTCCAAGCCCTGCCGCTGCGTCTAGAATTTATGAATTCCCTACAGATTGGATCTGGGTCGCAACCTGGTTTGCTTTGTTTAACCCAGTCAGTCGTGGCGGCAATTCACGGTCCGACAAAACAGCCGGTGTTCATGTATGCCGTCTCATGCTGCATGCTGTTCACTTTCAATCAAAACCGTAGCTCAAAAACATGCCGGTTCCATGATCGTTTCCCTGAGGTGTCGCCAAACAGCCCGGTTTGGCAAACCCGCACCTACATTATCACTGGTCAACAAGCCAGCCTTTATCACTGGTCAACAAGCCAGCCTAACTAAGTTTCAATGCAGCAAAGCTTGCTGGACACAAGTTCATTTCTCATGCCATGATCCGCCTTAGGCTAGGTGAACAGCAGACGAGCTAAGGATCCTAGTTCGCGCCCAATTCTGGCTGCTTGAGGTCTGCTCTTTTCCACAGCGGCTGGCTAACTGCAGCCAGCTTCTTTGCTGGTTGAGGAGGACCTCAGGATCTTTCAACTTATCTAGAATTAGTGTGACGCTGAGGGAAAAGCATGCAAGCGCCAATCTCTGCATTGAGAGCTTTACGTAGGAAGTACCAAAATGCTGTAAGGGCAGTTGATGACAGCTTTCAAGCCACAAAGGTGAGATTTTCTGAGTCTCTTCTACTGTCATTGAGCAGTAAGGAGAATCAGTCCCAAAGTTGCTTGCTTACAGTGACAGACACCAAAAGACGAAGTCACTCTGGTGGCACCGTTTCGTTGACACTTTCAAAGCTCCTGAGACATATCACTCTTCCAGTCCTTACATGCTCCAAGAATTGAGTGTTAATCAGCTTGCCACTTTGTCGATGCAGAATCTGTTTGAGAAACACAATGTGGTCTTCACTGTTGCCGGTGGTCTGCTGTCCGCAGGGGCAGCCTGGGCTGGTGAGGCTGCTCCTGAAGCTCAACAAAAACAGCCTGATCGGTGGATAGCGCCGTCTGTCTGAACAGTGATTACTGCTTGTAGTGGTAGCCTTCTCAAACAGACATGACAGCCTTCTTTCTGATTGGCACCTGCTGGAGCGCATGAATAGAATAAGTGGCACAGAGGCTTCAGCTGTTCATTGTTCAAGCTGACAGTCGACGATCTGCTTGCAGGCTACACTGCCAGACAGGTACATCAAAAGAAGTTGGAAGAGAAGCTGCAGAAGATTGAGGAGCATGTAAGAGTTTTCAGTGGTCCACAATTCTGATCTTCTCACCGCACCTGAGTCGCTTTCTGTTGCCAATCAAAGGTGGTCTTCTTTGTAGCAGGAGAAGATGTGCGCCTCTTGCCGCCCTATGTTTGTCTTGTCAGCAGAAACCATGCACCTCTATTGCTGCACATGCTTGCAGTCTTCGCCCCCTATTCAGCCTTCTTTGAGTTAGGTACCTCCAATTCAAGATTGACAGATGTGTCTCATCTGCTCTGATGCTTTTCTGGGTTCGTGCAATTGCAGATGACCAACGTCTACTCCTTGGAAGAGCAGCAGGTTAAAGCGCTTACAACAGCAGCCACCAGAACAGGAGTGTCCTACAAGACTTTCTTGGCAACATCGTCCACTGCTCTGATAGTCGGGTAAGGGGCCTCCGAAAATCTTCCTCGTTTTATAAATTTCGCTACTTTTGATCGGTTTCTTTTGTCCGATGCTGGACCACACAAGCTTCAAGAACACAAACCTCTCTTTTTGGGTGAACGCTCTCGTGAGAAAGCTTTGAAACAGACCACAACAGAAAGCTTGCGAAGCTGATCAAACGAACAGCTTCCTTCACTGACTTCTGGCTGACCTTCATCACAGCGCACAGCCCAGACTGCGTCTCAATTGAGAAGTGGTGTTAAAGCCCCGTTCAAGCTTAGCAGCATCTTAAGTAGCGGTCTGTCCTATGGGTATCAACAGAAGCTTCTCTTTACCCCCCAGACGTGAGAGTGGCCTCTCGACCACTTATTTTTGTCTCAGCTCTCAGTTGTGTCAGATGGTACTGAACACAATATTGCAGTTCCCGGCAGAAGTCTCTTAGCTTTCAAGCTTTTCAAACCTCTTATTTACAAAAGCGTGAGGGGCATTGGCTTCAAATCCAATTCCACCAAAGAGGTGCCTTCCTCTCGCAGGTATGCACTTGGTTTTCGAGGTGGTCGGCGCTTCGTGATCCGACGCATCCCACCCGACTTGCTCCGAGCAGCCAAGAAGCAGAAGAGTGGCAAGCAGACTGGGCTGGCGCGCCTCCTTCCAGGCAGGCTGGGGACAACTAACGAAAGTTCAGGAGCAACCCCGTCACACAGTGACGCACCCGCTTCTGCCTGGCGCCCGAGCACGGAGCCCCTTTCTGAACGTCCGCAAGCCAATGAGAGCAAAACCCCTGCCACCGCTGTGTTTAACGATTCTGGAGAAGCGATCGAACCATCAAAACCCGGACGAGAAACGGTGGGAGAAAGTGACGACCCGCCTGCAGAAGCTCCGAGGTCGAGCGGTAGACGAGAAGAGGGGCCCGAGGCAGACAGGCGGCCTGGCGAGGAAAGTTCGAACGCTTTTCAAAGACATGCAGCGAGAAATCCGGACTTAGTGGATGCCGCACTCGGTCTAACAACGTTCGAGAGGCAGGTCGAGAGAGTGATGCGACCGGAGAGGGAAGCAAAGGCTCAGTCGCGGGAGGACTTGGATAAAGTCTTACAAGCCACGATACCCAACTTGCACGGAGAGTCGGAAGCAGAACGAAAAGATAGTGCAGGGAGCGAAGTTTCGAGATCGGATAGTGCTCATGTGGAGTCGACGTCGTCTTCGGGGTCTCGAGAGGGAGCAGAGCAAACGGAGCCAAGTGATAGTCCTGACGAGCAAAAGCGGCCTTGAGGAGGGGTGTACGAGAATCTCGATCAGGGAACGAGCGATATCCCAGCTTGCGCAGGCGGCTAGATGGCCTAGCACCCCTTGCCATTGATTGCGACCAACGAGCAATTCGCAAACGGGGGACCATATCATGCGCGCTACTAAGAAGCTATGAACACGTGTATGGGTGTCGATTGCAAACGCCTGAGCTTGCAATCTGGAATGCCTTTGCAATCACTGAACGAACGCTTGCCCTGTGGCATGTGAAAAGCTGGTCACTCCCACACGTGTTTGATGTTCGCTTGTACAAAAATCTGCAACGCCGCCTGCGTCCTCGTTGCATACAGCAGTCATAGTATGCAGCCGCGCTTGAGCTGGGCTTGATGATGCATACATTTGTCATGCGGCACACTGAAGGAGTATATCCCATGTTTGCTGATTCACATACATTCGCAGGCGCAAATTAAAAACGGTCAGCTATAGCTGGCTGCAAGGTGACCTGCACGTGCGCGAGAGCGTCATGCACATGCAGCTCATGCACGACAGACCATCCAATACAGCTCAAGTTGTTCTCTTAATCGAGGGATGGATCCGGCATGACGTGATCATGAGCGGGCGCGCGGGCGCGGCCTATTTATAGTGCAAAAGAAATACCGTCAGCATACGCTGTGTGAGTATAGGTATACAGATCTATAACCCCAGCCTGTCATTCAAGCTGAGTCGCGGCAAGTATATAAAAAGTCTGAAATTGGAGGATCGACATAACGCATGCTTGCACTCAGGCGGTAGTGTTGCCAGCTACAACGGTCTTGTAGTTTGAAATTATAGCGGTTTTTAGGAAATCGAGGAAGCTAGTATCTATATAAGATTGACTCGACGGACGGTGACAGTACACAATACAAATGAAGGATGAGTCCAAGCTGCACGCGTCAAAATCTAGACACAATATCGGCGACGAGCTGCAATGCAGGTTAACCATCCTGTGCGTAGCCTGCTGCGTCCAGGTCCATATGTCAATAAGCAGCTCAAACTCAGATTGTGTTCAACAGGAACTTCGAATGTAGTCTCAGTCCGACATCGTGGTCCATCTCGAAGGGATTTATGCTGACTGCGCACCGGCCGAACGGACATTACCGAGTCCATAACTTCATGAATCGATAAAGAGGGCACCTCCGAATGCTCTACGATTGGTGGCGATACTTCGACTGGACAATCGGACGCTAATCGTGCTCAAGCTCTTCTGGGTGAATCGCCCTGTCCAAAGGTATCATGGATCTCTTTTCTTTATCTCGTCGCATAGCCTTCCGCATATCTGCAAAACCAGCAACAAAGGTATCATCGTATTAGAGAGCCAAAAACCAACAGAAAGGATGTAACGTTCATACTTTGACACTCTCCACAGAGTTGTGAACATCCGAATACTGAGATTGCTTGATCACATCAGACGAAGAGCCCGTCACAGGAGTAGATGGCCCAGATGACATAAGAAAGGCCCACACGACTAGCAACGAAGCTGTTCAAGAATTATGCAGCACGACTTACCCCAAGCATCCTCCTCCCCAGAGTAGTACTTTATGACTCTCCGATAACAGACGTACCCCAGCTTTTTATACATGTCGATTGCCACCGTGTTTGATTCTCGCACGAAAAGGTCAACAAAGTAGCCGTTGTGCCTGCAGGAGAACAAACCTTTGACTGATCGTTTGACACCCGTTCTCTGTCCACAAAGGAGCTGACGGGTTTTTGGCAGTCTCAAAACTCACTGGCACATGATATAAGCACATAAAGAAGCACCATTGATTTCAAAACTACTTTCGAGACCCTTCGGGAGCGGCCCTGCAGTGGGGTGCGAAGTACGAGGAAATTCGTTTTAAACATCTCCCAAAGTATGCACTGGTTATGTTTCAGAAAGCCATTTGGGCAGATCGAGACAGTGGCATGCAAGGAACACCAGAGGCGGCCTTAATAGTGAAAATTCTTACACCACGTTTTCCCTTGCTCCGTCCAGATACTTGTGGGCATTTGCCAATCGTCCTCTGAACAGACCCGAAGGTTCAACTTTCAGAGATAGAGGATGCGACGATTGACAAAACTATCCAAGCAGCCCAATACACGATGATATCAAGGATGAGATTGGCTTTCCTTTCAGTTCGATATTGCGCAAGGACAATTCACTGCCCTACTCACATCTTCTCTGTGATCTCCTCCAGCAGGAACATGAGCTTCTTCGCCAGCTGTTGCCGCCGGTAATTGGGTGCCACCGTCACCGCAGTCACGTGTCCGTGCCACAGGTCACCCTCTCCCTCGACCTTGCCCATGACTACAGCCACCAAGACAACAGAAAAAAGTCTGATCCATGCCACTGAGATTCTGACATACTCTACTTGGACAGGTTGATCACACTGATGTCCAGTAGAAGCCTCTCGTCACAAAAGCAACCAGGCAGTGGATCTTGACATTTAAAAAGAACCTTGATCAGTCTCGTACTTCATTGTTCGAGGAGCAACACCTGGACATATAGATATACAAGGAAGTCGAGGTTGTTTCAAAAAGCAGTCAATCGAGTCAAAGAGACACAAAGAATGCCCTTACTGTAGCCCATCATTTGGGCACCCGGCCCTTCTGCCACCAAGAAGTACTCTGGCCACCGCGCAAGATAAGAGAGGTAAAACTGCAAGTTGTACTGCACAAACCAGCGAACAAGGGGAGGGGCTGCTTAGACCCGCACACCACCACCAGTAGTCTTCAAATATCAAGGTTGAGGGGTAATAGATCGAGATAAGATGCACCAGACGTCTTATGGGGACAGCACAGACGCAGAAGTCAGGGCAGCTCGTAAATGGCACAAACATTTTGCCTGTAGCAACAAGACTCTCGTATCTATGACACCAGGTGGCTAATTCCGCATAGTTCTAGCCAGACTGGACCTTGAAGCAGAATCCATCTTTCTCAAGCGTTAAAGCAGCTGACTCACGGTCTCGGTTAGCTTGTCCAAGTTGACATTGTTGAATTTGAAAAGGTCATCACATGTAAACTTTCTGATTGTCGTCATTTTCAAGCGGCCCACTTTGCTGCCCGGTAGCTCTTCTCGAACCTCTCCACTTAAGCGCGCAGATTGCAGCTAAGAAGAAACTGTTCTCAGTTGATGGCACTATCCACAAAGATGTATTCAATTGGCGCTTGGGCTGACGTCAGTCCGCTTGCTGCTAACTTGGGCCAGCTCGGGCCGGCCCCTCAAATGCTGCTGACAATGCTATGGAAAGGAGCAATAAACCTGCAACAGAGTTGCCCTTTGGGCGCCCCTTCACTTGCTTATTGAAGTTCTGCGCCCAGCTGCCTGCTGAGCATGGTGGCGCAATGCTGAGGTGCACCCTAAACACCTAAAACCCTAAAAGTGAAATTCGAGAAACGTGAGAAAAAGTTTCACTGCCAGCAATTTAAGTTCTTGAAATTGAGTTGACAAAAGCCAAGGAGTTTCGGAGTTGATTTCTTGTGGCATGTCCGTCATGGCGGCCTGGTTGCTCGCCCGCTCCTTGCGTCGCTGCGAGAGTGTACTTGGGCCATGCAGGAGCCGCCTTGAACAGCCACACCTTCTGGAAGGGCTGTGTGCATCCACTGGGCGGAAGGCAGCGGCGGTGAATGACAGACCGCCCGTCGGTCTGCAATCTGATCATGAGTTGGGGAAATCTGGGGTCTTCGAGGCGAGCACGCCCGCAGGAGCTTGGCTACCACCTCATCTGCTGCACAAGGTATTTGAACTCGCAAAATGCAGTGGTGTGAGCGCGTATGAGAAGTGTTCAACGGTCGCCGGTCTACCAGCGTTAGGCGCCGCAAATGGAACCATTCTGACTTATTCTCAATTTGAGGGCCGCCGTTGCTATGGAACGCTGGTAGAGGCAGGCAGAGAGGGAGCTGAGCAACCGCTGCCCGCGCTTAGCGTCAAGAGGCTTGAAGCAAGTGGTGTGGAACTGGTAGGCAGCTTAGCACAGGAGAGCACGCCAATCGACATCAAGCCAAAGCAGATTTTTGCAGTGGTCCAGGTGAGGAGGGATATTGGTGGTAAAGGTTGCATCAGATTAGGAGCGGTTATCTAGTTGCTCCTGCTCGAGGTTATTTGGCATGACCCTGTGATGAGAAGTGTGGGTTTCTTCTAGATTGCGCTACTCGTTTAATCGCTTGCATTTGCTGTTCTTGCCCATCAAGCAGAAAAGGATGCTCACTTGAGAGGAATCAGATGACCACTTGATTTAGCTGGTTGATCAGGTTGCTTTCCTGGCGGGCTTTATTTGAGGGTTTTGTACTTGCGTGTTTTCTTGTTCAGGTAGGCCCTCATCAATTCAAAGTTACGCCGGACGATGTCTTGTATGTTGAGAAGCTGAATGGACCGGATGTCAAGTCGACGGTGAGACTCCTACCCCTTGTCCTATCGCCAATTGCATATGCTTATACTCAGTGCTCTCTGGTCATGCATTGGCTTGAACGCCCATGTTCCTGTTGGCACACTACCTTTGTATCTGAATTTAACTGATTGAATGTACCATTGATGTGGCATATTGCCTTCTTGACCACTCATCGATGTGCTCGTCCCCTAAGCAGCTTGGCTCTTGGATGACCGTGTGTCTCACACCAGGAATTGTGGTTTCAGATTCTGTTGAAGAAGGTTCTCCTGCTTGGTTCCAAATCGAAGACGATTGTGGGCCGGCCGTTCATCCCAGATGCCACTGTTTCTGCAACAGTCGAAGGACAGGTGAGTGACCCACAATCCGTCCCTCCTTGGGAAACATTTTTTCTGGGCTTACAATGTGAAAAGCAGTCCTTTCGATGTCTTAAAGTTAATCGTGTACTCAAGTTCATTTCGATTCGCTTCAGTATGGACTTGCTTGTTGGTTTTTGAGCAGTTCCGATCATGATTAAGTGCGAAGCACCGGACTTCGTTACTTGCTTCTCCAGATTTGCATCTGTCCTGAGCTGTTTCTCATTGCCATCCATTCCGCAGGTCAAAGATGGCAAAGTGCTCATCTTGAAAAAAAGACGAAGGAAGAACTCAAGACGACTCAAGGGGCATAGGCAGGTACGGGTCTGTCGTCAACAAGTTCTTGCTGCCCGGACTGCTGAAAAGATCAACCCTGTGATGCAGAAAGCTGTTAAGATACACCGGATTGATGCCCACTTGTTTTCCACAAATGCTTTTCTGATTCCGCTTATTGATCTGTCTTCTGCTATGACGGTTGCTCAAGACAACCGTTCGTTTTTGACGGATAATTAACGTATCATTTCTAATTGGCCCACACAGGAGCTTACGCGGTTGCGAATCTTGGATATTACGGGGATCGAAGAAGATCAGGAAGAGGGGAGACCTATGCGCGTTCATAACCAGGCGGGAGTAGTGGCCAGACTCAAAACGCCCGAGCCTGGCAAAGTTTCCGCATATGCTTTCCAACCCAAGCCGCTGCCGCAGTCCCGGGATCTGAAAAAACAACGGAGGTCGCCTGCTGTTCCGGGGTACGGCAGACGTCCGCAGCGACGCCTTACGTTTGGAGCAGAGCGGCGGCGCATTGAGTCAGTAGCCGAATGATGTTTTGCTTTGAAAAGGTTCCTTTATAGCAATCACTTTCAGATCTGATCAACTTCAGCATCGGGATAAAGTTGGCTGGGCAGACGACGCTACAAATTTATTTTTGTGTGTCGACGAGTTTGTCAAGTGCGGAAGTCGTCTGCCCTGCGAATCTGTCCCGATAGGTGGCTCGCTTGCAGGAAGGCGCAGAGGCAGCATCAATGTGCGTCTATGGTTGCTATGGCTGCAGACTGTCAGGTGCACTAGCTGGGCCCTCTCGGGTGTGTTGATGTGAGACGGTCTGATGCATTAACGGTATATAGTAGTAGGCGTTCCATCATTATATCTGTTTCGGAACAGACCACATGGCAAGGCCGTCAATGTGCACACAGGTACGCACCGTCAATGATAAAACCAGGGCACTTGCATGTCAATGTCAGATGCGCAAACACATCCAACCTGGCGCGGATGCCGTGTGCATGGTTGTGAATGTTTTGTACATTCAAACTACATGGTTTTTGCATTGTACGTCTTGTTGAATGAGATTCTGGTCTCAGTGAACTGCGGTCGAGTTCAATCCTCGGTTGGAACCCTCACATGACGGTGGACTGCATATGCTAGCGTGACATATACATTGCCAGGACCCTTAATTATCCATGCAAGGGCCGCTGCGGGTGATGTCAGCTAGCTAGATGGCTGCACTTAGTCGAGGATAGTTGCTCTGCGCAGATGATCATTTTACCAATCTGCGCACAAGTGCAAGTGCATGCAGTATACTATAAACACATCATGATGATTACATCTGAGACAAGGGCAAGTGGCTGCATGATCGCGCAGAATATTTTGCGCGCTATTGCCATGATTGAGCTAGATGGCAGATTTCTGAATTGTAAGTTTAACATACACTCGACCCAACCTGCTTATAGCCAGGACACTCACTTGTGCGGAGGGCCAATTTTGATGCAGCATTGCCGCATTCAAGTCAACAAGTCTTCAGGCCAGGCTTGCGTTTTAACAAATTTATCCTCACTTGGTATTCAGATTGCTGCTTTTCTTCGCTTCTTCTTTTTCTTCTTTACTTTCAGTTCCCGATCATCCTTCTTGTTCTGACTACTATTGAGAATGACGTTGTTGGACAGTTTCTTGTCCTTGATGCTTTTGGCCTTTGTCTTTGGGTTCCTTGATTTTTCGTCGTCCTCTGACCCATTTGAATCCTGCATTTACAGAGAATGCAATATACTCCAAATGAATCACATCCTTCCAGTTGAAAGATGCATCGCCTTGGTCCGCTGTCATAGATACGAAAGCAGGGCAAGGATCTAGAGAAGGCAGAGAATCCTGGGCCGTATCACACTAGTCGACGGTGATGAGGCTGGGCCGATTACAGCCGATTACACGAGACCAAAAAACAAAAGGAGAAAGGTGTGGACTGTTTACCTCATCGTTTCGTTGATCAGGTCCAGCGACCCCGGGCGCTGTACAAGCAGAGACACACTTTAAGGAGACTGTGAAAGGATTCGTCGTTTAACAAGGGTTCGACAAACAAGTGATTGCCCAAATCAAGCGGTTTGTTCCCCCTAAGAGTACCATAATCATCATTCAAGCGATGCACGAAGATTTCTTGCAGTACGGTGATAAGCAGAATCTTTGGGTGCGCTATATAGTATTGGAATACCCACACAAAAGCACTGAAAGAACCATACCCTGAGTCGTTTTCCCTGTTTTCGCAGCCTTGACAGCCTTCTCCACAAGCTCGGGGTCAAGGGCAGCAAAACCCTCTGGATCCTGCAACTTCCTCTTCAGGAAGCGGGCAAGCGCCGCAGCTTTGTTGGTTACGACAGGGCCTCCTGGATGGGCAAGTCTGCAGTGAAGCAAGATGGGAGAAGCGCTCAGCTTCATTGCAGTTTGGAGTACAAGCTCCCAACAGCTGAACACATCAAAGGCCCCCACACCCACTTTCAAATTCCCTACCACCAATGGCAGGCCCTTCTAAAGAAGTTTAGCAGCGAGTCACTCTGACCTCGAGCGGGCGCTCTTTCTACACAAGCGTAGAGAGTGAGACATCCCTGACATTGCCCCCTCTGCTCGTATTGTCTTCTGATGAACTTCATGGCTTGATCACATCTTAAAGGAAGTACTTGTGAAGTGCCAGAACTAGACGGCCAGTGCATTGATGGGCCATGATTGTACAGAGTCTCTTAATCTGTGAAGGCGCTGCCAACATCGCTGGAAGGCAAGTAGCCGGCAAACAATGAAGTTCTTCTCAGTGGAACGCAAAGCTGGAGCCCACCTCTTTGCTTTGGGCGCTTCTCTAGTAAGGGGCTGCAGACCAGAGGCCCCTCCGAACCGACTTGCCCGCAAAGCTCGTCTTTCATCATCACTCAGCTCTTCGACAGCGGTCAGAGACACGGCGTTCATTCTCATACTCAACGCTTCTACAGCGTCCTGGCTCAAGAGCGCCGTCTGAGTAGCACACTTTGTCTGCGTAGGTGTGACTCTGGTCTTCACATAGCTGCTGACTTAGCATCGCAAATGGTAGGAGGCCAGCCCGTCTACAACGACGCAGCGTTGTGGAACCAGTCCTGAAAGGCGCCTTCCTGGCTCTCCAGAGTCCACTACCTATTACAATGTCAAGTTTAAATTTTGTTACATCATGCATTCAATTTCAAAATTGGACTTTTAAAGTTTCTGCCTCATTCGTTCGCTTGCCGCTGATGCAGTTCATCCCGGACCCTAGTGACTGGTGTAAATGCGCATTGCCTCTGCTTCTGAGCCTTGTGACTGTACGCACGTTGACCTACTCGTTAACCCGCATGAACGCCTCAGGCCCCCGGGGGGGTTCGCTCCATTGTTAGGAGCTTTAACCTAAGAGATAGCACCTGTTCACATCACACCGGCAAGCTGATCCATCTTGGAAGAGACGCCATGTCACTGTGCACACATGACAGTGCAGTGCTCTTCCTGGCTCTTCCTGATCAGAATTTCAGTCTGACACTGACAGTGACAGAGAAGGCCCTACAAGAAGCCGTTCCTGGCAGCAAAGTGCAGACCTGGGGACTGGTGTGTGTTACTGGTAGGTACTTCAATTGCGCTTTCTGCAGTTTAGAAATCGAGAGCAACTGGTAATTTCGCTGTTCCTTCCCGCAATGCTGAAAGAAGGCGAGCTGCGGGGTTGTGATAGATCTTCCGTTTTGTCGAAGTCAGCGCAGGTGGCTAAAGCTTCTTTAGTTTTCAAGGCCAGTTGTTCTAAGTAATACTTGCAGTCCTTGTGAAGGCGCATTGGTTTTGGTGCTGTCACATTTGATCTTCAAAACCAAGGCATGGCCCAGATTGCAATCAGGGCAAGTGCTACTTCCTCCCCTTCAATTGTCGAACAGAACGGGATCCACAGAGGTCACCTGGAGAAAACAGACCTCTCGTGCCACGCCTTGAACGATGAAGCCAGCAGTCAGGGAGGTCAGAAAGGCCATCATGGGGGTCCCTTTCTCAGACCCAGGGCTGGTAAAACGCAGCTTAATATAGGAGTTGATCAATTGGCAGAAAATCGGGCGTTCCTGCGCAATGGACATCCTGTGACGTATGTTCTTACAGACAGCTGGCAACATGATGTGAAGGTGCACGCAGAAAGGACCTCAGCTGAAGCAAGGGCCACAACAGCCTCTGAAAACCTGACGGCAGCATCACAGTCAAACGAGGGCCAGTTTACCAGGCCAAAAACATCAAGGGACAGCCCCTTATCAAACAAACAATCTATGAAAGGCGCAGTTGCCGTTGAGGCAGCCACCCACTTCAAGCAGTTTGAAACAGTCCTGCAAGTTCTTGAGTCTCACGAGAAGGCTGTCAAGGCAGAGGTTAGGCACTCGGATGCTGCACAAGTGTTTCACAATGGCACGTGGCCCGCACTGCTGGGACTGGCACAAGGGTCAGCTGGTCATGCAACAAAAGGCAGCAAGTCTTTTGAGGTAATCACCCTATGTACGGCAGCTTTCCAGCTTGTTTTGGTTTCCTCATTGCAATCTGGTACAGACGGCCTGTTATCGTATCCGAGAGCAGACTGATAGCATGTGTTTAATTCTGGTTCTAGTTTAGTCGTCGCACGCTCCACTCTATTAGGATCTCCAATTCAAAGCCTTCTCTCTGCAAGAAAGTCCCACGCAAAGGCTTCTCTCTGCAGCTTCCTGGCAGACCTGGACTTTATAGATTGGTTCCTTGGTGCTGCATCGACCTTTTTTACGGTACCTGCAGGTGCATCTGCAGGAGATCCAAGCTGAGAGTTCTGCAAATAATGCTTCCTGGGCACTTGAGAAGGCGGAGATGGAGGTGACCATCTTTTCATGGTGTTCCCTTCTTTCTCATTTTGCTGGCGCCCCATACAACTGCTGAAACTGAGTCCCGATCTAGGTAAAGTAGGCAGCCTTGATAGTTCTCATTTTATGGGGAGAAATTTCTTTCCCTCTGAGGGGGAAGACATCGTGAAAGCTCTTCCATCGTGAAAAGTGTCTCAGCAACAAGCTTCGTCACCCCTGTAGGTTGCTGAGGTACGTGGCTGGTTGTACCAGATGACTCAGTCCGGCAGTTTTGCACAGAACCTCCGTGAACAGGCAGTCAGTCGTTCTCACTTGCCTCATGTCTGCGAGCAGGCCAAACTGGAAAAGATGAGCCGCGAGGTGGCCAATCTAGAGGCCCTGCTGCGAGATCTCCAGCAAGAAGCGCTCACGACCACCCAGACAGCCGGGCCGTGGCAAGGGGAGGAGGCAGAAGGGGAGGAAAGGGCTTGGTGGCAGCCAGCCCGGGTAGGCAAATGCTTCATATCCTGAGTTTTGCACCTTCGTGTTCGCTTGTTTGGATCCCCTCAGCAAACACCTGAATGAGAGGATGAAGGTGCCCCTGTTGGTTGACATGGCGATTGTGCAAAGGAAGGGTGCCTGCTTTTCTATGCCCCGTTCTCTCGAACTCTTGTGCAAGTTCTATGTTGAGGTCTCCAAGCTTCAATATGATCTACTTCCAAGTCTTTAATCAAGTGAACTTGGCTTTGACAAATACGGGGCGAACTGTCCATTAATTGGTTCTCATTAACGCCGACAAGTTCCGTTACTGCCACAAAGGAACCACAAAAAAACATTCATCCTGTCTTTCCCTTCAACTTAGAGCGTCCCATCTTGCCTCCTTCGAAGCCCCTCCTGAAGGAGCCTTCATACTTTTCATTCCTCTCATACTTCCCGCCGTCCTCACAGATGCTGGCCGGGTCTGCCTGGTCCTCCGCCTCAACGTCCATCCAACAGCTCAACCACACAGAACCTCAAGTACCAAACAATCCCCATACCGCCCGTTTCCTGCCTGTCCCTCAAGCCACCCCCGCAGCCTTTCCGCTCCTGGCCCCCCAACCACACTCCCCCTCATCCGATGCTCAGCTGCGGACAACTGAGCAGCCCCCACTGCTCGCAGCCGAGGAGAGCCTCACGCGGAGGCTCTCCGAGCTGCGTAGCCAGGTGGCAAATGCCCAAGGAGCGCCGCGAAACCCCTTCAAAACCCTCGGACTGCACGCCCTAGAAACGCTCCGGAAGGTGCAGCGAGGCGGGGGTGAGGTATTGGGCAGCTTGTCCGAGACAGCCCGGAGCTTGCAGGGGAGGGCGCTTCCAATGATGCAGAAAGGCCCCCGCGAGGCGCAGTTGGTAGTCGGAGCGGTCGTGTTTGCGGTGGCCGTAGCCGCTGCGGGGGGCTTGGTGCGCCGGGCATATCGGCACCAGCAGGAGGTGCGGATTGTGGCCATGCGGCTGGCGGCAGAAGAGCAGTTGTGAGTCCTTTCTCACCTTCAACGGCCTCTCCTGCAATCACTTGTGCTTTTTTAATTGTCTCGACCGAGGAATGAAGGCTCGTTATGATTACAGCATCTTCGTTTCTGAACGGTAACACAGAAACGGACGAGCAGGTGTGAAAACGGGCAGTTTTAGCATCTATGAGTAACCTCACAGATCATGTTCGGCTTTGTTCTCCTGATCACGTGTCTACTTTGCAGCTCGTTATTGATCGCCTTGTGTCTACGCAGACGGGAAATGCAGGGCACGGTCGTAGACCTGAACGTCGACAACTTTGTTCCCGTGTTGACAACCAGGTAAGTCAATCCGCTCCGCGTCTGAGGTTCTCGCCTTGGTGGCTCGTCGCAGAAAGTCCTCCTCGAAATCAGACTCCTACTTTGTACGTGACGTTCTCTCGCTTTCGCGTTCATCAAAGAACGGGTGCGGATCTCAGCCCCGGCCGACTCTATTCTGGGGAGGAATCTTTCATAGTTATCTGTTCGAGGTTTCGGGATCAAACCGGGGTATCTAGTATTCCGCCCCTCGAGCAAAGTTTGTGCTCGACAAATGTTTTCTCCGTGCAGGCCCACAATCGTCAAGTTCTACACGGATTGGTGCCCGTACTGCAAACGCATGGCCCCAACCTGGGAGGAGCTCGCGAAGCGCATATCTGAGAAGGGCTTGAATGTACAGGTATGCCGCTTCGATACCTGAGTCCACTTCCATTTTAGCAATCCAGGTTAAAAGCCGTGTGCAAGGGGCCTAGTCGCCAGATTTTCAAAGAATTCATAACACAACAGGACGGAGGATATATGCAGGGTTGGTGTCGAAAGTATCTTAAGGCATGTGCAATTGAGGAGTGAGTGCAGATGCGACGGTCCGTGATCTTTATCGGCTTTCTATGTTGACAAGCTATTCGTTTCTGCTGGTGGACAGGTGGCACGGCTCAACGCCGATGTATACTCGGAACCGGTGATGGATCTGAACCTGAAAGGCTTCCCGTCGCTCGTCCTCTTCCAAGGGACGAAGCCCATACTCAATTACACAGGGCCAAGGGACATCGATGCTTTGCTTGGTGTTGTCGAGGCGAGTTACGGTCACACCCCATAGTCATCTAGAATAGCGGCCTCATCCTCGACTATGATACGCGTGTGAGCTGCACAGCGTAGTCTCCTACAGGGATCGACTTTAGTCCGCCCATAGAGTCGCGCTTAATTGCAAGTTGTGCCCAGGGGTTTGTGTTGTCTTTCGGCAGGTGTCGGTAGGGGTGACGCTTCTCCAAACGTGAATGCCCAAATGGCCGTCATTTGATATACATACGAAAAGCCCTATAAAAAGATGAACTGGAGCTTGTCTTCACGCGTTCGTAGAGCTAGTTCTTCAGATTCTGAGAGTACAATTCAGGTTGCTTAACAAAAGATACATCCAATTGCGGAGTGTTCCGACTGCCAAGTGACCACGATCACATGCGTGAGTGAGTCAGGCTGGCATGCTTGTGAGCAGCTTAAGACGAATTCAACAGCTCTGCTGCCATGCTGTTGTCGCACTGGGCACAATCTGATTTGCACGGTGCACTCAACCATCTTGAACATACGTGGACAATCTGGGCATCAGTCGAGAGGATCGTGCACGAGAGCGCTGAAGGGGTGCATGTGCAACATATTATACATGCAGCTGCACGGCGTACTAGAACACCAGAGCTAGCTGCACCTGAAGATTGATCGAGTGCACATGTACACTGAGTAATTGTTTCAGGACATTGAATCGGCACATGTTGAACATTGAGTACTAATCACTATAGTGCATGCAGTCACGTTGATATGTAATAGATCCGATTTACATTGCATGCACGGTCACATCCGACCCTTGTAGATTGCATCCATCCTCGGCTGTGTTCAACCAGTTCGTAGGAACTTCAATCAGCCTTGTCTGAAAGCGGGCTTGTATACTATGCTGAGCTTCAAATGCGCATCCACTGCTAGACTCTCAGATCCAGACATGCGCAGGTGTGCCACGATTGGCCTAGTACAAACTGAAGCATGAGGCCCTTTCAGCTTACATTTGCATCGAATCCACCCGTCAGTACACGCCTACGAAACATTATCAAGCCCAGGCGGAACAGTTTGTTAACCTCGATCAGGCGCATGCCAAACCGCTCGTCCCTAAACAGCTCCCAGTGGTCGACCAGAAACCCCAAAGCGTCTCGCGCCGCTTTCCTGAACCCCTCAACCCGTCTCGCGCACCCCGTGACGTCACACCGCCCCGCCAAGTCCGAAAGCGTGCGCGCGGCCTGCTGGTGCACACGCGCATTACGCGACGCGAGCAGCCGCGCGAGGCGCAAGATCACCTGCCCCCCGAACGGGCTCTTTCGGAGGCGGCCCTTCTTCCCCAGCCTATCCGCGACGGCCATGATCTCCCGGTGCGTTTCCCGCAGCTCCTCATCTTTCATAACCGTTATGTCCGCCGCCTCGGCCAATTTAATCTTCGCTCTAGTTTTCCCCTGCGCATGTCCGCTGAACATGTCTCCCGGGCACTCCCATAGATCGTGATCCTCTTGCACCGCTCTCCGCTTGACTTTCTTCCGTTTCACGATGCTGTACGTCCCCATCTCGAGGAGCTTATCTAGCTTCGCTAACAGTTGCCGCTGCTTCTCGGCGGCCTTCAGCTTCCCTGACAGCCCGCCCAGCCGGCCGCGCTTCCGCAGGGCCCGCTGCTCCTTGACGTAGGCCTCCGTCAGCGTGACGTCACTCTGCAGCGCCGCGGCCAGCTCTGCACCCGTCATTGCCACGGCCGGCCCCAATAGATCTGCACGGGTGGAATAGAGATAAGGCCGCATTGACATTAAACTGAGCAGAACAGAACATAAGAGGAAAGTAAACTTCAAAAGACCAATGAGTCAAGTGACGTCAACCAGATACCTGACGAACATAGCAGAGGAACGTTGAGCGGTGGGGCGGTAGGCCTGCTGGTAGGGCGATGACGGAGTGCGACCCGGCTTGGATTTGCCTTTGGCCGACCCCATAGAACTGAACTTGATATAAACGACTCAGCGGATGCACCAGCTACGCTTCGCAGCACAACTTGTTTGCCACGAGTGAAGGTTTGAGCCTCCTGAGAAGGAGCACGGTAATCGAACATCACGGTAAAAGGGCAAGGCGAGGGCTAAGGATCAAATCGCCGGATTGCGCAGCATATGAATCAACGTTCGGTGACAACAAGCAGAATCGGTACGCAATTTGAAAAATAAAAATGCGATTACAATCTGTTGGAACAGCACAAGCAGAGAAGCTTCGGGAGTTGAAACCAAGAATCGCAACAGGAGAGTGATTCCAGAAAAAGCTCTGGAGTAGGGATGGTAAAAGTAGGGGCGCACAAAGCCTGCCAAGACGTCGTAGTACTTCTTTCGGGCAGGCTGGCCGACTTCTCAACGAAGTCAACAAGATGAGATCGCGTTTCCCACTACTTCTACTGTCTCACGCCTACAAAATTTTCCAATCAACGGCTTACCTTCATCGTCTTTACTCCGCTCCATCCAGGCCGGCCTCGATCGCTCGGCTTTTACGCTCGGTCGCTTTTTCTGTTTCCTCGGGGTCACAGGCGGTGGGGTCAAAGGCGCGGGCGCTTCCCTTAGAGGAGCAGGAAAAGACCGAGGCGGGCTTCCAAAATGGGCCTCGGATTCGGCTTCTGACTCTGACTCTCCTGCTGAATCATCGCTTCCGTCGCTTTCTTCTTCGAGTGCCTTTGGCACACCCCATTTCGGGGGAATACTAACAGTTTCACGAGGGGAGGACGGATTGTTAGAGCAGGATCCACCTCGCGGGGGGGTGCCTGGCGAGCTCAAGCCAGGCGGGTATTCCGGCGCACTGCTTTGGGGGGGGGTATCCGGGGAGCTTTGGTGTGGAGGGGTGCCAGGCGGAACAGGTAGATCCGGACCTAGCGGCCTTGTTTGCGCGCCGGGGACAGGTTGCACAAAATTTGCAGAGCCGTCTTCGACTGAATCGCAGGCGCTTCTGCATTTCGTTCTCCGGGTCGCTACTGGAGACGCCGCCCCGAAGCCAAGTTCGCCGCCCCGAGCAGAGACCTTCCTCTGAACTCTTCCCGCTGGCTGATACTCGCTCGGGGGACCCGGAATCTCGGTTTCTGGGACCGATGCGGGAATGTTTAGAGGTCCAAGACGTTTGCGTGGCTCCAACGAACCCGCAGCAGAAGCGTGGAGGCGATCAGAGCCCGCCACGCCGCTGTCCACTTTGGGAATACTCCAGCCACCTTGCGCTCCGCTCAACGGTCCCGGTCTGTTGACCCCCAGAAACTGTGGCCTCGGCCCGACTGCCGGGAACAGTGCAGAAACGGCTGCCGCCTTTTCCGGAGCCGTGTCTAACCGCACCTCCAAAACCGTCTTTTCTGAGCCTTCGACAGGCCCAGACGCGTTGGCACCCAAGAGGCCCTCTTCTCCCGCCCCTGTCCCCGCCGATCTTGCCAGATTGTCCGCTCCCCCTACCCCAGATACGCTGGTAATTTGGACAGGGTTCCGGGCATCGTGGCAGCCGCCCTGGGACCAGAACGAGCGCACGTAGCGGAACCAGAGGCTCTTGAGGGTGCGGCCGCCCCGGCAGGTGAACTCCGCGTTGAACAGGATGTCCTCCTTGCTGTGCAGGAACGGGCGGTAGCGCATGCCCGCGGTGACGTGGCAATCAATCAACCGCACCTGAGGATAGTAAGTATTTCTGATCAAGTCTTTTGCGACCAATGGATTCTGACGCTTTGCTCGTCAACAACAATGCCATGAACCTGACAAATTTAGCAGGGACCGCCCGGAAAGCGAGGCACGAAGACGAGCATAAACCAATCGAGCAAAATCGCCTACCTTGATTGACAAAAATAGAAGCAACTGATCCTGAAGACCTGACTTCCAACATGAGATTCGATTTTTACCACTATCGACCAAGAAAGCCGTGATAGACAATGCCAATGCTTCTCGAAGAGCTTATCAGCATCGAGACTAATAAGTCAAGTTGCAACTAGTTTTTCACCTTCGCTTTGACGGTTTGCAAGCTAGCGAAGAGGACAGTTTTGCTGGCTCATCACAGCATAATCTGCTTCGTATGGCCAGACGCTATCCGCTGAGAGCAATGTTTAGAATCCACACAGTAGGGGCACGACCGAGGTACTACATCTCGAAACGCACCCACAAAACTATTCCTGGTAACGACTATTCCATTGCACCTCACCTTGTAGATGGACGCTGAGTTCGCTTTCAGAAACAGGTCCCCGTCCTCTGGAATGTCGTCCAGTCCTTTCCAGCACTCGAAGCCGAACACCCCGACCCGTTCCCCCGCACACTCCAGCATCTGCCGCTGCCCATATAACAGCGCCTCCCACATTGCCACGTGGCGCCTCTCCGGGCCGGCCACGAAGCCCATCACGTTGTCGTCGATCTCCCAGTAGTGCGAGAGGCCCGCCGCTGCGGCAAAGCGCTTCATCGTGTTGCGGACTCCGCCGATGCTGCTACAACCTTGCCCGCTGCAGGAAAGTGGTGTTTGAGGTAGTTAGTTGGAAAGAGTTGCTTTCGAAGGAAGTGAGAGTTGGGGCCAAAGGAAACGCGTCGTTGGTTTTGCGGAGCTGTAGAAATGCAGCTGCTCCAATCAGCGGCTGCTTGATTGGATCTCAGACGAGAGGCGCGCCAATGCTGCAAAGTGCTCGTACGAAAGAGAACCCAGCAATCGTTTGACGTCGAACAGCGTCTAATCGCGAGTCGGTGGAACTGATTATCATCCAATGGTGGATACCTAGTAACGCTTCATCGTTGGACTGAAGCGCAAAGTCTGCTAATCTGAAGTCACTCATTCTGTCTTGAAAGCGAAGCATAAAGTTGACACGATGAAGGACTTTTGCATGTAGGTCCGGGAAAGCAACGGGTTGGAACTCGCAAAACCAATCAGAGCCGATCTCAGTGTAAGGGACTGGACCCGACAGCCGACATATTCAGCAAGTCGTTCCACCCCACACTTCACTCTGCTGAGTTTCATCCGTTCATGCTTCTATCGACATCCAACAATCACAAACTAGATTGGTCAGCCCACCTTGGCAGAATGGCAAACAGCAGCTCCGGCCACCGCGCACGGTACGCTTCTAATTCGTCGCCCCTCACGAACACCACCACCGGCGTCTCCCCTACCCTCCTTGGTCCCAAAGCGCACTCCGCCTCAAAGTTGAGGTACGCAAGGTCAGCCCGCCCCCTGCTGGGCACGAAAACGGGCGCCACGCGTGCTGACGTCATCTTCCGAACCCTCGCCTCCCGCCACGTCCGCATCTTCTCTGCTGGGCCCAGCACGGTAACGCCAGCAATGACGTCACGAGCCCCGTCAGCAAAGATGCTACCGAGTTGCAGACTACCTGCCCCCCCGCTGCGACTTCGCTCCGCCCGCATCTCCTCAAAGCCTTTTGGGCACTCTTTCTCCGCCGCTTCTTCGAGTCGCTCCCAGCGAGGAGGGGCCAGGAGGTCCCCCTCGCGCATCTGCCGCAGCGCTAGCTTGAGCTCCACTTTGAACTCGGGGCGGCAGTCCGGCGCTTTCAGCAACTCCAGCAAAGCGCGCTCGACGTCGCGGTACCTTCCCGTGACCAGCTGCATCTCAAACAGCTTTGTCCGAGCGGACTTGCGCACCAGCTCTCGGACAGCCTCCGCATCTTCGAGCGGCTCTAATGGGAAGGCAGCCCTGCGATCCTTTTCTCTTGCTTTCCTCGCTTCAGCTGTGTGACTATCCGGAGTTTGAGGCTGCCCGATCTCATCGGGCTCGGACCCTTCCCGCGCCGACACAATGTCGGATCTGCTCGTTCCTAAGGCTTCGCTGCTGAGAACTGATCTCTCCCCGTTCGTCCCGCCTTCCGCCCTGTGGCCTTTCTCGGTTGCTGGCCTCCGTTTTGCCTCGGCTTGTCCCTTGATCGCCTCTGAAGGTTCCACTGGGCTTCCATCCCCCCTGACCGAGCTCTCCCCAACCCCCCCGCTGCCTCGCTCTGCCGCTGTGCCAGGCAACCTTCCTCTGCATTCCACCACCTCATCTTTCTCCCCCTCCGACTTCAATTTCGCCCCAACAACACCGCTTCCAAACTGTTCCGTTGTCCCCTCCAAACCCGCAGGCTTCTGCCCCTGCGGTGCAACCGACCCTGAGTGACGCGGCACCTTCGCCACCGGCCCTGGCAGATCTTTCAGAGATATCCGAAGCCTCAGCCCTGGCCCTTTCACCAGCATCGCAGGCTTTGCCCGCTCTCTCTCGCCCCCAACCGCAGTCAATCCAATTCCCCGATCGCCAGCTTGCTTTCCGCTGCCCACCTCCGCCTGAATGGCCTGGCCATTGTTTACGCGCTCCCTGTTAGCCTGGCTAGGCCCACCGGTGCCCCCACCATGAGTATCTTTGACCCCAGCGTTGTCACCCTGTACTCCGCTTTTTTGCACCTCTGATCCATCATTTCCACCATCGTCCTCTTCACTCTCGGAGTCCTTTCCCTCCTGCTTCTGCTTCTCTGAAGCCTGCTTCAAGCTGCCAATCGCTGAACGCTCTTTCTCTTCGTCCACAGGCCCACCCCCTGCGTTGCCCTCCAGACCACAGCGCTCCTGAGGCTCCCTTCCAACTTCCGGCGCACTGCCCACCACTTTCTTCTCGTGTTTCAAGCCCTCAGCTTTCGCACTGGAGGCTTTCAATCCATGCTGCAATTTTGTTGTGCTCTCAGTCCCTTCTTTTTTCGACGCGACTGGGCCCTTGCTCAGGCCCGCCCCTCCTCCTGTAGTGTTCGGTTGCGTCTGCCCCATCTTCCTCCCCTGACTGCTTCCTAACACTTTGTCGTTCGCCCCCTGCATAACCTTGCTTCTTCCTTCCAATGCATCCCCTTGGCCCCTCTTTCTCTTCAGGTCCCGCCTCAGCGCACTCCCCCCCTCCCAGACCCGTTTCTTCAAGCCCCCCAATTCGCCTGCCCACTTTCTCTTCAGCTTGTTCACCGCACTCCCCCCCCTTTTCTGCCCGGTCCTCTGCACCCACACCTGTGGCTTGGCACCCTCTTTCTTGGATGCCCTAGGCAACCGGACCACCGCTTCCTCAAACTTCTGGTTAAGCTGCTCGAGTGTCCCGTGAATTGAGGAGCCAGTCTCGGGGTTCCAGCGGATCTTCTCGGTCACGGCGTCGCGTATCGAGCCCAAGACTAAAGGCCCGTTGCGGTTTGGCTTGCCCTGCGAAACGAGCAGAGGGACAGTGTCACCTAGACATGTTTATTGGAAGGGGGGAAATAGTACAGACCAGGAACTGGTGATGCAAGCCAGTTGAAGAAAATAACACGTCATCAGATTGAGGAAGTAGTGGTAAAGCGGGTTTACCCACAGGTAAAGCAGTTTTACCCACACCACAGATAGTCATGCTGAGCATGTGCGTGCTGTACTCTGTAAGCTTGCTTCAATTGGCGGGATACTTTTGGTACCATGCACCTTTCCAAGCTCTTAACTCAACCTGCAAACCCCCGCAACTTTCCCATACATGAGGAGTAATGGGGACAACCTACTAAGCAACAATTGCCCAATGCAGAGCAAATGATTCAACTGAATTTATCAGTGCCAACGACTGCCCTGGGAAGAGGTGCACAAAAGTACACCTGCCATCGTATTCTGGTGAAAGTCAATGCAAATCGTGATCAAGCCCTGTGAGCTGCAATTGCCAACAATTGTGCCGCCTTAGACAACTTTACCTCAATTATTGTTGCCAGTCTTGCGATGCCACAGACGGGAGAAAAGCTTTTCAACCCCTGGCATAGCATTTCCCAAGGAAAGCCAAAAAGAAGAGTAAGATAACCGCTTACATTCAGAGTGTGAAAGAAGAAGATGGGGCTTCCAAAGGCATCGTTCGCGCCCGTCTTCGGCACTCCAACAAACCCACGCGCCTTCCAATCTGCCGCCAGCTTCAGGCTGCTGGGACACGTCATCACCAGTTTCCGGCTCCCTTCACTTTCCCCCTCCGGCCCCTCATAGAAAAGCTTGAAAGGCTCGCTCATGAGCGTTTTCACCTTCTCCTCAGGAAAGCCCTCCTTAGTCGGGTTCAACGCTAAGATTCGCTTCTTGTGCTGCAGGCCTTGCAAGTGCACCGCAAAGTGCACACCCCGGTAGGAACCGCAGTCCCCATGGACCAGCACGCCGATCGCAACCAGCGTCCAAATCTCGAGCATGAGGTCCCGCTTCTGGGGGGCCGCTTTTGGCTCTTCGCCAGCTGGCATTGCGGCACTCTGCGGCCCTTGCGCCATTTTGTCGGGATTGCCACTAGAGGCAGCCATTGTCCATTTCAGTTCCGGTGGTGGGGGTATTCAATGCCCGGCTGTGCGCCCATGGGTGCGGGAGTATGCACCTACTTCACAATGCTAGAGCCAATACATTCGGCATTCTGCGTTTAAAAAAGCTCACTAGAGTGATTGTTGTATCTTCTGAAATTACCACCATTCATCAGGTGTCAACATGAGCTGTGTTTTGTCACAAGCAGAGCATAGCGGACTCTCTACACCGTCCTGCAATGTTTCTTCTATGAACGAGTAGGTACCATTGAAGTGGGTTTCCGACCCTGCTGCTGGAATTGACAGCATTCCAAACTCCAAATGTGGAGCTAGCTAGAGCTTATCCACAATGCACACCTGCCGGCCGGCATGTGGCTATGACCATGTGGAACCATGTGATCTTATCGGACGTCGCAAAAGTGACCCATAGCCCTTGCGAACTTTCTGGAAGTCAATCCGACGACTGAGCGTGATTCTCGGCCGAAGGTCCCATCAACCGCACGCCAGCAAAGACGGTGACTGCGCTGGTCCTTGCGCAGATGCGCACTGGCAAAAGCTTCGGGGTTTGCAATTCATTCATACTTCAACAAGCTGTGACCCGATCAGTCCCCCTGCGGGGGACTGTGGCTTGCCGTCGATCAGGTGCCGTTTGCACGAGTTGACTTTGAATTTAGCGTCACGGCGGGGCAAAGGGAAAGGGCAGGAAAGCGCAGCGCGCAATCCAATTTTCATCGTCAGTTGGTCAGGCGGCAGGCCACATGCATGCATGCGACGGCACACACTGTCGGTGACATTCCCTGGCATCATTCATAAACTGGTTACGAATCCTAACCCCGCATCCGATTAACCTCGTACATATCGACGCTTAACCCGACAAGTAACCCAAACATACCAGCTGGCGTAGCAGGTCGATCCCAGCCAAGCACGTCGTTACAGACCGACGGGCCATGACTGTACCGATAATTGCGGACCTCGGCCCGCAAAGTGCGGAGCGTCAGGCGCTTCTTTCTGATATTGAAAATTAGTGTCATGCATGGCGCGCCATGCGTGAACGACAATTAGCAATGTCCGGCCAAGACAGATGGCACTAAACCCTCCGAATCGAATTTTGGCTAAGCCAACGGCCAGTCTAGGAATTACGGTCTGAAAAATGGTTCACCTGCTAGCAGATGTTTCGTTCGTGATGGAACCCTATGGGTTCCCCTTGAAAGGGCAAGCCAATTATAAGGACCGTAGCTTGCGCCATGGGGCCGAAGAGTGTCAACACACGATCCGACCGAGTTCGAACAATGGTACTGAGATACTATTTATCTAGCTATCCTACCTAAGGCAACCTTTGACACTCTATCTCAGCTAGCCCAATGGCACAGGAGATGTGCACCTACGCCTCAGCACTGGTGTGCTCTACGCTTGAACTTGAAGGCTTGGCCACTGGTGTACCCATGCTAGCTTGGACGCCGAGGGAGTGCCTGTGTTGTCTTGGAGATTAGCTAGCAGACTAGTATCTCAGGCGGTTGTTTCGAAACTCATTAAATCGTAGGATGACAAGACTGAGCGGGAACGTCTGCTTTGGATGCGACTGGCTGCAAGACGAGACTGATAATCCGAGGTAGCTCGGCCGACATAGGACTACCACTCAGGATACGGTTTTTCCTTGTGAAGCAGTGGCACCGTCATGCGGCGGGGTCGCGCCGGGCTTACTCTAAGAAGTTCACAGCTACTCAGTGCTCTACCGGTTGGACAATTAACGGCATCCCGATCGAATGCAGTACTTCCATTTCTCGACCTACCGTCAGTAGCTTGTCCTGCTATCCCGAGAACCTTTTAAGTGTGAGCTCTGAACACCGATGACAATGCTGTCATGATCGGCCTTGAAACAGAGTAGCACGCGTCAAGAGACATGAGCAGATAGAGATTAGACGTTGGCCGGACGTGCTCAGCGCAGGCAAACATTCAGCAGAAGATGCGGAGATGATGGACTTCGAGTAGGCGGTGCCAACGTAGCACAGATGGTCTCTGAAGGGGCTAGCGTACCTTGTAGTAAGACTGAGAGGATTCGAACTCCGAGTGTCAATCGGCCGATTGATATGAAAGCTTGTCCCGCGTCATGCATCATCCGACCCCGCGACGTGGACTGATTAGATACGAAAATGTGTTTCCCCAGTTAAAACACAATGATATGAAGGACGAGTTGTACGGCCATGCGGGACATTTTCATCGACTCTTGAGAATTGATGACGTCTAGTGTAGCAACATAACGAAGATCCGAATCCAGTGCCCCATGAGTTCTGATACGACCAAGACGGGAGTGGCTTAGAGACTTGCACACTGTTGGAAGAAAGTGGTTAAGATGTCGGCCACATGGTTGTCATCAAGCCAATCATCTCAATGAGAACCAGTCTTCCTTGGTTCTGAATCTAGGAATTTTTCGCCTCTATCAGACAGCGTATATATGGCATAACAGTCAAGGACTGGAAACGTCCGGGAACGAAGTTGCTCAAACGATGCACTCGACAACGCCGTTGTGAGATCTCGGACAGTTCAACGTGCAATCTTGCATTCGTGACTGCCCCAAAACCAATGTAGCCTACCCAATGCACTGAAGTCGTCCAATAAAACTTCAAGGCAATGACAAAGACCAATCCGGACTCGTCCTTCAAGCAGCTACACGTGACCGGACGTTTAGAAACACCTGATACGATGACATTGGTGAACGAATCACTCAATCAAAGAAGAACCGTTTAGATTCTCGCTGACTGCTCGTAAGCCTGCTTGTCTGACCGTGTTGCTCCTGTTTCCAGAGCTTAGCTGTCTGCTATTCAGATACTTGTAACATGACAACCATTTGACTTATAGCCTACCAAAACTGATTACCCTGTACACTCGCTCGCTTGCACTGCCGCATCGCCCTTCAATGTACAATGCGGGAACGAGCGGGTTTGAACGGCCAGATACTTGGTTATCGATGACCCTCATCTACAATCTCAGTGTTCCAAGCTCAGTCGTCCTGGTTTTGCATCAGGATGACGTAATTCAGGACGTTTGCAAAGGCCACCCTGTACGATAATATGACGCGGAGTCAACATAGTCACGAACTCTGAATGTAGAGAAGAATCGGGAGAACGGGAAACCGAAAGGAGGGAGATTAGGGATCAACAACGTGCTTTCGAAAGCGCACAACAGGCGACGCTTCGACGTGCGGGCGACCAGCCCAACGAGCATAGACGCAGCGTGTCTACTACTGGAACGGACTTGAAGCTGATCGGCCGCAACGCTTCCAACACGACCGTCTGTTCTATAGACGAGGACGTGCCTACCAAGCCTGATGGTGAAAGCCGACAATCCCTAGGGAGCCATACGAAGCTAAGGCTCTCATCATGCCTCAGTAACTCGCACAAAAGAACCGTTCTTGACAATCTTCGAAATTGCCCGGCCACCAAGCGACGATACAAGTACAGAGACGAGCGTCCTCCTTCGACGCCGGGCGCCCGGCGGCCGAGAATCCGCCGTTTAAAAGCGCTTCCTCAAACATGCAAGCAGAATCCTTTGGTGGTACGTACCAGATGACGGAGGGAAGGATGAGACTGCCGGCGGTGGGACTGACGGAGTGGTACAGCTGGTAGGTCAGGACGAGCGAGGCCAACAGAAACAGGTTGTCGATCTGCGCCTTTCCCTGCACCAACGGAAGGGAGCGAGTAAGCTAATAAGTCTATGACCGTGTCTAGAACTCCTGCTGGACCCTTTCGCGAATATTGCCCGGCTGCATTCTTGCGCCAGTCCCGGCGCGTTTCTGTAAACCGTCCGAGTTGGAGCAGTGCAACTCCGGTTTCAGAGATCTAAGCTATCAGAAAGTCAAGCTATCAGAAATTTCATCAAAAAGAAGGTTCATACAGAAACAGACTGCTATGTTCTGGGCCTGGGAAAGCCGTGCGGCCAAAACTGTGACTGTCGTTCATCGAAGCTGCAGCACACATCTCCGAAAAGAGTGCAGTGCAAAATTTGGTGGGCACAATCATCGTCGTCATCATTAGTAACGATTTGCGGTACCGCGCCCTAATAAATAGATTGCGTCAGACACTCTTTCATCCGTGGCTATCTAGACTCCTCGCTCGTAAAACAGTCCTTGAGCTTTCACCACCGTAAAAGTCGTTCAGTCTTCCAAGATCCAGTTTACCATGTCTTGATCCGACTTGCTTGGAACAAATGCTTAGCTCTACTTCGCTATTTCGACGAAACGACTCACTATTTTCTTCTCGATGAAGAAGAGCTGCGGCCACTTGAAGTTGAAGTACAGCTGGGCCGCGAAGACGGCCAGCGGGAGCGCCTGCTTCTGAACCCCTGCAAATGCGTACCCTAAATGGTGAGCGAAAGGCTGCCAGCACTCAGCGTACATTCTCACCAACTCAGACGCAAAGAGTACATGTTGCGGGTGGCAACGAAGGAAGACAAAGCGCGCGATGCTGACTTCGATACTGACTTCGACTCGATACTGACTTCGATCCTGACAATCTCCCTTGAATAAATAGGATGATCAGAGGCGGACGGAAAGGGACGCGACAGAGAGACAATACCAACCAATTGGAAGGCAAGCTGCCCCTGCAGCGCTTTAGCTTCACGTGTACGTCGAAAGTGTGACAACTTTCAAACATTCCCCCTCACCTCCTCCCTCTGTGATGACAATATAGGTGGCCGCGGCCATCAGCGCATAGAGGCCCGTCCAAGCGATCCCATAGACCGGTTCCTGCGCAACATGAAAAGCTGTCGAAAAACAAATGGAGCAAACGCAAGGAACAGGAGGGATGCAGCCGCTGAAAAAGAAACGACCGGCAAAGGAACCTGATTCTGCTCCTTCGAAATTCCTGCTCAGGAGCTTCGGCACCCACCGTCAAAATTCCGAACGAGAAGAGGACGTCAGGCCGAGAAGCAGCACGAGCCATTGGGCAGAACCGGTCCTCTGACTTCGTGGAGAAGCTTGCTAGAATTCCAGAGATGAGGCATTTTGCTTACCAAGCTGTGTAACATCAAAAGAACGATCACAGCCGAGTGCTTTGATGACAGACTCAGAAATACCGATTGTTCGCCACAAAAGCAGACCTGGGCTGGAATCAGGGTAGAGGGTAGAGCACAAGCAGGTTCGTCATGTGCTTCATGACACCAAATCTCTACTGGGTGACAGATTGCAGCTCAGAAACCAGACATCAATACACAGAACAGCTTCCTGCTTCTTCATCACTCTTCGACCCAGCCTTCGGGCCTCCGTACAATTGGAGCAAGCATGCACCGGGCAGCTCACTGGCGGCGCGAACCACGGTTTCTTGAGGCTCCTGTACCAGTCCAGGTCCCTCTTCGCCTCGTTTGTTGCTGCCGCCGCCCCCCTTTTTGCGGCGTCCTGCACGTCTCTCGCTTCCCTCATCTCTTTCAGCACATTCCTGACCGGCCGCGGCTCTGTCTCCTCCCGCTCCTTCTGGCCCTGCTCTGCCCGCGCCCTACCAAAGTGCCCAGACCCAGTTCTAAAACTAGAAGCCGCTCTTCTCTGCAGTGAAATACTAGAGCGGAGGGCATTTTGATTTAAGCTGCCAGGAAGTCCAGCGCTGTACCGCCCACGTGCCACAGAAGGCCCCGAACTGCACCCAAGCTCAGGGCATGGCGCTCCATGGGCTGACCCGAAACCTCGAAGTGAGCTGGCTGGGAGCTCAGAGCTGTAGCATGCCGGGCGCTCTGAAAAGCTGGGCTGTTGGGCGCCCACCGGGACTTGGGCCATGCCGCTGAAGGCTGGGGCGCTGGCCCGTACAGAAGCGGCCGCCATTCTGAACCTGCTTAAGGAAGCCTTTACAAGTAGAAGGAACTTCTCCTGAGGAAAGCTTGAAAGCTACTTTCAGATTGCGCAATCTCCAAGCTCGCCCTAATTGCATCCAACAATTCCTCCGCCCCAATCGAACAAACAGGATCGCCAAGTATGGAGAGAGTCTCTGTGCTTGGCTTCCAGGGAGTCGAGCTGGGATGTTTGTCCTACGAAGCAAGAGCCGGCCTTTCCTCGCTTCAGCTTCTTCGCGAACTGTCTCTGAATTCAAGTCAATCATGCATGCATGAGGGGCCCAGAGTCAGACCTGCATGAGTGCATGCAATCTGCCCCCTCCGTCTTCTTCCCTGATTGTCAGTAGTAATCCCGAGAACCTGCATGCAGAAAAATCAAACCGGACCGCGGCTCAGGAAAGGTTAGAGTGTGAAAACCAAGCATGCACCATGCATGCAAGGTGACGTCAGTACGCGCCAGCTTATCAGCAGTGTTCCGGGCAGGGCCGCCGGGGCACTTTCAAGTCGATGTGATCTGCATGTGGCGACCGCCAATCATGTGTGGCGGCAGTGGCGGGCACCAGATAAGCTGGCCATGTTTGCAATTAATCTGTTTGCTCTCATTGCCCCTGACTTTCGAACCTTGGCAGGAAGGTTGTAGATCAAGGAAATTCTCGGCTGGTGCACGTTGATTGGCATACCTCCTTTTCCTATTTCGTTGGTCACTCATGGCCTCGAAGATGATTCGAAGATCGCTCAAATTCAGCGAGGATCTCGTGACATACTTCACACAAGAACATTAATGGAAAGGAATGAATAACAGGAGACAAATCTGTATAGCACATAGCAAGCACACCGGCTACTTGAGCTCTCACATGTTCTTCCGTCGTTTTAATATGGGCCCGAGATGTTACGCCAATGCAGACGTCGAGCGCGTGCCATATTTAAGCATGCAGTCAGTACATAAAGGGATCGCTCCAAACGGCTTGAACTTTGACACATAACAGCTTTGAACCGTACTAAGCAAAGACATTACAGTTGCGCACCAGAATGCTGAAGCGGGGTCGCAAATACTGTGCAATTTTTCCCAAAGTATACATGGAAGGTTTAATCCATTTGAGTCACTGACGTTTGCCCGAAAGGATATTCCGTATGTGCGAAACTCGTGGGCCAGCTTCCATGATCTCTATATGTCCTCCACATAACGAGGGTTCCGAGGTTCAATATCGACTCTCAGAGCTATCAAACCAAGGCAAAAATAGGACGTGATCAAATATTTGGTACACACTACTCATTTATGTTACAAATCGCTAACGCTCGGAACTTCGTAACTCTCTCTAAGCGCCAACAACGCAGTCGGTTGCTTACTGCTGCTTCTTCACGCGGCTACCAATCTGTACGAGGATCCCGTCAATGTCCTTGACGTACCTGCAATGATACGAAGTTACACTTCAGCGGAAGTCGCAAAGAAGGCTGTGCTGATGATCAATCAATACCAAGATGAAGCACACGGATATGTGCATACAGAGACAGGATCCGCAGAGATCTCGGTCTCACACGAAGTATCGAAACCGTACGAGTATCGAGACTGAACAGGACGGACGAGCACAACGGGTTGACAGTGAATTAAGTTTCAATGGAACCTGCTCGATGAGCTTGTCTGCTTGTTACCCATCTGCGTCCTCTCAAACCTTAGCTCTTCTGAGAAACGGGGAGCGCGTCCAACACTGACTGAGCTCCTACGAAGTTGGCTTCGTTGAAGTTGGTTTTCAATTTTGCAAACGAGATGGCGTTGCCTTGATTCGAAGGGCAAATGGCGACAATTGAACGGACGATGTAAATCCCAGAACGAAGGGCGTGTCTCTTCAATGGGCTCACCCGGCAGTCATGCCCCACGGTTTGGGCTCGGGCTCTGCGCACGGCTTTGCGCCAGAGTCGATGGCGTGCTTGTACGCACTGTTCACGTCATCGTACGTGAAGCTGACCAACACGTTGGGGGCAGCCTCACTGTCGTCGTGTGATTTGACACCGCCGGAAAGAGCAGTCTCCCGCTGCAGGAAGATGGTTGCAGCAGTAAGATCAGCAGTACAACCAAGACGCCACACTCAACAGGTATGGCTCACAAACCCTTTCATTGTATCCACGTAATCCAGGGTCTTGCGCAGGCAGCGTAACTACCCAACGGGCTGTTACCATCAAGATCTATTTGGAAGAACTTGGCTCACAGCTACTCTGGACACAAGCGCACAAACAAGGCAAAGTGGAATTTCGTTTCAACTCTCAGCTTCGCAAGAAAAGAAAAGCCACTATGTTCAGGCTGTTTGGTTGTCCCCTTCAGAGAATGGCTTCGACCACCTAGAAAAGGTTGAGCTACTAATGGTGGGCCTAAATCAAACCCTCTCTTCCGAGATGCTTCTTTTGGACAAGTGGTTGCCCGCTAGGAATGTCTTTGTCATCCTTTCGCAACAAGGTGTTGTCTTGGATGACCAAACCACTACATAGAATTGACTGAGCTGTAGCTGCTCATCATCACTGATAAGTTCGTCTGGGTTGCCCAGCAGGTACCAAACATCCAGGCAGCTGAGTACTGGCAATACTTCAGATTGCCAGAAATATGTTGAGCAGAGTCTGACAACCAAAAACCTCAGTACTAGGTGTTGGAAGCTGAGCTTGCTCCACCACCAGACCTGTGTAGCTCAAACTCTAGGCGAAGGATTGCCTGAACAGATCTGTGTATCTTTTTAACGTAGTGAACATTCATATGAGAAAGATGCAAACATCGTGATCATGCCCACATGCCCAAGTCTCCACCCAGCCACTTTCACACAATTGAAACTTCCTTTGACGCACAGTCTGGCGACTGCTTGAGAATAGGGAGTCAAAAAAGTTGCTTGGTGCAACAAAGCATCCGCAATGCTGTCAGTCCATGGCATCAAGGAGGCCTGCTCTTATTTACCTGCGCTTTTGGGGTGAAAGCCAGTGTTGTGGAGCCAGTCTCCATCTCAGCCCAGGCAGTCCTCTTCTCCCCAGTGGCCATCCTGGTCTTCAGCCCAAAGGCCTTCTCGTAGAAGGCAATGGACTTCTCAACATCTTCCACGTAGACAATGATGTAGGCAAGAGCTGGTGAAGACGCCATTGTCCTGAAGATTGATTGTTGCAACACCGACCGGAGCTGGGGTGGTTGACTAGAGGAACAAATTGCAGGCCCAAGCAACTTCGAGAGGCGGCTTCCAAACATAAGATTGTGCAGCTAGAGCAGACGACAAACGAGACAACCGAGCTGTTCACAGCTGAGTCGAAGCAAAACGATTGGTTGCTGTGTGTTCTTCCCCGCAATGCCTATGCTAGCTGAATGGTTTCCCTCGGTGGTCTGTTTGCATGCAGAGCCGGGCCAGATCTCGATGCATGCAGATCCTCGCGGCCTCTGGCTGCAATCGCAAACAGGATACGCGTTCCTGTTGCAGGCAGCCACCATGCTTTAACCATCATCCCCCCATTATCTCGAGAAGCGCATTTCATGACCGCGCACGGCTCTCTGTGGCGTTCGGTCGGTGAATCTGCAAATGTTATCATCGACGGATAGATCTCCTCACGATAAGATCTGACGATCTAAAACAATCAATAGGAAGCAGCCACGTGCTGACCACTGAAGTCCTCGGGGGTGCGCTTGGGGGCTCCCTCTAGGCTCAAAGCTTCAAACCCGTTAGGCAAGACTGCACACTGCAAGCGGCCCATGTTCAAGTCAGAAGAACCTGGAAGCACCTTTTGAAGTTTGTCCTTTGCAAGCAGGGGCGACACAATTCAACATCTTGCAACAGATAGAAACCCTAAAAGCACTCTGACATCGGGGAGTCAAGCAAAGCGGGTGCTCCTCGCGTGATTTGAGGGGTTATTTGTCAGCTGTTAGGTGGAAGCTACAGAAGAAGAAAATACCACCATGGAGGACCCGGCCAAGGAGATACCGGGCATCATCCAGGCCATTGTGCAGAATGAGGACCTGAAGCGGCAGGAAGAGACAGTTTCTAAATACTTTTCAGAGTCCGCTATCTTGGATCATATGGTCGTCTTTTGCAAAAATCGTGAAGAGATTCTAGCAGCATACCAGGTATGTTTGCCAGGTCACGCGTGATTCCTCTTACAGTCTGCATGCATAGCATTTCTCTTCTTTTTCCATTGAACGGTAGCACAACTTTTGCTCAGCTGAAGCTCTGAAGAGCTTATGAATGCAGATACTGTCAAGATAGCTTATGCGATTGCGAGTCAACCTTTAGATCCCTTTTAGGTCAGACTCTGGAAAGGTTTCCACAGACTATCTTGTTCTTTTTCTTTGGAAGGCCTCTGCTTCCAAAGAATGTTATGCTATGTTCCGTAAGCTTCCTTGGGTGGTCCAAACAAGGTTACTGTTGCCTTGATTGTCACAGGTCGCAGCTTGTAGGCAGTTATCCCAGAAACTGTTCAACGTTCAAGCCACTTTACCTGAAACAAATTTTCTGACTTCGTTTCTGGATTTTCTGAGGTCCATAGATGACCAAGGTGTGACAGAAGCTGCCCATGAGTGCACATCTTCTCCTGGTCACCATTGACAGCTTTCTCAGTGCCGTCAGTGCTAGGTTAGATTCTCAACGGTCTCTAAAACGCTGGAGACCACCAAAGTTAACATGAAGTGCTGCGCTGGTTGCTTGTCCATCGTTCGTCGTATGCAGACTGCTATCAATCCTTTTTCCACAACTGGTTTTCTTCCTGCGAGATGAATCTCACACCAGCTTGACGCACCGACTCAGATTGAACCATGTCTTCGCCTCAGATCTGGGTAATGTCCAACCACAGCCTCCGCGCCACAATCCACCAAGTGGCGTACAAAGAGGACGAGGAGTACATAATGGTGCGCATGACACAGTACGTCCGCAAGTGGTGGAACCCCTTTGAGGAGAAAGGAATGCCCATGATGGTCTTCTTCAAGCTGGAGGATGCACCCAGCAGCACAGGGCGGGAGCACGTAAGTTCGTCTAGTCTGCGGGCTTTCCTTGCCATCCGTAGCAAGTTTGTGGTCGAAATTGCAGGCTTCTGACGAAGACTCCTTATGTGGACGCCTGCCAGCTGGCAGTGCACACAAGTGGGCTCGTTGAAAGCTGTCAGTCTCGTTCTGAGCCTCTGATTTCGTGAAGGTAGTAGGTCTCCTGAGTTGGAGGAAGCTGAACTTCCTACGTTATACGGTGTTCTTGAAGCGGAGGCTCCATGCGTTGATTTCGAATTACGATATGAGAACAAGTCAGTCGACAATCTCAGTAGCTAAAACTACAAATTTGATAGAGGTGTTCCTTAGAAAACCGAAGCAAGCCAGAGCATTGGATTAGGTGCCTTGACCACAGCACAACTCTCATTCGATTTCTGGTGATATCTGCTTTTCGACTGAAAGCTCGTGTCAGGTTTATTCTGCCCGCAAGAACCCAGAGATTAAGGTGTCTCCGCTAATTCCTTTTCCTTGTAGCGCAATGGCACAGCTGCAGGCGGAACTCGGCGAAAGCGCATTGCCTTTCAACAAGACTGCCACACCCTCGATCCCATCCTCGTCAACATCCCCGTCCTGAACCTGATTGCCTACGGGCGGTTCGGCCTTCGCACCCTCCTCACAATGACCAGCACCATCACTATCAAAGTACTGCAAGCTACAATTGGAACGGAAACGATTACCTATACTGCCAAATCAGCGTACAAGCTACTGGGATTAACGTAGCTAGTAGAAGTTCAGGCATATCCATAACTCGCACACTCGAAGAGTTTTTCATTCCCTCATTGAAACGGTCTTTGAGACCATACGAGAATCGCTTTCATCCTTAATCAAAACGCTTTTAAGGTCGTACCTGCCGGTTGAGAATGCCTCAGCCGGGTTTGAGATGAACATCTCGTCTTCATGTTCGTTTCCACTTAGAGCGATCTGGGCGGCGGCCTCATTTGTATGTCTCACCTGTGCATGTTGGAAGTTGATTGTTGTGACTCGAGTATGGTACATTGTTGTCTGGGGAGGGAAACCGCTTTGCGGCGCATCATGAGAGGTGGAGCTGCAGCCGCTGCGTGATTATTGATCACGTGTTCTCATTGCTTCCTCTCGCGCCTACAGGCAATGTCATCACGCAATAAAGACGCTCAACTCATAAAGTAGACTCCGTGAGCCGTTGTGGAAGTTAAAACACGCCTGTTCTTGTGCCTCCCTAATTAACGTTGCGTGAAAATCTGACAAGCTCTGACAATCAGATAAACACCGGGCCAGTGTGGGCAGAGAGGGGAATTTTCGTGAGATCAGTCTTCGAAATTAACTCGCTTACTGGTCAGAATCAGAACTTTCTCTCAAGCGTGCTATTGATAAGCTTCGCTACTAAAGCACAAAGTTCCCTGCTCCCAGGACGCTTATCTGGATCCGATGGACTTTATCGTGGATGCCATGTATCCTTGAGTCCCTTGCCCTTGAACCACGTTTCGAACATCCTCGATCATCATAACTCCGGATGTACCACTGTTTCAAACACAAACCTCTGTCGTATTCAATTTGAAGCCCACGAGCTTGGGATGTCACTCTCTTGATTCTTCAGACTAATCCACACCCTCATAGGTAACATTATGCGCTCATAAACTAATTGCTCAAGAGCCCATGGGTTGTCCCCCTCCAAATCATCATCATCGTCTTCAGAGACTTTCAAGTCGTCTTTCTCAAAGTCGTTGTACGAGATGGATTACGAATTAGCATTCACGAGAACATCCTCATCATTGAAAGGCCGTCGGAGACGTCATCCTCCAAAGAGCCGGGAAATTGCGCAAATCAGCAGTGAGTAACCCATTCATCAGTCGCCTTCTTTACCATCCGTCATGACAAAGGTAACTTCTGCGATGTCCATCTGGTCCTATCCTGGTTTCTTTCAACTTGTTGAATGCCAAGCCGGGCCACTGCAACCTATTAGATCAAATATTAGCGGAGGGCGGCGTTTGAGGTTTGGAGGTTCCCTTCAGCGAAGTGTAAGGAAGAGTGTGCATATTTGAAAGGCATCAAAGGCGAGACTAATTGCGGCTCTTGGGCAGTCGGGGTAACTGCTCCCGCTTCTGATATCGTTTTACATCGTGTGGTATCTTCTGTGAATTCGTTATATTACGTGCATCGGTTAGGTATTCTGAAGGCTGCAACACTAATGCAGGCGGCCACGTGGGCGCTGCAATGCGGTAGTGCAGGCCGCCCGCGGCGCAGCGCCTGATCAGGAACAACTCTGGTGCAACTTACAAGCCGGCGCCCAGGCTTGTACGTGACGTCAGCTGAATCGTTTGGCATCAAAATTAGCGCAGATCTGATTGTCCCTGCAATGATCTGCCTTCTATTGAGATTGCTAAATTTCAACGGATGGACCTTATGATCTGTAGCTGGACGAATTGATCTACCAACAAAGCCGCCCTCAGTCGTGTTCATAATGCTCAGTTTCAAGGTTCATAGAGCATTCGAACGTCAAACCAGCTGCTCTGGAGATGAAACGTCGAACTCCTGCAGGATTCTGTACAGTCCACCAGTCTGAGACTCTCGAACCCCAGGGCCAGGGGGTTCCCTCAAGTTCGCGGATCAGGGTCTGGACCAGGTTATCAGAAAGTAGTTAGAGGTGCGTTACGCAGACCGTCAAGGACCGGGGGTACCGGGTACCATTTCTCAGTACGTAGAACATCTTCACCGGCCTTCTCCTCTAGCAGGGGCGGACGGAGGTTCCAAGCTGGTGCCGGGGTTAGATGTCTGTTTGACCTTTCTCGACTGGGGTTGGTGAGGGTCTAACCTCTTAACCTCCAGAACGTCTGATCAGCTGAGGAGACGGCTTGCGAGTGCAGACAGAACGCAGGGAAGGAGAACATGGACTCCTCTTCCATACACCCACTGATTGAGGTCAGCAGAACCGTTACTTTTCGAAGCGCCTCAAGTATTTAGATTCTTTGATTCTACCACTCATGGCGCAGAGCGCTCAGTCACCCAGAAGGTGCGGCCGGGGTAGCGGAAACCCTTGGACGCCAAGTACGGTTCCTAGTAAGGTGCGCTCCAATCCCGTGCGCTCGCCCCTCACAGTGGCTCCGCTCCCCACTGGTAGTACCTACACTCTCACTGAGTTTTTACAGCAGCACTCCATGAAGTCCGGGAGCTCATTGGAGACCCCTGCCTCAGCTGACGCGGACGGCGCTGCGAGTGTGGGCAGCATTGCAAATCCCCATGCGGTGCTGCCGGAATTGGGCCCCGACCTCCTGCACAACATCTTCATCAAACTGGCGCCCAGTCCAAAGGACCTCGCGCCTTTGGAGGCAGTGTGCAGGTGAGGGCCAAGTCAAGTGATTACGTGGTCTTACTCTATCTAGAAAAGCATGTACTACTTTTCCAAAGGCAATGCAAAATTTGCAAGAGTTTGTCTTTTTGAACAGGAACAAAGAAGATGCTTCTCAAATCAAATGCTTCGCTTCTTTCCTCTAATCTGCCAAATGTTGGTGCATAATCCCTTTCAATTGCAGAAGTGGGACATGATCTTGCTATCTGACGATTCTGGCGAGCATACGTTCAGACTGCTTCTTTGATTGTTCCATTTGTAGGTTGCCATCTGCGATTCATCCTTTGCTAATCGGCTCTTCCCTAAACGTGCGCTCCTTATCTGCAACAGGGAATGGCGCTCTGTGATGAAGGAAGTCACCTGGAAGGAGCTGTGCTTCAAGCATGCCGGGGGGCTGGTTGAGGAGCTGGGTTACGAGACAGAAACACCCCCTGGCGGCTGGGGCGGATTATACAAGTTGGCTGTGTTCTGCCCGGGCTTGCACTTTCCAACTTTTCACGATGTGCTAAAGTCGGAGAGTCTGTGCGGAGGTTCCTCGTGGTGTGAAGGCTTTCAGGGTGGAGGTTACTCTTGGAGGGATGGCCTCGGGCACGTGGAAGCAGAACCAGGGGGGTTCAAACAGGGGCAGGGTGCAAAGGATTCTGTGGGCCTGGCGCGCCGTTTTCGGTAGTGATGAGGTGTTGCTGGCGCGCCTGTGCTCACATGCGCTTGCGGCCACTGCCTGCGCCAGCCCCTTTGTACCAGCCCCTCCCTTGATTGCGGGCAGGGGCATCGTCAAAAACTTTGAGGGCTCTGAGTTGGCAAGAGTGAGCGGGGCTGCTGCGTACATTTGTCAGGGCCGGAATCGAGGTGGCGCCAAACTGGGAAAGAAGGCCCTAAAGTGTCCTTACTGCCATAATGTGGTCTTCTCCCTGAAGGGGAGTGACTTCTTGCTCGCGAGCTGGAGTTATGACGAATTGTTCGAGGCCTGCTGCGCGGGGCCTTTTTGGGACTCGGACGACGACGCTGAGCAACTTCTGGCAACCGGGTTCATGTGTCTCGCCGGTCACATTGTGCTGGGGCTGGCAGGGTACCCTATGGTGGGGGGCAGTGCGGTGCCGCACACTGGGGAGGGCTTGAAGCTGGAACGCTCCAAGGCCGCCCTCTATTTCACGGGGCACTTGACAGGGAAGATCAGCTTTCTGGAGGGGCAACAATTTGTGCGTGACCTGGGTCTGAGTGACTCGATTAGTATCGGAGACAGGCTGGCGAAGCTGCATGAGAGGTGGCCGACTGAGGCGCACAGGGACGGGTCCACTCGCTATCGGGTGTTCAGAAAGAACCCAAACGAGAGGCAAAAGAAGGCGCTGCACGTTCCGGGGAGCATCATCAAGGTTCTGCAGTCGGACCTGCCGTTCAGTCTGTACCAGTCGGTGCACAAGCACATCCTGGAAGGGGAGCCGAGTCTGTCGGAGTTCATGGCCATGCTTCTGGATGCGTTTAGGGCGCGGGACGATGCATGGAAGAGGAGCAGAAAAATCGATCGTGTCCTGCGGAAGGAGGGATTCGTGCCTGGCGCCTATCCACATCAGGAGTCAGTGGAAAAGTTTGTCAAGGTGAGCATAGCCCGATAAGATTTTCCTGTCCTTAGATTGCAATTGCTTCCGTGGACGTTCGCTTCTTTGGCTTTCTGAGATCTTTTTTAAACCACGCTGGCCTCAGTCCTTCAAACCCTCTGCAGTCTTAGAGCTGGAAATTCATTGTTGGCTTGAATTGTCACGGTCAGGCCCGCCAAAAAGCCTTGAGGATCCTCCACGCCAAAAGACCGCAGAAACTTCCAAATTAGGTCAACTGAGACTTGCTGCATGGATTCCTTGCTTGCGTGCAGCCTCGATTGACGAGAAGAATCTGTCGTCTTCTGGGACCCGCTGGATTGTTGCGTTACTCGCTTACAGCCTCCACTGACCGGAAGAATCTGTCGTTTCTCAGGATCCTGATGCCATCAGCCTGGAGGAGGTGGTGCTGGAACAGAAGCTGGCGCAAGCACCGAGTGAGGAAGTGAAAGCGCAGCTCCGACTCGAAGCCAAGGAGAAAGCCGAAACTCGACAGAGGGCGATGCGGGATGGTGAGGTGGGGAGTGACGAAGGAAGTGATTTGGAAAGCGAGACTGAAAGCGACAGCGGAAGCAGAAGCGAAAGTGAAAGCGGCCTGGACGGCGACAGCGAGAGCGAAAGCGGAAGCAGCAGTGAAAGCGAAGGCGACCTGGATGGAGAGAGCGAGAGCGAGAGCGAAACCGGTAGTGGTAGCGGAGCGGAAGGTGGTAGCACGAGTGACACGGGCATGGATGGTGATAGCGAGATTGAGGCGGATCGATCTTGATGGCAATTGTGATGGTCTTAGGTCGTCAGGCGATACTACTACTAGTTGCTTGAGAGTGAGAAAAGAAGGGCAAGCAGGCCCGTGATGTAGATCTGCAGATATCTACAGGGAACACTCATTGTGTAACAGTGCTTGCAAAGCTTTTCGTTCAGGCGGCCCTGAGGTCGGCTGTACTTGGGATGTACATAGGATGATCTGGCGAAAGTAGGCTAGGGCAAGCGGCCTGCTCGTAGTCGTAGAGAAAGGATATCTTCAACACACCTGAGCGAGAATGCATTTGGGACTAGGCCGTGTACTTTTTACTGACACGTTGGAAGCCCTTCATCCGTAGTTGTATCTCAATCCTCGTCTTTGGCAACGCGACTCGAAGCAGTACGTTTCGTCTAGCTGCTTGCTCAACTGCATGAGCTTTCCGCTATGAATGGTCAGACCATGGCAGGAAGCTGCTCGTGGCTACCCTTCTAGGCACTTTGCGCGCCGCTGTTACAATGTGTGCCATGCGTTCACATACATAATTGCCGCCTCGACGGTGGGCTACATGCATGGTTGCCGCAGGCCTGAGCATGCTCGCCAAAGGCAATAGACATCAAGTGAATTCTGCTGCATATGTATGCGCGCACATATATTGTTAAAATATCTGACGGTAACGCTGAATGATCGAGGATCAATTGCATACAACAGGGACACCATGTAAAATCTGGAGGCGGCTGGGCTGCCTGCGCCGGCGTTCAACCGCGGACTCTGACCAGGAAATTTCCGACCACCAGGCTCGCTAGACTCAAGAGCGCAGCGATAAGGGCATGGTTGCACGGTATTGAAGCCATGCCAGGAGATAAACGCTATGACCTATGCCGTCATGTGAAAGCTAAGGATGTGCGCCTGAGGTGGTGATTGAACTAGTACTGATACATGCATCCAGGCTCGGTCACTCAACGAACGTGTGCAATTGTCAAACAGTGTCACGCACGTCGGATATATGTTCTGTGTCAGCAATCTGTTGAGCGCAGCTCCAGATTTGTCGACGTGTTTTTCACTTATGCTCACCCCACCTGCATCGACCTTCGCCATCAGAATCGCAGATTTGAATCCACGGAATTTTTCCTGCTCACTAGCACGAAGCGGAAGCTCAGCCAAAGAGCGACGTGTCCGGTGGTGGCCCATATATAGAAGCCCAAGAGCTGGGGATGTCCCAACCGCTGGGGCCATTGCCTGCACGGTCATCGAATGTCAGCACCGGAGAAATGGTCCGAGAAACGCTGTCAAAGCACCGCCGAAAGACCACCTTTCATCGCTCTTCTCCTTTCCATGCTCTCTGCAATGGGAGTGAGTCGGTTTACGTCACCAGCTCATTACTGTGGCAATGGATCCGCGGACGGACTTCATGTCCTAGTCACTAGACTGGGAAAAAGCAAGCAGCCCATCTGGAAAATGGCTTTAGGCACCGGGTAAACGTTGGAGTAGCTCATCTCGGACTAATTGATGAAGGCGAAAGCTTGCACGAAACGGCTAAAAGTGATTTCCAGACGTCAGGAACAATCCGTCTGACGTCTTCAGGTCTAGTCACCTGGTTTTTGATCGCCACGGAGTCCTAGAAGCGAGTCAAGCGCGGTCGCCAGGGCGAGCCCGTCCGGGACGTTGTCGCCCTCTGAGCACAGCAGAAGCAGCGACAGCACGCTCACGCCCTGCTCCTGCACGAAAAAACAGTCTGTTCGGAATGTTAGCAACTTGAGCGGTGAGCGACGGCAAGGATGCATGTTGAAAGCTCTCTTCCTCACGGACGTTTAGCGATCGAACCGGCAGCACAAGGGCCACCCGTCTCTCCAACGGGATCCGAGCAGCGACCACCTGTGCTTGGCAGCCTCAGCTGGCTTGCTTGCTCCAACTCCCGCCTGGAGTCAGCAGAACGGTTCCAGGCAGAAATGATGTCGCCGGACCTGTCCTGACGTCTTTCTAAGGCGTCTCTACCCGGACAGAGAAAAGGTAGAGAAGAGGCGAATTCTTGCTCGCGTCTGTTACAAGCATTCTTTGAAGCATCGTGTCAAGTTACCGGACATTTGAAAGACATAAATCCAAGTGCATGGAGGACTAGGTGTTCGCCTGGATCGTGTGGGAAGTCGCAAGTCATTGTGTATGTTACCCATTTGGCAGGTCGGAGTCAGTGAACGGTGTCGTGCATTTTAACACTGCCACATATCATCGGATTGCAGGTCTCAAGCATATTGCGCCACTTAACTGATTCAGTGAGGTTTGCAGCCCCAAGGGGAACGAGGTGGACGATTGCTGCAGAACCAGAGCGGACTTGGTGCATAAAGCAGCAGAACGCCACCGCACTGTTTACTCTCTAGCCTTTCTGGGTCTTCAAACAAACAAGCGAGCTGCTCAAGGACGAAACCATCAAAACACTTGCCTTGAGAGCTTCCGACATTTTCCAAAAAGCAGTCCTCTGGTACGCCTTTCCCGGGCCCCACCATTGACCCCGTTCCAATCCCGTAGCCCCCGACCCTTCGATGCCAAACATTGACCCGTACGAAGTCCCATTGCTTGATGAAGTTTCCTCCTGCCCGTGTCCATTCGGCCCCTCTGATGGCGCCAGATCTTCTAGGATGGGCCACCCTAACTCCTCGCACTTCCGCTCAAGACCTACAGATCCGGGTCCCGTTTCCGCTGATGTGGCTCTCTCGTCTTGGCTTACAGCAGCTGTCGCGGCAGTGTAGCGCACCCGCTGTTGCGGCAGAGAGTGGCCGGCGAGCTGCTTCCCTGCATCCAGTCCTGAAAGGACGACGACCTTCTGAAAGCCGCTGCGCTTCACCCATTCCGACAGGTTCTGAGCGTACGCTTTGAGCCGGCCGGGGGCGTACGGGGCCCGCTGCTGGACGATAGTGATGGAGCCGGACGAGCTTTGGAACACTGTACCGAGTGGGATAACAACTTTCAGTCTCTGCAATCGTAAAGGATATCCATGCGGCATTTACAAAGGGTCGAAAGTGAACTGGACGGAGGAGGCTTGATTGACAGGCTATGAAGAGTAATCAAACCTCGGCGCTTGAGCAAAACAAAATAAGCAAAAAGATTCAGCAGTGACTAGGGACACTTTGAAACAAGGCCAATCTTCTTGCAATCAAGTGACCAACTGGTTTCTCCATTGGTCATTCATGGCAGAAGATGGCAGAAGATGGCAGAAGATGGCAGAAGATCTAAGCAAGGAGGGTGCCGATAGTTGCTTTGGATCAGGCTGTTCATCATCTGCTTTCTGTCACATGGTAATCAACAACAAGCCTCAAAATTGCCTCGGAAATGCGATAAGAAGTGCTCAAGCTGCATCTTGGGTCCTGCGAGACAATAAAGTATGACTTTCCAATCAATAAAGCTTACCCTCTAGGCTTGTGCTCATGATCCCCTCGCTGGTGAGGCCCACCGCATCATTCCCAGCACAGGGGAGGACATTTGGCTCCTCCAGAAAGCCAATCCGCTTCAGATCAAGGCCTGTGATGATGAGATCGATGGCGAGCTGGCCGACGTTGCCGATCGAGATGGCAGGCTGCAGGATGGTTATATGAACCTAATATCATTTCCCATGAAAGCGAGCAAACTATAAGCCCTCTTCTTTGACTGGTGTCTTCTCAAGATCAGGGTGATATGGCAGCTTACCCCAGCTTTCAACATCACTGCGTGTAAGGAGGCATAAAGAAACTTTCAATCCCCAATTACAGCCAACTTGCTATGCATCTCAGGGTTGCAATTGCAGGTTGTATAAGTAAGGAAGTAGATGCAATCCAAGATGGGGCTGCTTCAAAACATTTAATCAGAAGATATCTGTGGCTGTTCAACAAACAGCAAAAACACTGCTGAGGGCGCAAGAGGGACTGGAATATAGAAAGAAGCTGCACAAGTGGCAACTGCGGATGTTAAGTTTGCAGCTGCCAAGCACTGTAATGTCCTTCTCAGAGAAGGACGTGCTCATATGTTTCAGGGACAACAAAATTCTGATCATGCGAAACCAAACACCGATGCTGCAAGTCTTTGCATCACCACCAACGTTTGCGCCACCAGCACCGTTCTGAAGGAACAACAATTTTTCTCCACCACCATTCTAAAGATCTCGTAAGACAAGTAAGCAGAGATTATGCATTGATGCAAGCAACATTGCTCGGCGCCAGCAGATGGAAGTCTCACTTACAACCACTAGAGTTGTACCCTTCAGCTCTGCCGCAGATCCCTCTTCTCCATAGAACTCCATTTTGCTACGATGCCAAACGTTGGAAAACGTGCTCCAGGATGGACAACTTCCAATGGCAAAGGCAGAGCAGTGGCGCTCTAGCTCGTTTAGGGAACAGCGAAATGTTTAGGCCATCGCCATTCGCATGTGTCTTGAACTATCCCCCTCAGAGTCATGGCAATGCATCTGGTCAGCTTGCAAGCCAATTGATGACACCAGTTGGTATAGGTATAAGGTTAACCAAATTGGGTTCCATTTTCCCCCGCTAGCTCACGGTTGCATCAACGGCTACGCAACCCGCCTGCCGGCCCGAACTGGAAACCTGCCGCTTCTCTGTGCATGTGGCCCGAACGGCAGTCGCGTAACCGGGGTTGTTGAAGACGTACGTCACCGGTGACCACCTCCTCATGGTGGACAGTCCAGGCACAATTTGAAAAGACGAGAGGGCACATGAGAGGGCGCTCCCTCCTGAGGCTGAGTGAGTTCTGTGCCTCTTCTTTGGTTTAAGAAGCACTTTCCTTGGCAGTGGCTCTCTGCTCCGGCATGCCGCTTTTCCACCTCAAAGGGACTCCTGTGTAAAGTGTTGCTTGAAGAGTTTCAGCGCAGAAGAAGACCGCAGCCCACCTGCTGAACCAAAGGACTCCACTGCCCCTCCCTTACAAAACCCCTCACAAATTTCACATCTGCCAGTAACCCGATGCCACAACCGAACAGAGCTACCCCTGAGCCAGCTGTCAAACGGTCAGACACTTGGGGCCAGAGGCCACGAAGCAACCGCAGACGCCCCCCTTATGCTGCGGGAGATTTGGAAGCACAGCAATCCAGCCACAATAAAGCTGAGGGTGGGGCTGGAGACACAGCTCCTAGCAGGCTTCTCGGCAATTATAAAAGCGGGCCTCCGAGTGCGGGGTTGCGGGCATCGGCCCCTGAGTTCGTGCCAGGTGTGTCTTCTTTGATGGGGCAACATGTGCCAGGAGTTGAGCAGACGAACGGCCACCTGGCGGAGCAGGGGAACCCTTATCAACGAAGCAACAGCTCCCGCAGGCGCGGAGGCAACCGAGGGGGCGCGAGTAAGAGTTGGAGGACGAGAAACGTCGATAGCCAAAAGAGTATAGGAGATGAGGGCCTGACGGTCAGTACAGATAAGGATACAGCCGAGGGGTCCGCTGAAGTAGATCGTCAGCAGGAGGAGGTGGTTAAGATGGTGGAAGAACTTGCAGCCAGCAATGTTGGGGAAAAAGAAGGGGCCCTAGGGAAGAACCAGGGTGCCAGTACAAGTTATGAGAAGGACTCTGGGGATTCTGTTTTTGAGATTCGCGGATTGGTTGAACCGATGTTGGGAGAAGAGGAAAGGGCGGCGAATGAAGAGGAGCAGCAAGATGAGGTGAGGGCGTGAGAGCAAAGGGAGCTGCCAAGAGGCTTATGGATCTTACTTTCTATGTAACGTTGTTGTGCTCTAAAGTAGCCTGCTCTAACAGCTGGCGGAACGCGGCCTTTCAGCATCAATCTAAGACTACTTGAAGATACCTTCCTGGCAGTCACATCTTTCTGTTCCAGTTCAGAGCCTACGATCATTGAGAAGAACAAAATCCAAGAGCGTGACCCCAGACCTATATGGCCTAGTTGTTCCCAAATGTCATGGACTTCAAAGCCCCCACTTGCAGCCCAGACTCAAGTGTAACGTTTCAAGTCCCCTCATCTTCAACTTTTCCCTCTGACAGGTGATGGTCCTCGAGTCGATCTTTGCCACTGATTTTCAGCAAACAAGCTCAGACCCGACAACGTTTGAGCTTTTGGTCCATGTTGCCCTGCCTGCCGCCCATATCCAAGTCTTGGGGCGCCTTTTGGACAGCGGTCCGAGCAGCACGCTAGATAGTCTTAGTCAACCAGAGGCTTCAAACACAGACGAAACCTCCGACTTTGCCAGAGAAGAAGAGGGCGAAAGCGCCACCGCACAAGCTGGTGAGGTCAGCGAGGCAGCGGCAGAGGAGAAGGAAACCAATGGAAAAGAGCCCCCCAGGGGGCAGATCTGGGTTGCAAAGTCCTGGCAGGGGGGCAGGTTACTGTCGCTAACGCTGGAGCACCTCCCCCCCCTGCGGCTGACCTGCACTCTTCCGGCGGCGTACCCGTCACACTCCCCCCCGCGGTTTGCATTGTCCAGCGTGTGGCTCACGCGACCGCAGCTGGGCCGGTTGTGCCGGGGCTTAGACGAGGTTTGGCAAGAAAACCAGGGTCAGGTTGTGGTGTACTCGTGGGCGGACTGGTTGACCAGGGAGACGTTTGAAACCCTGGATTTGGGGGAAAGTTTCGAGCTTGGGGGCACGTTGAATGCGGAAGGGAAGGGGAAGGAGAGCGCGGAGCATGACGAGCGGGCGCAGGCGGAGGGGTGGGGCGTGCAGGACGTGCTGTCGCGGCTGCTGCGGTACAACGAGGAGAAGACCATGGAGGAGTTTAGAAAAGGGGTTAGTGCCTCCGACTTTTCTTCAGCTTGCTTGGTGCCAGAAAATATGTCCTCTATACGTGCACGGGTTTTGGCAGTGGACTGGCTCGACGTCAGCCTTGACGTTGATCACGCCTGTCCCACCCCTTGAGATCAGCCTTCTACAGAAGTATGTTGGGTCTGCTCTTGTAGGAAAAGGTGTTTTTGGGGCCCGTTCAATGCCCTTCGTCTCATGACTTCGTTTAACTCTGTCGTTCTGAACGACTTTCCAGCTTCCCTTTGAAAGTCTTGTTGAGGCAGACAGTGTCGTCGCCTTGATCCCTCACCACCCGCGATTTTGGTTATGTGATATCTTGAGATGTATGGACTCTCTCAACACGCCCTCCTCATTATTTTCGTACTGAGTTGTCCTCGCGAGCATCTTACCAAACTGCACGTCTTTCCTCTTACGACCCCCCGGATACGACTTTTTCCTGACTCATCCTTCACAGCAGAATATGAACCAACTCATCTTCCCTCTACTTCCCCAGGTGCACGAGTGCCAGGTGTGCTTCGCAGAGCAGCCCGGCACCGAGTTCGTCCACCTGTGGCCGGGCTGCCGCCACAACTTTTGCCGGGGATGCATGACGTCACTGGTGGACATCCACGTCAAGGAAGGCTCCCTGGCGCGCCTCACGTGCCCCGACACCGACTGCAAAGAACCGCTGCCGCCCAATATCATCAAGGACCTGCTCGCGCCGGAGCAGTTCCAGCGATGGGTGAGCGCCTAATTGCCCTCGTTTCTCTGTTGTGGTTAGCAATTTTGCTGGACCCAACAAATTTGCGCCTCTCTCTGGCGGCTTGGTTGGGGATGGTTTGACACGCGCTGGTTGCATACTGACGGGCTTCCTTTGAAGACGTCACCTCTGTGGACGACAGATTTGCAACGAGTCATCATATTCAAAGGCAGGCCAGACTTGCTGGTTCGAACGATCATGTGGATTTTCTCGTATGTGACGAGTTTAATTCAAGATTCCTTTTACCGCAGGGCTCTGTCACGAAAATAGGGTGCCAAGATCCACGTGACAGTCTGGTTGACCGCTCACTTTGCTCCGCAGGAGACGCTGATGCTGCAGAAGACGTTCGACTCGATGTCAGACGTGGTGTACTGCCCGCGCTGCGAGACGGCGACCATCGAGGAGCCGGACCACACGGCGCAGTGCCAAAAGTGCTTCTTCGCCTTCTGCTCGCTCTGCGACGACGCCACGCACTTCGGCTCCCAGTGCATGGACGCAGAGGCGCAGCTCGCCGTCCTGCGGGTGAGGGCTCGGGGCTCACGGGTTTCTCGTCTGAGTACAGGAATCCAAGTTTTTTGATGCCCTTGAAAGCCGTGTTTTTCTGGTGCTTGAGAGCTTGATAACAAGTTCATCGATGCTTGTGGAAAGTCGAGTTCTCTGATGCTCGAGAGCTTCAATGTCAAGGTCATAGCCGCGGTAGACATCGGTTCTGTTGTCGGTCCGACTTGTGCAGCTAGCACCACCGGATGCACGCTTATCTTTTTCTTAGCCCTGTGATCTTACGGCCTAAATTGGCCTGCGATCGGGAGGAGATTTTCCAGCACCCGAGCCTTCGCTGCGATTGAGAACACGTTGGATCGAGTCACATGCGTGACAACTTTATCAATGCTTGCCTCGACACGTCCATCCTCGCAAGAGCCTTGTCCACTGTCAAAGGACTGAGGCGAAAAGATAAAATTCTGTTCGCAGGAGCGCACGCGCGGCCGGCTCCCCGCGGAGGAGCAGAAGCGCAAGGAGGCGGCGCTGCTGAACGAGATCCTGAACATGAAGTACGTGGAGCGGGAGGCCAAGAAGTGCCCCAAGTGCGGCATGGCCATCCAGAAGGACGAGGGCTGCAACAAGATGACCTGCTGGAACTGCTCCTCCTACTTCTGCTACAAGTGCGTACCGCCAAAATCCTCATCTTTCTGTCCGCTCCAAGGTTGACGCGTTTTAGCAAGGACCCGTTCTGCTCTCTTTCGTAATGTGAGCGGGTGTTCTGCTGGGTCTGTTGTTCCGCGCATGTCTTCTTAAGACGAAAAATGTCCTGCTTCGGAAGGTGTGCGATACCACTGGTGTAGATTGTATCTCCTGGTGGAAATTTCAGTTTCGTTGGTGCGTCGCCGCTTGCTTCTGTAAGTCTTGCTCGTCTTCGAGAGCCTCGTCGCCGGTCGTTCCTGAGCTGGAGAGAGTATCGACCGCTCCTCTTTTCCGTGGTGACCGGGAGCTTTCGAAACCATCACCTACCTCGCGCTCGCCTTCAGACATGTCTACACGCGCATCCACTTTGTTTAACACCTCCATCTGTCCTCTCTCGTGTCGTATCCTTCCTGACTCCTCCGATTGTCCATTCCTATCCCGTGGCCTCTCTGATTGTCCCTCTTTCAAAGTTTCTATTGTTCGCTTTCCCGACTACTCTCAGAAGCTGTGCTTTCGGACCTTTCGCCTCATCCGTTCTCGTTCCGTGCCGCCAGGTGCGGCAAGGCCATTTCCGGGTACGACCACTTCAACTCGGGCGCGTGCGTGCTGTTCGAGGCCGCCGAGATCGACGCGTGGAACCGGATGATGGCCGGCGTCAACGCGCCGCGTAACGAGGCGCGCGATCGCATCGACGCCCAGATACAGATGTACCCCAACCGCGTGCGTGCCTGCCCCGCCTGCCGCCAGCCCAACGTCAAGGTGCGCGGTCCTTGCCACGTGGCTTCCGTGGTTGTTTGTTTTCTTCTTTGTTTGGTTGTAAGTAGTCTGTTCAAGGCCTCATGACAAAGGAGACGAGGTAAACGGAAGATGGAGCTGTGCGGCAGTTCCTGACAGCCGGAAGCATGAGGGGAGGGATTGTGACCTGTGTATCATGTGATCATCCGTCCGCATTGGGGTTTGGCGTCAAGTGCGTGTATTAGTCTCCTTATGATACTAGTACGCCAGCTGCTCGTAGATACGTGCCTGGAAGTTATAATAGTTCAGTGGAGGGCCGTCTGCTATTCTCTTTTCTTTGGGTGATATTTATTTGCTTCCTATTCTCGCGGAAGGTCTGGTGAGCAGCAGGGCAAGACGGAGAATCTGGCAAACGTTGACTCCGATCACAGTCTACTTTCTGCAAATCAGACTTAGTCAATTTGTTTTACCGCTCGACCTTGCTTGTCTGACGTACGCCTTGCAGCAATTCTGAGTTTCTTCCTTTCTAAGGGGTCCATAAGATCAGATCGGAGGCGAGGTTATAAAACGGGCCTTGATTGGACAATCGTGGTTCTGCAGGAGGCCGGCAACAACCATCTGCGGTGCTGGTCGTGCCAGAATCACTTCTGTGGGGCGTGCGGGAAAGCTGTGCTGAAAGGGAGCCACCATTTTGGCCCAAAGGGTTGCAAACAACACACTCCGGATTGACTGCATGTTGAGGTGGCTAGTTCTGCTTGCCGAAGCACATTGCTTCGAGATCGTACAAGCTGTTCGTATGTAAGAAGCGAAGGTCGTGTACCTGTCTTTCGTAGTGCACTGCGAATTTGGCCTTGTGTGATTCCTGTGGATTTCAGTGCGCTGCAAAATCTCAGTCATTATTCAATGGATTTGAGAAGCTTTATGAAGGCCGTAGAGCTTCCGTTGTCCAATACTATGTATACGCGTCAGACTTGCGGCAACCTGTGCATCAATGGTGCATACCTAATTACGGAGTTCAATGGATTCAAGCGAATCCATTGAACTCCGCGACCATGCTGAGAGTTGCGCGCGTATCTGCAACCTCTACAGAGCTAGCCGATAACACTATGATTGTGCAGCTATAACTAATTACTACGTAGGCGCTGCAGCAGCTGCGTTCGACAGCTGGTTTCTGCACGTCTGGCAACATACATGCGAGCAATATTGCTCGACGTACGTCACATGTTGCATCCATGACACTTGCGGCCACCAGCCGCAGCTATGGCTGACGCAAATATGGATTATAATCATATTTGAATTTGCACAGCGCGAGAATGGCCGTCCGACGAGCGCCATACCTCATACATAAGTAGTCAAGCGGCTGACGCCTTGAGGCCTGGCCCTTGGGTTGGAACGGCGAGCTGCGCGCTCAAGCTGTCGGTTCTGTTAAAATAGACGCCTAGGCACAGGCTGCATGGGCGCGGGCCTATTTGTGGAGACCTCGGCCGGCCCGCCTAGCATCTTGGAGTCTGGAGTTAATCCAAAAAAAAAGGTGTTTACCCTCCGATCGGATCGACAGAGATGATTAGCTCGAATCCACGCCAATACCATATACGTCAGCACGCATGTCGACTTCATGCCCATGAGCTGTGGCTGCGAGATGAGTCTGACTCACAATATGCAGCCGGGACACTGTGTAAGAAATGGACGTTGAGGCCCGTGCACCTGAGAGTAGAGAGCGTGTCAATCTCTTGCTTTGGACTTTTGTGAGAATGTGCTCAGTCTCAGTACTCCTGTTGTCATCGCTTGTCAATCGGATATCCCGCATCTATCCAGGCTAACGTCCCCCCTCTCACGTTCACAACGTCCTTGGCTTGGCAGAAAGTCTTGAGCTCCAAAGCAGCACGTGCACTGCGGCTGCCTGTTCAACACAGAAAGTAGTGGGGTTTAGCCGCGAGCATGTGCTCGAAACTGTTCAAGCGGGGAGTTTCGAGCGTCCGTCATTAGCTTTGTTGGCCCTGATTACGTCCTGGACGATAAAACGACACTTGCGACGGTCACCAGCAGAAGTTGCAAGTACGATGTACGTTTTGACATCTAAAGATCCACGTCGACCAAACAGCAATCAAGCGTTCGAAAGTCGATCGCGCCAGCGTTCCACTCCTCAACCCGCGCATATAACGTTGTCACAGTCCAGAAACGAGGTCAGAACCTGCCAAGCTGGCGTGATCGACTCTCCAGCCTTTTTGGTCGACCCGGAAGACGAGACCGAGGTCCAAATTTATGAAACATAAGCTCGCTCGAATAAGGTTTGATATTGGTTATTAGTCACCACCTTCCAGATCGATGTACGTATGTAATAGTCGCGTTTATTCTGAACGGCTTCAAAAACAACGAGTTGAGCCTAGATCAAAGATTGCACAATCTCGGTGCCAGTTTTCAGATTAACAGACCAGCACACATCACAACCGACAATTGATATCGTTCTTTGCCGTCTCGACACTGCAAAACGGAAGTCGTCAGAAGGACACCAAAATCGTACACATGCCCACTCTGACCTCGACACTTGATTTCGCTCAAGAACAACATGGCAATACACGCTGGCACTCACCAGACGCACATATAACGGCCAAAGGCTTTCCCTCAATGTCAACCTCCCCAGCCGACACGCGGCCAACTAGGGATTCCAGAGGAAGGTGGACGGCGCCAGGGACATGCCTGCAGAAAACACAGGGCGCCTGGCTCAGCGATTCTCTAATAGGAAGTCGAAGCCAGCAAAATCATTCTGACAATCGTTACATGGAATATGGCAGTGCTTTTGGCTGATCTAGAAAGCGTCCTGCAGCTATCACGGAACCCGCAACGGGGCTAGTTAGTGAGCTTACCCCGAGCTGTACTCCTGCTCAGATCGGACATCCAGGAGCATCCGAGGGGACGCACTTTGTAGCTCAAGCTGCAGTTCCTCGACCGTGATGTCATGGATACCTGTCGAAAGAGGCAGATATCAGGTTCAGCTGCATACAAAGGGATGAGAAAAGAAGCGAGAGCAGATGACGTCATTAGCTTTCTGTCTGAGCATCACGAACTCCAATGATGCAGATTGAGGGAGTATGCACGCCCAGTTGAAGAAGAGAAGGAGATGAGCGATGGAACTCACTCTCTGTCTCTGCCCCTCCATAAGCTGACAGGATTCGCGTCATGTCATCGGAGGTGGGCAGGTCTACGCCCGGCCCTAAACAAAGGGATCTTCGATGAGGTCAGTGTGGAACAGCTGGCCTGGAAGGCGTAGTCAAGCGCAGCCACAAACGCTGATTTCAACACCAATTTGCGATGTCTTCGGGAACACTTATAAAGGGACGGTGGAATGCAAGCGAATGAACGCTGGAAAGCCCTTGACAGGCAGACTAGAGTGAGCCACCTATTTAAGATGCTCCTTAACATGTACTTGCCCGCTGTAGTAGTCAGAACTCATACTCAAAGACTCAAACTCGTAAGCACAGACTCACCATCGGAAGACGCTCTTATAGCAGGGGTTTTCATGAACTCTTCTTCATCTTCAGAGTCGTCTGCTTCAGAAAAGACAAAGTTGGCCCCTTCCGCCTCTGCCTACATCGAAAAGAAGCACCATCAATCAATGAATCAAGGGGAAACGATGTGGCGGTTCAATTGGGCCCCAAAAAAGTCTGATGGTAAAGGGAATCAACAGAGCGGTGGTGCTCTTTACGCCAACTGTCCTGGCACTTTTGACTAGAGCCTTTGAGCTGCGTCACATCTGTGACCCGCTGACTCAAAACCGCTGAGTGATAACAACCAGGGTTTCTGAGCGACTCGCCTCTGCCAGTATCTCCTCAATGGACCACATTTTCTCCCCGTCAGCTTCTGGAACATTCTCGTCAGCCAAGGCTCGAATGTGAGAGATTCGTCTACTGTCCAGCTCCAGCCAGAGCTGCGGTCTGCTCAAGCCTTTAGCCCCTACGTTGTAACAAGCCAGACTGCCCACATTGGTTTTCAGTGATGACAAGCTCGGCACAGGCAGCTGGGGCGCACTTCGTCGCTTCCTCATGCCAGCTGTCGAAGCACGTGGACAACATGGCAGGAGCAGCTGAGTGGCGCCCTCTGCATTGATTGGCTTTCTGCTTCTCTGGGCGTTTTGTGGGGCGCCCGCTGGCGGCCATAAGCGTCCGACTGTGCTCAGATGCCGGCAGGAGCATGTGTGACAGGCCATGGCGGCTTCTGAAGGCTGAAGCGCTTCTGAGCTGGCTGCTCGCCAAGCT